TTTCAAATATGATCGATCATGCAACATGAAAACATCGTCCATCTTTGTCGGATACATGCAACTTAGCAATACAGTTTGTTTAGCCAATACAATTCTGTTTGTCTCGGTCTAACATATCTGAACCTTCATTAAAAATATTCACAAATCGCTGTCGTTAGTCTATACTACAGACTAAAATGATGAAGTAATCGTCATCTTTCGTGATTTCGACTATATTTGTATGTCCTTCGAATTGGTATTTGATTAAAGAAAAATAGAGATTACCTGGTAACGTTCATTGCGTTGTTTATCCGGTATGCAAATTGTATTTTCTCCACGATTTCCAATCAAGTGGAATGGACTGATATCTATTTTAAAAATTACTGTAGGCCTAACATACTTGTACAGCCACCAAGCAAAACAGTTTTTGCGGAGAAAAAGCACCACGTTTTCTAGTGTAGTATCTATTATTATATTGCACCAACGAGTATAACAACTATTTTCTTAAATGTGACTGTACTAAATCGGTGTAATCGTGTAATAGATTCATTGTATAGAAAAAATATACGAAAAATGTTATGTACTCTAAAAATAAAGGAACATATTCCAAAATGATTTTTTATCTACCTTAACTAAGGCCATACAATCATAGAAGTAACTAGATGGATCACTGGAAAGATTGAATACAAAATCGTACTGTTATAGTTGTCTTTTTATCTCCAAAAACTCACGCTCAACGAGACGTGTGATCAGGTGCGTTGTCGTGATCCCCCTTGGGCCAAATCCAGTCAAAGTTGGGCCACACGAGCTCTGAGACGGCGCAAAACTTCAATGTAGAAATATCCGCTTACCGTCTAGCCGGAAGGGAAAAATTCCTGGTGAACAATGCTAGGAGAATCAAGGAAAACAATCAACATTGTTTTCACATTGGACCTTGATTTTTTCGACTTTTTTGGTCTCGGAATTTGATTAAAAATAGCCAGACCTTATGCATAAATATAATTTGATTTGCTGCAGGTTTTGTTTGAAATTTAAGTTGTGAATTTGAATCTCCTTGATAGAACACAATGAAAGACATTAATACTTCGAGTAATTTTATTGCAAAATTTATTAAAAAAATGCAGTTTCAGTGATAACTAATATACACAACAGAAAAAACATTTCAAAATTAATTCGTACCAGAAAACAAGATGTTTTTGAGGATTTTTATAGCTCATTTACTTACTAATAGGTAAGCAACCAACACATGTTACAATCTAACCTATAGAATAATTTACTTTGTTTTGCACAATTTGTACATCACTCCTGTACACTGCCTTTATTTTCACTATTATCATCAGTTTCATGAACAGAATCTGTAGGTTCTTGTTCATTTTCAACTGCAGTAAAACTGTCCATGTGATTTTCTTGATTATCTTCAACATTATCTACAGACTTTGATTGCTCTCCATTGCTCAAAGTATGTTCCCCATTCTGAACTTTTTCTTCATTTGGTACTTCCATATCTTCACTCTCATCATTATTTTTCTGCGATTCCATTTTCTCCTTTTCTGCAACAGCCAGTTGTGTTTCAGTCAAAACAGCATCATGATCAAAATGATCATCTTGGTCTGGATCTGGATCAGGATCCTGCTGCTTTGGATCTGTATTATTGACCTGATCTTGCTTGTTCTTCATCCCAAACTTACTCTCAAAACTCCTTTTCACTCTTTCTTCCATAACCTGAAGTTCCGATGCTATTTGCTCCTTTTTCTTCTCTATAAGTTCTAAGATTCAAAAATTATTATAAATTCATAGAAACTTAAGTAGTGTCAGTTTTTTTAGTCAAAGCTAAAACTAATCTCCTTGTTATATTGCATTGAAACAAACTTGTTAAAATTAGATAAAATAAAAAAATCAAAGTTTGGTGTAATATGAGTAACAGCTATTAGAAATTCTCATGTATGATGCTAAGGTATTACCTTATTTAATATTGGATATTTTCTCAGGCATACAGTATTAGGTGAGCTATCTTAAGGTAGAATATGTTAATCAATACTAACAGGTAATAAATATGGTCACATTCTAAGAATAGGGGATGGAGAAACTTATTACATCATCAAAATGTATTATGTCACAATTTTTGGTACAAAATTTTACACCTTGAAGGACATGTGCATCTATTTCGCCTTCATAGAAAAAAGTAAAAAACACCTATAATATACTTCTTGCAAGGCAAAATCTTAATACTCCATTGAAATAAATATTTAGAAAAGATAATTTTATAAGAATTTAACTTACTTTCAATTTCTGCTTTGCTCTTCTCCAAAAGGTCTGTAGACTTATCATTCATACGCCTTGGTATATAATGTATATGTGGTTTGGCTTTAGTTGTGATAAAGCTCATTCTTGGTTTTTGACTCTCTTCCCATACTGCATATTCTTTCATTCTCAACATTTTTAATTCAATTACTTTTATTTCAGCTTGTTTTCTCCTTCTGCTTAGAAAAAGTTCTTGCCTTTCTTTTCTTATTTCTGCTTTCTCCTTTATTTCATGTTCCTCTATTTTCTTTTCTAGCTGAGCTCTCTTTTCTTCCTACAGAAGAGAATATTCAATCAAGCAAAAAATAATTCAAAGTAGACAACCTAAAGCACTAGTTAAACCTTTATGTATTCAGCCATGTTGAAAAATACACATACAAATATACAACGCAAGAAGGTGATTAACTTTATATAGCTCATAAAAAGAACAACAGGGCAGGTACATCTTGTAATATAATCATTGCTCAACAAATATTGGGGGTAAGTATAACATATTTGGAATTTCAATGAAAAAACATTTTAAGCAAATTAGAAAATTATAGAAATAAACGATCCAAATTTAGATGCAATGTGCATGCCATTTAACAAAATTCATACCTTTTACAGTTTTGTTCAATTGTAATAAATGATCATAACTTTTCTTAATAGTGATGGTTACCTCAGACTTAGTTTACCAATAAATAAAATGCTTACCCTAGGTTTGAGCTTTGTTTCCTCCTGCTGAAACTTTTGTAATGTTCCAAGCAAAGCCCCAAACATCCTACGATTTCTCGCCTTGAACTTTTCATCACGATTTTGTGCTACAATAGCTTCCTCCCTACTAGGTACTTCTTTATTCGTCACAATTACTTTACTGATCATACCCCGCTGAGGGCCGTGTTGCGCTGAATGAGAATCGTCCACTTTATCAGACAATCTCTTAAACACCGACACATGAGGCACTGGTGGTCTCCTCTTCGCAGGGACTTCTTCATTTTCGATCGCGAACCCCCTGTTTCTGGTTTGGAGTTTTGGTCTACCTTTGTCGTCGGGATTTGGCCGTTTTAAATTGTTTCTAGGAGGAGGCTCTGAGGGGTCTCTTCCAATAAGTCTTTTCAGATTTTCATCGACACCTTTCAAACTGCTTCTGGCTTCTTCTAGCTCACTTTGAAGATTTCCAAAAGACTTCAACACGTCTGTAGCCATTACTGGGTCAAATTTACAATGTGAAACTTGATTTTCCAATCATTTCTGAGGAGCCCTTAGAAAATCCAATATGAATTTCTGAACTTAAAGATTCCCGAGATTTGTAACCACAATTTGTGACAATTTCATCAAGCAGAGCAAGCGCACGCCATTTATGAAAAATGTATGACGTTTAATGTCAATATGTCAATGTCAGTAACCTAAATTGTCCAAGCCACAGAACAAATAACACTGAAATTAAAGAGCGACAAATACATGACAAATCAATATCCCTATCTGCCATCTTTCTCTTTACAGCTCTTTAGGCCCGTATCGTCAGTCGTCCCTACAATTGTAGCGCGCGTTTATGGCCTCCTTGATTGTCATATTCCTTTCTCTCCTTTAAAAATTTCTAGGTTACACTTGTCCCGTGTTAGCGTCAGCGCTCTCCAACTGTGAAGATATGTTTTCTTTTTAAATTGTAGGAAATTTCAGGCTGATAAAACATGATATAACTCAAAAGCAAGCACAATTTGATGCAAATGTGACATAACCTCAAAATAGTGTTCTGACACGGAGAAGTAGAAAACTAGGCGCCCTATAATTGTAGGGACGACTGACATACGGGCCTTAGTCATCCTGCAGGTTCACAGGATGCAGGTTTTTTATAAGAATGTGCTAAGAACCACCCATAATTAGAGACGGGTGGACTGTAATACCTAAAAAAAATATCCGGACAGGAAAATACGTACGGTAGAAGAATGGCGGATAGTGTTTTATATTGATGGATTCCTTTTTTTGATTACACTTCGTAGCATAAGACATCTTAAACCGCTCCCGCACGATGTGGCGAATGCGTTACATCGTGTGGCAAGGCGATGACGGATTGCATGTGTCCAACGTTCGCCACATGACACGTTCCGGCTCTTGTCGGTAAATTTGACCCGCGTCAAAGGACGTTACAACGTTGGAAGCATGGTTCGTTACGCTCCCACACGAGATGTCATGTGTTTGATGGTTTTAGGTCAGAACCAGTAGCGGCGACAAACATTACTTATTTGTTTGCTGCGATTGTGGTGAATTAGTGGTATGTGGGAAGTATTTTGATTGGAATACCTACCTGTTCATAATAATGTATGTTCCGTAAGTAACTTTTGTGAAGAATGAATTAAATTAGTATACATACAAAACATAGACTGTAATAACAGCACTTTTTTCATATTGCCAAACACGAGCACATAATATTATTATTGAGACAGGGCGGTACTCAACTTCTAAAGGGCTATAACTTTGTTACTTTAATTTTACCAGAAAAATGTTAAAGGAAAAAACATTTCTTTTGATCAGATCTACTCACTGTTAAAATAAATGACTCAACTTCGAAGTCACCCTGAAAAATGGTAAAGGAAAAAAACATTTCTTTTGATCAGATCTACTTACTGTTAAAATAAATGACTCAACTTCGAAGTCACCCTGTATATATAAGTATAGCGATCTCAGATTTATATGAGGAGCTGGCAACGTTGCGGGATATTAATGCACAATCTGGCGACCATGTCACACCCTCAAAAAATGGCCGCTGACAACCACACAAGTCACCGTGTTGCCATGGAATAGCATGGAATTAAACCTTCTTCAGTGTATGTGTTTTGTGAAAAAACCAAAACAGGAGCTTCAGGATTTTTATAAAAAAACATTGCTCTATTTGTTATATAATCCAAATACAAAGGTATAAGTGTTTCACTATCATATACGTGCTTTGATTTGCAAATATTGTATTACACTAAAAATAACATTGCCCTATTTCCCAAGATAAGCTGAGGATTATATAACTTTTAGGAACATGGGAGGCCACGGTGGTCACGGTCATGGTCACGAAGAGCCCTTCCAGGTCCCAGACTATAGGATTTACAAGGTAGAAGACGTTCCAGAGCTCATGGCTACAAAAAGAGCCCTACAATCGCTTGGTTTGAAGGACCCATGGTTGAGGAATGAAGTATGGAGATACAATCCTAAAGAGTTTGGCACAGAAAGTGGCAGGTTGCGTCTGGCATTCTTCAGAGGTTTCAAGTATGGTTTTGCAGCTTTTGTGGTGACAGTTGTTGGCACAGCAATTTATGATAAAGTGTTCCCTGATGAACATGGCCATGGACATGGTGGCCATCACTAATGTGTTGTAAATATGTAGAGTAGATATAATAAATTGTTCAGTTTTTCCAGTACTATGATCATTATTCAATCCAGCTCCAGTATTATACAAAACAATCTACTGATCTGTAATAATAAAAAACTTGTGACGCTATCTCTCCAGACTATATTCTTCGATGTACCCAATAGCAATGGCTACTGCAGATAACGATCTTTACTGACCCATATCAATAGATCTACATGTACTTAATTTCAATTGAATATCTTGATGAGGTGGTAACGTCAAAACTCTTTTTTTCAAATATGAAATTATAATCTCAACATCCTGTGTCTGCGCAATGAGGCCTTTTGTGACCCATATTTATATAAAATTTTGGTATTCTTCTACTTTAAGGCATAGAAATATATACATATTCTCTCAAAATCAACCCTGCTTTCTTTTCAATATTTAGTTGCTATTATAAATTGATAACAGAGATGGAAAAATTTTTATTTGAGCTCTTAACATTGTTATCAAAAAGAACCAGGTTCAGGGTTTTAATATTTTTGTCATATGGCACTTCACTATGACTACTCCTGTTTGAGGTGCTTCATAAATTGGCTAATATCACTGGATTATAATTGAAGTTGGGAAAATCTGCTATCAGAATCACAGAAAAAAAAGACATTTAAAAAATATGTTTAATTATATAAACTTAACTGTATATATAGAAGTAGACAAACAGTTACTGATGGTTTGATATACAACTAAAACGTTATAAAACACAAAGTATATTTTCAGGCCACATAAGAACTGCTTATTTTAAAATTTGAGATAACTTCCTTGATTAGCTGCATTTTGCAAGTAGTTATTTTCATTTGAGAAGAGATGTTACTACAGACATAAGGCACAGAAGGTCCTGAAATTCTCCCATATAAAAATAAAATAAATATACCAACATACAATGCTTAAGACTAATTTTCATCTTCTTCAATTTTTGGAGCTAAGTAATAACGCAAGTGTCCTAGATCAGGAATCTGGTACTCTACAACTAAAGGTACATTATCAGACATAGACAGCTGTACTTGATTAGCAAGAGGTGTTGCCTTGGTGAATGAGTTCAAATATTGGCAGGCAAATGTTAGCGTAACAGGCTCTTGCATCTCAATGATGACTGCCTCTTCTTCCTTCTCAAAGTTGCTGGTCTGGGCCAATTTTACATTTGCACTACCGATATCACCCGAGGTGGAGAATTTCACACCTTCTTTGGTGCAAGAAATCACAATGGATTCACCGAACTGTGACAGATCTCTGACAATCCTGGCAAATTCAGCTGCAGGCATCTTGATTACACATGAAAAATCCGTGTCCGGAATTCCAAGGTGTTCTTGGTCCAGATTCATCAGTTTCATTTCATAATCGGATATCTTTTCTTGTTTCTTTGACTCAAACATGAAGGTAACTGTATCAGCATCATCTTGGGCCTTGATGGTTACTGTGTCATCATTGCTCGAGCATCTGAAGATCTTTGACATGCTGCAAAGAAAAAAAATATGTGTTTAGATTTTAAACTCATCCACACAACAGAGGCAATTCAAAAGATGTAAGACTGGGTAACTAATGTTGAAAGTGGCTTAATAATGCAAACAAAGGTTTTATTTCGACCTCAATCGACTAAAAAGACAGACCAACAGTTACAATCATTCCTTGTGAAATATATAGCTCACTAGTTTCTCTAATATCTTTGGAATTAAATAGAGTAGATCATTTTTAGTTTTGTCTTTAATTAATTATAATAAATATATGTGAAAGTGATTTCATTAGACCTGAAAAATGATTTATATATCTGTGCCTTAGAGGTATACAGGGTGACTTCGAAGTTGAGTCATTTATTTTAACAGTGAGTAGATCTGATCAAAAGAAATGTTTTTTTCCTTTACCAATTTTCTGGTAAAATTAAAGTAACAAAGTTATAGCCCTTTGGAAGTTTGAGTACCGCCCTGTCTCAATAATAATATCATCGGTTCATCGCATCGGAAACAAAAAAGCGAAAGAATTTGGAACGATGTTTTTACAATTATTTTATTCAGTTGTATACATACAGTCGGTAACGCGTGTGAATAGTGGTGTCTGTTGCGTCGCTCAAACGAAATAAAAAATGGCACATGTTTATGCGGATCGGTTTCCCAATCGAGTGCAACCAACCCCTCGTGCCTTTGTTAATGTAGTACAACGGGCTCGTGAATCAGGTGACTTAAGACCTCACAGGGGACCTGACGATGAAATACAGGTCCGCACTGAAATACTTGTCGGGAGGATACTTTATAAAACAAGGTAAACTTTTTTTTTTTATTTTTACACACATATTTTGGTTTATCTTCCTTCTACAAACATTATCTGAAAATTAATGACTCAACTTCAAAGTCACCCTGTATAGTTGTAACTCCATATAATGCAATTCAGAGAACAAGCTGATTATTTTGTGAGTTGTAACTATTTACTATGATAATAAAATCCAGGTGCAGCATAGGATGAAACACAGTAAGTACAATTGGTGAAAATAGCCTACATTTTATTATTACAAAAAATGACATCTGGAGAATATATATTCAATCGTCATCGTCGTTATCATCTCCTTGATGACCAGCACAGGAATATTTTTATAAAAATCATGGAATGCTTCTGGTATCCATTGCAGAAGCATGAGAAGATGATCGTGCTTTTTCTTGCAAGTCCTTTTGGGGTTTGATGCGGCGAACATAGTTCTAGTGGTAACCCTATCGGTTTTCTAGAGGATCTATTCATGTTTACCATTTTGTAGTCCTCTTGTAATATGTCTGTTTTATTTGTACAGTATCCCTGGATCCTGTTTTCGAACCTCAAGCCACACCGCTGATGACACTAAAAAGTTTTCTTTGTCTAGTGTCTGTTTCTTTTGAATGAGAGGTGATCCTGTGCTGGAATACAAGGCCTCGAAGTTCTTGAAGTCATCTACCTGCATCTCGAAAACTGTGGCTCCAGTTGATATTACAAGTTGCTGCCAGTCCCATGGCCTACATATTTTCATGGTTAGTTGTTTTTTTTATAACTCGTTCGATAAGTGCATGGATATGATCAGCTTCCACGACTGTTTACCGCTGCGTAGCGATGATTCATATGATAGTATTGTGTGTATGTATGGAAAAGCGACTGTTTACCTCTAACGAAAAATTACTAGCTGCTTGTTCTATTTCATATATTTCATGATTATCGTGGTTAGGCCTACGATCATTTACTCCACGTAGAGATTAACCAGGGATACTAATTATAGGCAGATAATCACAAAAACTGCAAAAATGGAGTTACGATCGTTTAAGTCTAAGGCACAGATATAAATCACATTGTTTACAAACTTGATCTAGCTTTAAGACTACTATTATAGTATTATGGAAAATTTGCTCAGTCTGGCTAGTCCTTTTGCTGTTACCACGTTTGAGGACAAAGAAACTGTGAATACGGTTAGGCGAAAATATCAACTTACCTAGCAAGGTTCATCCCCATCGTCAGGTTCCTATCGCAAGCGGTACTTATCAAAGCCATCGGACCGTAGGGCAAGCGACACCAAGGAAACGTGGGAGTTGTCCATGGCTTGGAGTTGAATCCCCGCCTCCGAACAATCGAAAGAGGCTTCGTTAAGAAGATCTTTGATCGCATCTAGCACTTTTTTGAAAGTAACGCTGTTTACCAAACGTGCTTCGAACATTTTGTATTAATTTGGAGATATAATTCAAGGAAATATAAATAAATTCAGTGCGCACACACCTCTGGCACAAACAATTGCTGATGGCGGGCGAAAAATAAGAGGGAAATTTACCCGCCAAATGTATATGCATATTTTATAGGTTATTTGAAGTGACGTGACAATGACAATGACTTTCGTGACAGAGAAACCAGCTGTTTCCTTCCATCACGGTCTTATTCGCCATTTTACATCCTACAGCTACTATAAATCCCTTTTATTTTGATGTGACTTTTTTTTAACTAAGACGCTTCACCATCTCACACGCACGTCAAAACGCAATATATGCGTCTCAAAATCAAAAACATTTAATAGTAACGGTTGAAAGGCAATGCACGATAAGCTCAAAAGGAGATAAAATGAGGTATACACTATTTCACGAGTATCCATCACTCTTTGACGTCTACTGAGGTCAGCAAGTGACATTTTTGTGTTAGTCTGCGACGTTGGCAATAATGAATCGGGTGTAAATCTAATAAAACTTGTTTGTTGCGTTTTGTTTTGGTTTGCAAATGAACTTTTCTTAAATAAAAGAGCTGTTAGCGAGTACAAAATGAATCTATAGCGTACAACAAATCAAACCACAATACGGTTCTGACTACCTGACGTTGACGGATCCGTCAGAATTCTGTGCCCTTTGCCGATATGGGGAATTTTGAAAAATTACTAGATAATTAGCTGTCATTCTACCATTATGATACTCGTGAAATAGGGTATATATGGTATGCCATGTCTCGGCAAAAGGTGGATGTCTTTCCGTTTGTCAAAAATGACAAATGTCATCGTCAAATCTGTCACGTTTCAACTTATGTCAAAATTGTGTCAAAAGCAACTTCAACTTTGCTCGGATTATCTAATCGATTCATATCCATTCTAAAAGAACTCCTTCCAACTCGGGAGAGCAACGAAATGGCTGTAAGTTTTATTCAAAAGCGGTTCATGTCCAGCGCCCTGCAAAAGTGGGCATACAATCTTTCTGGCTTCAACAAATACGGACTTTGGAGGGACGACTTGTTATACGAAGACCAGGATGTTGCAGAGGCTCTGAAGAGATTAGACCAAAAGACTGTCGATGAAAGGAACTACCGTATCCTGAGAGCTACACAGTTGTCCTTACAAAAAGATATCCTGCCCAAAGAGCAATGGACAAAATTGGAGGAAGACAAACTGTATCTTACACCCCTAGTTAATGATGTAATCAAGGAGAGGGAAGAACGAGAAGAATGGAATAAAAACCACTAAACATTGCATATTTTGTGTTAAATGTAGTTATAACTGTTATAGTAATTTTAAATAATGAATTATGTACAGAAGAGTTTAGAGTGTTATTGACCATTCTTACTGGACCCATAATTATTGGATAGGAACTTTCCATATTTTATTTACATTTTCTGGTTGAGAAAAGTATTTCCATTATTTTCCAATCTACCTGTTGGTACCAGATGCTAACTACCTGCTTGTTCTGCCAGATGGTTCATCTATCAGTCACTCTATAAAACCTCTGCTCACTGTAAGCTTTTATTTACGTAGATATACGCAATATTTATTTAATTGATCTGCAAGTAAAGTGTGTAAATAAAATACAAATTGTGTTATATATGCTTATATTTATCTACAAAATTAAATACATGTAATCTTGCTGGTAAATTTTTAAGGTACAACAATCTGAAAAAAGACCACTAACCCCATAGAATGCAATATTTTGTCCCAAGTGTTTCTATTTTTTTCCTTCAAATAACCTACATAGAAGCAATGAAAAAAGACTATTTGAAAATATCAGCAAGTTTTTTTCTGAACAATTTTTTTAATTACTGGCTGGTAGAGTGCAAAAAAAATAAGAGGACCTTGCATGGGTTCATAAATATCAGGAAACAAACATTAGATACTTCGATAAATCGGAAAACCGATAAATATCGATATATCAACAACTAAAAATATAGATATTTATCGATATCGTCGATATACCGATATCGAAAAATTCAATATATCGTATCAAAATATCGAAAAACCCACCCAAATCAAAATACCCACAAAATCGGGTAGAGTTGTGACGCATGTTCTGCGACCACTGGAAGCTATAACAAGAGCAGGCTTCTGCCGCACATTATGTCACTATTTCAAAAGTTGTGCCTAAGGTGAGTTATGCAATTGACCAATACAATTAATCGACGATCACTTCAAGCATTGCCGGCGATTTGAAGAAAAATATTACTCTGGAAATGGAGAAGCGTTTTGGCCAGTTGGAATACAATATGTTAATAGCAGTTTCGACGTTTCAAAAACTTACCTTTTAAGAAACCTGACGCATGTGCAAAAGCGATTTCAAGAATTAGAAAATTAATTTCAGAATATAAATCTGCAGCCGCAACAGGTTCATCACCGTCTTCAGCGGATGGAGATAAAAGTGAATTTGATTTTTGGAAGCACCATAAATCTTTGGCTCAAACGCAAATAAAAAGAAAAAAAAACTGACGGTGACGACGAGCTCACGTTATATTTTTCTGCTCCTGTAAATACTCTAAAAGTAAACATTATTGAAATATGGCAAGAGATGCAAGGTGTATATCCCAATCTTTTTAAAGTGGCAATGAGTCATCTACCAATTGCGGCAACAAACATTCCTTCCGAACGTATTTTTTCAAAAGCAGGAGCCACTATAACTCAGAGCAGAAACCGGCTACTAGGAAGCAGACTGTCAAAGTTACTATTTTTAAGTTCAATAGCTAGTACAAAATACTGGAATTAATTTTCCCAAATAAATGTATGGAAAGAAAAACAGATTTTATATACCTATCCGAATTTTGTTTCACTTCACATACATAAGTATAAAAATTTATATACATACATAATCGATAACTGTTTGATATAACTGAAACAACATTGGATTTCTAATTTCTGTAAGTTTCCAAAAAAATATGAAATATCGACATATTGGCTTAATAATATCGATATCGATTTATATCGATATTTATAAAAAGTTTGCATCCCTACCCCGAATTTTTTATACGTATTTTTCGGGCAAACCTCGTATGAAAATTTTAACGATCCTAAAAAGTTACTCATGGACAATCCATTCATTTATGAAGTTAAGGCATATAGCATCACATCTGTAGTTAAAAGGGGTCCTTTTTGAATAAGATTATGCAAAAAAAAGTAAGAATATTTTTCCATGCGAAGATACTTGCTGAACTATACTACAACTATTTAAAACTGTAATGACTCATACGCATGATCAACACGTGATCAGAGCTCGATCCCGGCTTCCTTCCAGTACAGCCGTATAGCGTACGACATATGTCGTTTCTGTGACTTTGCGGTGGTCAACAGCACAGACAGAGATGGAAATAATGGCCGATTGTTCTCCGCCGGTAGAACCAATGAAATCAAAGACGCGCCTACCGGCAGACTCATAGGCGTCGGCAACGCATTGGAACGTGTTTCGTTGAGCGATCGCATATTGTGTGTTTTTATAAGAATTGTTGTGTGATTGTTATTGTTGTGGTTTCTGTGTTGGTTATACTTAACCATGGAGAGTACAAATGGCACGAGTGGAAGTACTGAAAGCCAGGGAACAAGTAGACGGCTTCGTAAAGCACTGAAGAGGGACGCGAAAGTATGACAGGCGTTCCAGAGTGGACCATTCGCAGGGTGGTGCATGAAAAGAAGAAAACTGGAGCTACTACTGATCCAAAGTTTAATTTGAAGGGACGAAAGGCCGTTAAATTCGATGACGATAGCAAAATGGCGTTAAGGCGAACCGTACATTCATTCTTCTTTAGGAATGAGATACCAACCCTCAAGGCTGTACATGCAGCGATCAAGGAAAATGAAATTATACACCAAATGAGCGTCGAGGTAATGAGGAAATCCCTGCACGAAATTAATTTTCGTTACGAAACGCGTAATCGGAAGTCAGTATTGATAGAGAGACCTGAAATAGTCGCCTGGCGTCGAAAATACCTACGCGAAACGATTGAATATAGGCGACAAAGCAGAAAAATCTGTTATTTGGACGAGACATGGGTAAATGCAGGTCACACAGTTAAAAAAACCTGGATAGACAAAAACGTAGTGAGTAACCGACAAGCAAGCATTGAAGGTTTGTCAACAGGTCTTCGTGGACCGTCAGGGAAAGGTCAAAGATTGATCGTAACTCATATTGGTAGCGATAGTGGCTTTTTAGAAGAGTGTGACTTGATTTTCGTCTCTAAGAAAGAAGGTGATTACCATGACGAAATGAATGCCAGCTGCTTCGAGAGCTGGTTTCAAGGGGTGCTTCAGCGAGTTGAGCCCAACTCTGTGATCGTCATGGATAATGCTTCCTACCATAGTCGTCGAGCCGAACGTGTACCGACTATGGGATCTCGAAAAAGTGACATGCAGCAATGGTTGCGCGAAAAAGGAATCCCGTTTGAGGATTCATGTCTGAAAGCGGAATTGTATGAGAAAATTAAACAGTACAAACCTGCGAACATTAGTTACGTGACTGATGAGATGGCCCGTCAATGTGGTGTCACTGTGCTGCGGTTACCGCCCTACCACTGTGAACTGAACCCAATAGAGCTCATCTGGGCTCAAGTGAAGGGTTATATTGCGCGCCATAACACAATCTTCAAATTACCAGACGTTAAGGTTTTACTTGAGACTTCCATACAGCTAGTAACGCCCGAAGCTTGGCAGCATGCTATCCGTCATGTTGTGAAGGAAGAAACAAAAATGTGGCAGCTTGACCACCACATCGACACCATCAGAGAGCCAGTTATAGTCAATTTCAACGAGGAAAGCGATAGCGACAGTTTATTACTGTCAGATGTAAGTGGAAGCGACGATGAATAAAGGTAATTCCCAAATTTTTGACTTACAATATGTTTCAAACCACTCTTTATTAAGCATCTGACAAATCTAGTTCACCCATGTTAAACATTCATACCCCGCCTATGAACAGCCGACTACTGGTAGTTAAGTGATGTTCACGTGAACAGCGATGAGTCATTACAGTTTTAGATAGTTATAGTATAGTGGTTGCGCACTTGTAAACGAAATAGAGCTTTGTTTTCCTTGCATATATTTTTTTTCACGAAAGAATGACCGACTGGACGAATAGCTTCTATTCATCCTGATCTGCGTACTTTGGAATCTGTAGCATACACAGACGTTTCCAAATCTGCAAGCCTAAAAACTCAGTCTGCAGCCAAATTGTCTCCAGCATCCATTTTTCGATCCATATTCATTCGAACTTTCTTTATTGTAGAGAATAGATGTGTTCCTTTGAGGGTTTTACTTAATTTTAAATTGATTGTGTTATCATTCATTCTGCAAGCATACTGGGAAAATATTTGAACTGTGAAGATACACCTAGTAGAGGAGCTATGTAGAGAAAAAAGATTAGGTAATAAACATGTAGAACGAATTTAATGGTCAATAAAGTTTATTGAACTTGATACTGTGGCATACTTCAGTGTTACAAAATAAACTGCATTAAAACTTAGAAGAATTTGGTAGCATTTTCTTTTGACAAAATTAGTGGAATTTTCATGGTACATCAAAAGTTTGACCCCCAAAATAAACATAAAACACCTATCATTTCGTGTTTTGTCTAATCTTTCAAATATCAATTAATACTATTATCCTCCGTTTTTCCGACCTTGTTCATGTTGTTATGGTGAATTTTTGAGAAAAACGCACTATGGAAAGAGTCTCCGTGGGCCCAAGGTTTTCTAATGCACAGGTTTTGCCAAAAGAACGTTAGACATGCACCAGTGTGAAACTAGTTTTACACAGGAAGTAATTGCAGGACAACTTTTGTCCTAGAGTTCAATACAAAAAAAATCCGAAAAACGCAAAAAGATAATACTGTTCCAAAAAGAACAAACCAAGCTTTGTTTGGCAGCAATAAAACATAGATACTTAAACAAATACATTTTATGAAGAAGTTCTAGGCTTAAGTTCATCATAACACGGTCTGAGAAATATGTAATTTTTCTTCTGGGTGTTATAGAACTCGTGTCCTTTGCTCCAGTCATAGCTGACCGCGTACGCGAATATCTGTCCATTGTGGTTGAACGCGCACCTCGAGATGGGCTGTTCCATCAGCTCGGACGGCTTCAGTTTGGTCCTCGCATCCTTGTCCCAGAAGCTGAAAGAACCATCAGCACCGACGGTCGCCAACGTGCCGTGTACAGGGTGGAAAGCGATATCATTCACGGCGTAGATGTCTTGGTAGCCGTTCGGCGTGCCGTTGGAGCGATGGCATTTGAACGTAAAGTTGTCTTTGGGATTAGCCGGGTTTACATACTGAATGGCCACTCTGCCCTCTACGGAACCCAGCGCGTACCCGGTTGGAGATTTCTTCTTGTCCCTGCAAGGAGTTCTTATTACTTTTCGCATGATATAGCTTGTTTGCTAACTTCTGAGAGGCAGATTTAGGGAGATTCTGATTCTAACTGAATTTTGGCCATTGAGAATTATTTTGATGTCGTATACGAAACTATATAAAATGGCGTCAAGTAAGTTGACTCCGTACTGTCCATGCTATGCTGTAATCATTTCATAAAGGATTATGGTTGACACAAGTTAATCCTTCCGAGAAAAAAGTTGCGGGCGCATATGATCTTTGCGATGACCAATCCCGCGCGAATGACGATATTGGCCTTCACCATGCGCAGTACATGCAGTCCACAGTAGTATGGAAGCCACTGCCGACTGTTACGTTCGACCACCGAACACAACGCCTGTCCATCGGGGGACGACGTCGTACGATACGACTGTAGGAGATATTTCCAAGTTTTAAGGGTAAATGTACGGGGATGTCTGTGATAAGTTATAAATCACACTTTTGCTCATTTTTTTCTACTTTGTGAAAATAGAGGTTTTTTGTAAAATCTGTAAGTTGGCACCTGGCTGATGCGCCTTTAGAACCCTTCGAGTGAGTTAAAATAATTTAGTTTAGTAGCCTTAATGTCAGTTTCAAAATGTAATTTACCCATCTCGTTCTCTTACCTGAAAATGGCCACACATCTGTGCTGATATTTCAATGGGCTGTCCAATTTCTTATACTCCTGAGGTTTTCCTTCTAACTGATACACTATAATCTGCTTCCCAGCAGTTCCAACCACAGCCATAGGAAAGTCAACATCTGCACAGTAGCATCTATCCATATAAAAATTTATAGTTAGAACAATGGATCAATGGTACCATGAATTTTTATATGACCAAATTTGTATGCGTTTTAGAGTAATGCACAAAAGTACATAGACAAATATGAGTATTTATCAAAATACCTTTAAAAAACGAATTCATACTTCATTACTCGATAAACAATGCGTTATTAGTAGAAAAACTAAATTTTTTGTTTTTTACATTATCTGCAATGAACACACACAAGTCTGAATATAAGCACTTTTTTATGAGGACAAAAATATGTAGACAAATTATGTTCAACATAGTTTAGTACATTTCGGAGAAGAGGAATTAGTGTTGTGTTCATCAAGTATTGTGAATAGTTTATATGGAAGACATATGCCCTTAAGATCAGTCTGATAGAAGATAATGACCCGAAGCGCACTTCAAATCTCGCAAAGAAATTCTTTCTGGATGAAAAAATACCATTCTCAATGGCCTTCACAGTCTCCCGATATAAACCCCATTGAAAATCTATAGGAATACTTAGATAAAGCAAATACGAGATAACAATTATTGAAACAAGGATGAACTTTTTGCTGCTTTAGAGCAAAAGTGGATACAGATTGATGAATCTTATATCAAGAAACTTCTACAATCTATGCCGAGACGATAATAATGGTTATGCTAAAAAATATTAACACAAACATGGTTGGTTTTCTATAATTCAATGAACTTTGCTTCTTTTTTCTATAATAATAATAATAATAATAATAATTTATTGGTACTATTACACAAAAATGTGTTTGCACAGGTCAATTAAAGTAGAACATAAAAGAGTAAGTAAAAGTAACAAACAATACGAAAATAAGACAAACGTAAAACACAAAGTGGCAATAAAAGGTAAAAAAAAAAACTTGATAAAACTATTTTAAAATTTAGAGGAACAATAAAATAAGATGGTTAAAAAATTATGAAATACTAATCATTTTTTCATGTTTGTACTCAAATGTCCTTACACACGTCTGGAGAATAATTGTTTTGCTTTGTCTATATATTTTTGTCCTTCATAGTTCCAGTTTTTTCAATTAATTTTTTATTGAAGGGAGTCTAATGAATTTATTTATGAATAAGTGATTATTATGCTATAACAAATTATGTATACAGGTTGGTGCATTAATAAAACAAGTTAAAAAAGAAATACAGCACAATATTAACTTGTCTATATACTTTTGTCCATTCCTGTATATGTACATTGAACACCTTCCAAGTTGAGTAGAAGACTAATTTAATAGTACCAGGTGAGAAATGCAAGTGGAAATAGGCCAAACTCAAATTCTGATTGTTGATTTTTATATAAAATACTTTATAAAAGAGATCCATCCTCAACTTCAGTAGCTTGTGTACCTCAATTGATGCATTTTACAACATATATAAGAGAATGAAATTAACTGAGACGATTGAAATATGATGTTCGATATTACCTTTCTGGAAGATTGATGCTCATCATAGGAGTTGGCGATCTTGTATCCCAAAACTTCAATGTTTTATCCCAAGAGCCAGTCATTAAGCATGAATAATTTGGAGCTTTTATCCAGTGGCAGGTTTTAATTGGAGCATCGTGCATTGCCACTTGAACCACCTGATTGCTGGCCAGATCCCACATTTTGGCTTGTTTATCACATCCTGCAAACATACAAACTATAATCGTTTAGATCAGATTACTTCTTGCTATGAGAGCTACAACTATCTAATTTATTTAAAGAAATACGTAATTGTACTCATAGGAGTTTAATATTCTTATTTTAAATGTAGCTATTGAGACTAGGTATTTAGCAAGCATCTAAATAAAATTGAGGCAAACTTCATTTTACTTTCACATACTTTTTAGACATTTATTTATTCTGAAATTCTATAAAATATTGTACTAACCTGAGATTCATTTATCATTGTTGTTATTGTGAAAAATTAGTTGTTTCAGAGAGAAGAAGAAATGTTTCAAATCTATCATTATGTTTTAACTAAAACTAACTAAAAGAGCCTTAAAACTCCTATCCTAATTTTGAGGGATTAAGGAATCTCTTGTTACTTTTGCAGCCTAGTTGCCTCTGCTAGTATATTATATTGTTTTTTCACTTATAAAATTCAACTATCATCCTAATTTTACTAAGACCACTATAAAATTCAAGAGGTGGATTTTTTGGCACATATTCTATAATTTTGACAAGAACTGCAACACATATTGACAATCATGTAAAATAATCATATGCATAACCGTCTTGGTGAAATTAAGAATTACACAATAAAATATCTCCTCTTGAACATATTGAGAAGCAAAAATCTACCTTAAGGGGACAGTAGTCACCTCTGACAGGACAAAAGGCCTTGATAACATTTTGCAGATTAATAAAATGCACCAGATGAAGTTATATGTGTATAGATGTTATGGGGGCAACTGATCATTATACCTCATTCTAGCCTCGGAGAAGAAACAAACATGAGCAATGAATAACCACTTTTACTGCTATCTTCTCAGGCATTTATGGCCAATAGTAGCTGCCCCCTTTAACAGCCTAATGTGCACATGCTCCATGTATCTACCAAGATTGTGCCTATCGCCTAATATGAGATAAAGCATAAGCTTAATTACCCAAAGACTCCCTCCATGGAAACATAGAGTATATTTCAAACAATGTCTTGCATGGCCATGTTATCTTATCTCAGACCAAAAATATATCTTAACTATGATATGTAAGCATTATTATCTTCATACCTGCCATGAAGACCTTAGTCCCATCATCGCTCCAAGCCACATCAAGAACAGGGCCCCCGCAAGATTGCATTGACTTGGGCACACTGGTTCCATTCTGTTCGATCTCCCAGCATCTCACGTTGTTATCCCAGCTGCCGGCTATAAGGAAGTTCTGTGGCAGAGTAGACGGAGAAAACGCCAACGAACTCACAGAATCATCCGGAGGTTGCACTACTTCGAAATCCTTCATAGGATTCGCCGTGCTAGGAGTTGATGTTGATCCGAATGTACCCAGAGAGCTTTGATTGAACATCGTCAATTTATTTTCAGAAATGAAAACACAAAAATTTTGCTTCGAAAAATGCTTCGACTATCTACTTCTCGTACAATAATATTCCTGAAGCTATCCGCAAATCAAATAATCAAAACACGATTACCGTGCAGGGCTGCAGTGCAGAAAAAAATCACTAGAAAAAAAACTAGTTATAACGCAGTTAGAGTTGTGTGGGTTGTGTTTTTGTACTAGATGTAAAGATGGCTGGTATAGAGATGGCCAGAGGTAGGAACCTTAGAAATCTGATCCGAGTGGAGCAAACGTGGACACGCAAGGACGCAAGACTATTGAAATATACCCAATAAGACTATCCGTAACCGTAACGAAATCGTTGCACACAGCCCTAATTTCCACTTTGGAGACACTTGACACCCACGTCACGACACTAAAACACCAAAACAACACCGAGAGGCAATGGAGAACCCTATAGTGAACACCACTACTGAAAAAAAGTAGCTAAACCGAATCGAGCACGGAGGTGTGAACGCTATGACATTCCGCTGCGCCGACGGTTGCCGAGAGACTGCAGCCTGCAGCGTGTGAGTGCTGTACCTCGCTGCGGCGATACGGTAGTACAGCTACGCCCCTTTCCAGTTCCCACTCCGCGCGTCTGCGAGTCGCGAGCGGAACTAGTGTTTCCATCCCCGATCTTGGTAGTTGGTCAGAAATGAACCAATAAACGACGAGCCTATCTGTAACATGGTCTTTCTTAAATCAGGTGTCACTTCGCTCGCGACTCGATGTTTACGTTGACCGAGAGCAGACGCGAAGTGGGAGATGGAGAGGGGCGTGGCTGTACCGTATCGCCGCAGCGAGGTACTGCACTCACACGCATTTAGTCGGCGCAGCGGAATGTCTACGCGTTCACAGCTCCGTACAGAGCTCTATTCGGTTTAGCTGTTTTTTTTCAGTAGTGGTGTTCACTATAGGAATCTCGATTGTGTCAGCTAAGTGCTAGTGATGATCTTGGGTTGATATTAAATTAGACAAGATATCGTGACCTGGAATATAAATATTAGGAAACTATGTGTTTGAAACAGCCCAAAAGAAAGCTTCAACTTAATAGCAGATACGTATATCGAATTGTTATTAGGAGATACTCTATTGCAATCGCATTCTAATGAAACTCGCACTGTTTTGATGTTATATGACGATATGTATGTTAGGTGCTACCTAGTTCAACTATAAAATGTTGTGGGACGCAATCTTAGATAATGTCTATGTATATCGACGAATTAGTAGCGGCGAAAAACAGTATTTACTTGTTTGGTGTGATTGTGGCGAAGCAGTAGTATGTGGGAAGTATTTTGATTTGAATACCTACCTATTCATAATTATGTGTGTTCCGTAACTAACTTTTGAGGAGAATGAATTAAATAAGTATACATATAAAGCATATGCTGCAATAACAACACTTTTTTCATCTCGCTAATATTTTGTACGTTTCGCTGGTGAGTTATGGCTGACCTAAGGATATGTATTTTAGTAAATTATCAAGTAGCTTACGGTTGTTTCATCAGGATTTTGGATGACATTTTGACCCTAGGTTACTACTATGAAAATGACGAAAAAGCAGTTTTTGAAAATCGGTACAGTGGCGGCGAAGTTATTGTCGAAAAACGAACAAAACACGGTCAAACTTCGTTTTTCGCCATTTCTGAGGCTTCTGACAGATTTAAGTTTTGGTCGCTGAAGATAGATCTGAAATTATTTTTCGGCGCTCGAAAAAATTGTTTTATCGTTTATTTTGTATAATTTGTCCTTCAGTTGTAAAGGTTCAAGCGTGACACCGATAATGATAATAGACGTTGGCGCCACCATGCGTCGAACGTCCGAGACTAAAAAGTTCATCCAATTAGGCCTGAGACATATATGACTCTTTTCTCTGAGTTCGCTCATTTCGTTCATCTCTCTTCAGTGAGTCGTTCGTTCGGAGTCGTTCATTTGAACCGACCGGCCTCGAAGCTGACGAGAGTATTGTGTTGCCTATAGTAACGACTCACTGAGTCAGAATATACATCATACTATGAAAATGAAATGAAGGGTTAGAGTTGCCGATGTTATTGCATATATTTAAGTATTAATATTTTTGGTTGAAATTAAATGTAACGAATGTATACATTCTTCCGAAAAAATAAGGGATATGTGGTTCGGTTTTGAGGAATTACCGAATTCTGAATCTAAATGCAATTTTTGCTCTCAAATCCCATCATTTCAGTGTATAATTTAACGAGACATCTCACAACCTAGATTGTGTCATGTTGTCAGTTCGCAGTTCAGTTGCTGGATACTGCAGACGTGCAGACACGCTTTAGCACAATTGAAGGAGTCATATGTAACAAAAGAGTCGTTCAATCATCGCTCACATAGATAAGTCGTTCATTTTGAACGACTCGTACGCGAACGACACAAGACTACATCCTATCGTGTAGGAGACACACTTGCCAATTGTAGGGTGTCGAACGTTGTGAACAACGTTGAAAGCATCGTGTGGGACCCGCATTACGGGAATATTGTTTTTTATTCTCTGCATTTGCGAGTAAAACCCCTAGAAAGACTCAACCGTCACTGCTAAGGGCCGTATTGTCAGTCGTTCATCCTGATGAGCAGAAGAAGTCAAGTCCAATCACAACGTGCGTGTAAGAACATTCCCATCTTTTTAGGAGCAGACCACGTTTAATGACCTGCTTAGATTCAAGTGATTTGCAGTTTTTACTCTCAACTCTATGAACTGTCATTACCTGTCACTAGAGACTAGTCACCCAAGTGTGCTTCACTGATCACAGTGATCATTGCTCGTGATTCGCGATTCGACTGTCACTGTCTGAGCGGTGAAACCGATAGTATCTCCCTTGCCGATCGACCTAGATTTGTAAAATTATATGAAAACATCCATGCTTTTCGAAAATCGAGCATAGTAAACTAGAAGTAAAGTCGTACGCTATGTCTCGATTCCGAGTGTAAATACTTTGTACGTTGACAGCAAAAACAGGCGAAACTCATGAAAAAACTTCTCTGAAGGTTGAAGGTAAACAACCATTTTCTCTTTATTTTTCATAATTTATATATTTATCAAAATATTAATTACGCTGTGCTTGCATTTCTATAAAATGACACGGTATGCAATACTTATCCTAATTTAAATAACACTGACAATTCTCAACAAATTAATATTACACATAATGGTAAAATTCAGTCTGTACTCTCCAGAGTGAAAACAATAAAAATGCCTGTGCGAAGACACACAGATCCTATCCAAGTTGAGCTGATTTGGGACGCAATAAGATCAGCAAACGCTGCTCGTCAGACTCCTGATCTCACAAGGATCACAAAGTATATCCAGACAGTTGGAAACTATTCTCCGACTTTAATAGAAGGCTTTGTGAAGAATGCATTGAAGGATAAGTTAATATTGTGAGTAGTCTCAGTATATCATTTATTTATTTATTTGTTATTATTGTTAAACACAATAATGAACATTACCAGTATGTATTAAGAAAAGCTATAATTATTTATTACATACAACTTTTTTGCTAATAGCTTTGGTCCAGCCTTGCCAAAGAACATGTTCCCCACTGAATCTCCATGTTTTTGTTTGGATCTAATTTGTTTGTTGAAAAATAGGTTCTTAATAAAACTTACATTTATGGCACAGTCAAATTTAGTTATGCCCAGTTGAAAGTCATCATAAAGTCATTTTTTGTGCATTTGTATTGCATTGCTGTGTTTTTCCATTTTATCATAGCATACCATCAAGAAGTTCATATTTCAAAAAAAGTGATTGCATGTGAAATAAACATAAATAGCAGCTATGAAAACAGCAGTGAGTTTTTCATATATACTAAGTGACATATAAATCCGAACACCTAGTTTAAATGGTTTTATTTTAATAAAATTTTGTATAAGTACTTAATGAAGCATAATAAGTAAATGATAAAAATTTCAAAACAATTGCACTGCTTTAAAGCCCTTTGACCTTTAATAATGTGTGGATGCACCCTGATGTGCTACGCATTCTCCAACATGCCTAGGGATGCTTCTGGTCAGGTGGTCAATGTCCTCCTGTGGTATCTCATTCCAGGCAACCACCAACTCCTCGAAGTGCTTCTAGAGTCTGAGGAAGACATTGCAAATTGAGCAATCTCTTACCCATCATATCCCACACGTGCTCAATTGGGGATAAGTCGGGAGATCTTGGTGGCCATGGTAACAATGTGACATCATTATGTTGAAAGAAGTCTATTGTGACTCTTGCAACATGTGGTCGGGCATTATCTTGTTGGAAAGTTGGATCTGCCAGGGTGTCAAGATAGGGTAAAAGATGGGGTTCTAGAACTTCGTGGATATAACGCTGCGCGTTGATGTTACCTCTGATGAAGATTAAAGGTGACCTGGAACCATAAGCTATAGCACCCCAAACCATAATTCCAACAGTGTGATGAACATGTCTTTCAACAAAAAACTGTGGATTCCTCCTTTCACCACGTCGCCTTCTAACCCTGGCACGACCATCGTGCATGCCTAAACAAAATCGAGACTCGTCACTAAAGACAATACTGTTCCATTCCTGATCCTAGAGTGACCGTTGTCTGCACCACTCAAGGCGATTACGTCGGTGTTCTCGAGTTAAAGGGAGGACCCAGTGTGGCCGGTATGAAAACAAGCCAAAACTTCTCATTTGTCGGTAAACACTTCGCGTGCCAATAGGTCTTCCGTGTTCTGCAAACCATTCATTTGCAATGGACCTGGTAGTGGAGAAATGGTCCCTTAAGGCGAATAATCTTAGGCGGCGATCTTCACGGTCTGTTGTTCTACGGCGGTGTCCAGTGCCCCTTGCTCTTTGCGTACGGCCTTCTCGAAGCCATGCCTGACAACACCTAACCACAGTGTCTACACTTCTTTGCACTCTAACTGCAATTGCCCGAAAAGAAAATCCAGCTTCCCGAAGTCCCACTATACGGCCCCTATCAAACTCACTAAGTTGACGAAATCGTACAGGTCTCCGTACTCTAGGCATTGTAACCGATCGTAAAGGATGTCAAGAACCAAAATCCGCCAACGTTGACTCTTTACTGCGGCTGAAATATTCATTTTTAGAGCGTTAGTGAATTAAAAAAAAGCAGTATAAAAACCGGAATGTCCAACTGATAAGGCTGATACTTTTTTAACTTGTTATTTACAGTAAGATAAATACATTCACCAACTTTTATTAAAATAAAACCATTTAAACTGGGTGTTCGGATGTATTTGTCACTTAGTATAGAAAAAGTCTATTAGCTCATTTTTAATCACAAAACTAGATGTTTACTAGGATAGTTTAGATAAATATCATTTCTAATAAAATGATATGCCGAGTATGCCTATAATTATATTAAGTTGGATATTATCAGTGATAAAAAGCATATCATGCTATCCAATTGAGTATGAATTATAATGAGCTTGATAATTATTGTTTTTTGATAAGACACAGGCAATTCATTATTTCTGTTGTTTAAAACATACACAATTTGTTTTTGTTGATAGGACCACTGGGAAAAAGCAGGAAGGTGGTATTCCATCTTATAAGATTGTAGATCAGGAACTGGTATGTATTTTTTCTATTAATATATGAATGAGACAATTTTGAAAAATAGTCATCATTCAAACTATGACTCTTTGACTAAATAGGGAATCATTTTTTGGGCTTGTATAGTAGTTCATGTTTAAAAAGAAGCATTAAAGACTATAAAAAGGATGTCATTTAACCACAGCTGTAAGGGAGCTTTTTAATCAACTACTTCCTACTTATACAGGGTCTAGCACAAAGGACGGGTGTTTTTGAAATGGCTAGTACTCTCCGCCTATTCGGGTGAGAGTGGTGAGGAGAGTGCCATTCAACCCGGGCATTCCTAGGATTTTTACCGGTAGACATTGCAGAGCAGTGGACAGTTGAGCACCACGTTTTCGCTTACGACAGTTTTGTACTACATAATGAGTCTATCACGGCTGTACAGCGCCACTTCAATAATGATCGGAATCGAGCTGTTTCTCCTCGAAAAAACCATCCTTCGATGGGTTCAGTCACTCCACACACGTGGTATGCTGATCAACAAAAGACTACCAGGAGCTCCACAATTTCGACGACGACGTGTTCCATTCTGACGTGTGTGGTTTCAACAGGATGCGGCGACTGCCCACACAGCCAGAGCAACGATTAACGTTATTTTCTTCTGTGGCCTTTTGGTGATGTTCCTCGATCCCCAGATTTATCCATTTGCGATTTTTTCCGATGGGCACAACTCAAGGCTCGTCTATACGAGCACAAGCCCCGAACACCGGACGAGTAGAAGGAGGCAGTTAGCGTGGACGTCGCCCAAGTTGAGAGAACGATGAGTCTTTCAAGAACACCTCCAGCAATGCATAGTCAAAACCGGTCACCGCTTGACTGATATGATTTTCGCACTTATTTGTGACACACGCTATTTCATTGTAAACCCGAATCTGTCAATAAATTTGTTTTTGAGTAAAAATTATCGATTTTGTGATTTTTGAAAAATCGTTCGGCATTTGTGCTGGACTCTGTGTGTGCCTTAACTGTTCCCGATGTGTACGAGAGAGAAGCGCGACATTGCCTCGCAACGGGGACGCAGAAGGTCGCACAGGGTTCTACAATAGGTTAGGTTACTGTCAAACCCAAGAATTTCACTTCATTTTGATTAGATATGTTTATACACACTTATCTCTCGTACACATCGAAGAGCATAAGAGTTTCGCGTAAATTCGCTTCCCTTCCTCTCGAGTGACGTTCACCTTAAGACCCCCATTTACTATAACTGTTCGAAAAAATTTCAGCCTGAGCTCGATGGCAAAGATTGGTACTGCTTTGAATGTCATCTGGCCGGTGACGTGGTTTCATGTGCCAGGTGCTTCCGAGTTTTTCACACTGCCTGCGTACCCAGAGTTAGGCGGCAGTTTGAAACTGAAAAACAACTTAACTGTGAAAGCAGAGAACACGTGCTTGCTAATGAGAAAGCTATGGCTGCAAACCATCTAGGTAATTTGATTATAATTGAAAGTGGTTGGAATACTGCTCAGTCTTTAGTGTGTGGTTTCCTTCAGTTAAAAGGCTGGAGTATCTATTTCCTAAGTTAGTGTTACAGATTAGTCCTGATCAAAAATATGGGTCGCGTTTTAAAATATGGGGTTGTCCAAAAAACGCATATTAAAACAAGAAATATTGTTATTCAAATCAAGTTGGGTACTTTATTTTGAAGGTTCATTTATACCATTTATGTATGAAAAATAATATCGCTCAAATGTTCACCACGACTGGATTTACAGACGTCCACGCGATGGTCGAAATTTTCAATGACATTTTGCAACATGGTCGGTTCTATGGCATTTATCTCGGCAATGATGTTGTTTTTGAGTTCTTGGAGGGTGGCTGGTTTGTTGACGTAGACTTTGCTTTTCAAATATCCCCATAAAAGAGTCCAAGGGAGTCAAATCGCACGATCTTGGTGGCCATGGCACATTTCCTCTGCGCGAAATCACGCGGTCACCGAAGAAGGACTGCAATCGATGGATATTGACGTTGGTTGTGTGGCATGTTGCACCGTCTTGTTAGAAATAAACATCGTCCATATCCATTCCTTCAAGTTGCGGCAAAAAATAGTCCTCTATCATCACGTGATATCGCTCAGAATTGACGGTAACGGCGTCCCCGGCCGCATTTTCGAAAAAGTAAGGTCCGATGATGCCTTTTGACCACAATGCACACCACACAGTCACTTTTTGAGGATGCATCGGCTGCTCTTGATACTCACGGGGATTTTCGTTCGCCCAGATGCGGCAGTTTTGCTTGTTTACCGTACTATTCAAAGTGAAATGCGCTTCGTCGCTGAACATGATTTTTGATGAAAAATTGGCATGAATTTGGCGGTGTTCAAGGAGCCAATCTGAGAACGTTCGGCGCGAAAAATGGTCGGCCCGACGCAGCTCTTGCGTCAATTGGATCTTGTAGGCGTGTACATTCAAATCCTTGTGGAGAATGCGGAGCAAACTGGTTCTCGAAATGCCCAATTCTTGGGATCGACGCGTTGTTGATTGTTTCGGATCGTCTCTCACACTCTCCTTCACAACAGCAATATTTTCCGGTGTGTGAACGCTCCTTGGCCGGCCAGAGCCTGGCAAATTTGCCACAGAACCTGTTGCCTCGAATTTACGCACCAGACGACCGATGGTTGTTTCGTTTGGGCGGTTGTTGCGACCGAAATGTTCACGCAGCGCGCGAAACGTGTTTTTTATTTTTGCACCATTTTTGTAATGCTCTTGAATAACTTTAATGCGGTCTTCAATCGAATACTCCATCGCGATCAATGGTAAACATTCAACTAACAAAATGGCATGTCGGTGACAGAAAACAAAGATGGCGTCTATGTCAAATTGACGTTTACTTTCCTGCGTCGCTATTGGACAACCCTTTATAAAGTGGTAGAATATGTGTAACGAACTTTTGCGTCCTTGGTTCTGTTCCTTGTAAGTTGTAACTTCAGTTGTGTCGTGGTAAAATAAAAAATAACTTCTTATTGCTTCGGATTTTTTGGATAAATCAACAGGTGTTAAAAAATGTCTTTAATCAAATTGCCAACGCTTCGGAGTTTATTTTACGCCTTCCTCGGCGGTACAAAAATGTGAAATAATACATTTAAAGATTCAAAATTGTAAATATATATCTTCGTTTATATTCGATGATTGAAAAGGAAAATTATACATATACTAAACCGCAAGTCCGCTGGCGTGGAAGTAGTGTAAAGTATAAGTGTGTTGAGGAGATTGGTTTCAGAGAAAGTAATGCAGTAGTTACTTTGGCAATAAACATGCTCTAACCAGCGTTTTAATGCAACAATAAATTAATTTCAATGTTTCGCTTTTTTATACCCTTGACAAAAAGTAAGGAGTTTAGTTGAAAATTTATCTGATCTACAAATGACCTTGACGGTCATAGTCAAGGTCATGGACATACTTGGACATAAAGTTTCTTGCTCTTTTTATTTCTGGTGCCAAAATGGGGGTTTCAGTTCGATGAAGTCGCAATTAGATGCACCTTTTCAAACCTTACAACTTCATTACACAGTATTTTTCATTATCGAGCGTATTCTTCAAGATATTTTGCCCTCTCCCTACATTTGGACACCCTCAAATACGTATGAAAGTCATGGTTAAGGTCATGGGCAAAAACATACAGGGTTTGTCCGGAAAGTAATAGGACTGAGTCGATTTAAAAAAAATATTGAGCCAATCGTTACAATTCTTTAAAAACTTTCAAAATAGTCTCCTGAGCACTTCCACGTAAACTTGGCGTTGACGGTTTGTCCAGGAGGAACAAATTCATGGTGGACGATGCATTTGATGTCAAAAAAGACAATGAGCATCGTTTTCACTTTGGATTTACTCATTCTTCCCTTTTTTGGGCGATAAGAAAATGAGTCCTATTACTTTTCGGACAAACCCTGTATTTTAAAGAAATATTTCCTGCTCTCTACATTTTCGGTGTCAAAATTGGGGTTTCATTTAAGAAAACTGTATTGACCTTCAAAAGTGGACAAACACCATTGAATGAATCTTTCCAAACCTTACAACTACGAGTATATTCTACAGCATTTTCTCTAGGAAACCTGTTTTTCGAGATATTTCGATTAATAATACTTTTTGAACACACTATATATTTTCGCGAATAAAACCAAGCCCACCACCTTCCTCAGTTAGTAAATGAACCATTTTTTACGTCTCTGCATATCGTGGTTCAGACGTGATGCGGACAGACTGGACAGAAATTCAAATTTATATAAATATTGAGACTTACTCAATATTATAACTTTCGGTTACCATTTGCGGTAACATAGTATCTGCTTTGCAGGCGAAAGTAAGCCGAGTATGGCCGGAGAAGATAAAAGCACGGTACAGTACGTTGAAAGCTTGTGTTTTTTGTGTAATCTCAGCAATGTAGACTTCAGTTGTGGGATGAACAAAGAGGAGATAAACTATATGTTGAAGTTTGTTTTGCATCGTATTCGGGCTTGGGTGAGTACACATCTAAGTCAAGTTATTTTTGTCAACGCTTTCGGTGTGTGAATAAATTTACTCTGTCTTTCCGTTCTTTTTCCTCAAAGTTTAATTTCCAGCTGACCATACATGTTTTGTTTTTGTGATAGTGTGATCAAAAGAACTAGCAACTGTATAAAGAATTTATAAACGACTTACTCATTGCCCTTCGTGTCATATCCTATTACAGCAGACGCTCGATAATGTAAACTAATTTAATCCAAGTGTGGTTCATATTATCGAAATGTTTACATTAGCGAACGTGATTTATATAATATTTGATTTATTAAAAGAAACATACTATTTATAACAAAATAAACAAATATTCTAACAGCGATAAGTATTTTTTTAATTAGAAGAAAAATAATTAACAATTTTTGTCTGCGTAAATTTGCGCTTAGCATTGTCTTCCAATGCCTGCGCCCGTAATTTACGAAGAACTAAAATATCCGTGTATGAAACTTCTTTTCTTTTAGCCCAATCTAAAGCTTGGTTAAAAACTTGTATAGCTTGCGCGTCAGTCACTACACTTCTGACTTCAATGGGATCGTTCTCATCATCGTCACTGTCCATATCCTCCTCCTTATCAGCATCATTCGTCTGCTTATCTTCGTTCCATAAATTAATATCAGCAGGAGTACAAACAATGTTGGGATTCACTGTTTTCAATAAATCAATAACATCCAATGACACACTAATAACATTATCATTATTGGATCGCAAACGTTCTCTAATTACGCTTAAGGGGACATCGTCTTCTTCATCATCTTCATTATTGGTACAAAAAAGATTGTTCCAACACTTTTGAATAGTTTGCTGGTTAAGTTCATTCCAGGCCATATGTAAATCTAAAACAGCTTCTCGTAATGTTACTTTTTTTAAAGCCTCAGATAAGTTTTCAGGATTCTTTGATAAGATAAGAAAGTAGAAACTTCCTATAGTATAGTTTGGTGAGTCTTATTATATTCTGGTCCATCGGTTGAATTAACGGTGTTACGTTGGGCGGTATGTACATGACGAAAATTGTCCCATCCCTGCTCCTCAGTTGTTGCTTGGGAGGATGACTTGGTGCATTATCCAATAGTAACAACGCTTTTATTGGAAGCTTCTGTTGTTCTAGGAAACCTTTTACCTACAAATTGAAAACACATCTTCAAATTATGAATAAAGCATTTGTGATAATTGATTGTCATACTTGAGGGACAAAGCACCTGTGGAACCATTCCAGGAATATACTGCTAGTCATCCAAGCGGTTTTTGAACAGTCATAATCAACAGGGATATTAACATTTTTAAATGAGCGCGGATTTTTTGCTTTCCCAATTACCAGTGGCTTTATTTTGTGTGAACCATTAGCATTAGTGCAGGCTAGAAAAGTTATTCGTTGTTTCTCCGGCTTTCTTCCCGGGCCAGATTTTTCAAATGATGTAGCATAGGTTTTCTCTGGTAACATTTTCCAATAAAGGCCACTTTGCTAACTGTGTCACTCCCGCACCTAGTGCAACTTCGTCTATGATTTTCACTTTCTCACTCAACTTTAAACACTTCCTTTTATAGGATGTGGATGCCATAGTCGTAAAATATATTAACGCATGCAATGTATTCACTTACGTTCAAAAATGAAATACATACGTACTTATAAACGTATCCTAAACGATCATACGACAGACCGAGTTTGTCGTATTTTATCGCAGAGGTGAATCCCCTACACTCTACATCATAAATCAAGGACTCCCCGACGCCCGACATAAATCATCGAGGCTTCAGCATTTTACCGTCGCGCTGTTTCCGTGCGCCGAGAGTTGTTTACGTTATCGAGCGTACACATTGTTTACGTTATCGCGCGTTCATTTTGATCCTATAGAACGAAGTTTGTGTTTACGTTATCGAGCGTCTGCTGCATTGTGACTTCATTTTGTAATTTTCTATCATCATCTGTGATAATGATTTTTCAGTTACCCAATACCATTACTCACACTATGGCACAAGAAGATAGGCCAGAGTGGTTGACTGATACAGAACTAACATGGAGAGCTAATCAGTTATTTTTTGAGCATAGAGACATGTCTGTGATGGAAGTTAAAATAAATACCCAAACGTACACCACTTTCTCTGAATTCCTTGCTGACGTTTATTCTGTGCAACATAATGTTGCTATATTTCATAGTGGTAAGTTTCTCTACGAAGTTTTATTCTTCCTCATAATGGCAAGAAAAAACTAAACACTGGATGAATAGGATCTGTTTGTTTTCCATTTCTTTATTATTAACACACTACAATTCTACAAAGGATACAAAATAATTTGATTGAATGTTATTTTCCATTTACCATATACGAAACCAACTGACATATGGTCGCAAAAATGGGAAGTAGACAGATCCAATTCAGCTTGTCTCAAACATTTTACTTTTCAGTGGAATCTCAAGAATATGGCGCCGCAGAACTGATGGTTAGAGATGCACATCACGACATAAATGAGATGAAAATGTGTATCGATTGCTACAAACACAGCAATGAAAAGCTGAATGCAAAATGGTTTTGTTTGCCTTGTAGAGTGCCACACAAATTAGTTTGGGCTAAGCAGAAAGGGTATCCGTATTGGCCTGCCAAGGTAAATAATAAAGGAGGCTATACAGGTATTTCATCCTCAGAGAAATCAGTCAAATGCTTCAATGCAAGAGTATCTGTGGGCTTGTTTTTGCCAACATTTGGTGTTATTGAGGTTTATATCGTGATTTCAACAATTCCATCTTGAAGTCCGTAAACCATACTCTCTTGATGTCGTGATTAGTTTTGGTTTGGTGAATCATATGATTTAAAAGCACTGTTTTTTTTTTGTTATTTGAGGTCACAGGTTTATGTCATCAAGTCCACAGGCATTCAATGCTTCATCATCGAAATTTAGTTACATGTTTGCAGATGGTTGTGAGAAATTTTGATAGAGTGTCAGCAAGCAATGATGAGGAAGCCATTTGTCTGATGTGTGCTATTCAATCCAAACATGAATTAATTTCATTTGTATATTTGAGGAATCTTAAGGCTAACCAATTTGACAAAATTTGTTTGAATTTTCAGGTTATCAAAGAGACTGCGACACACTGTGATGTTAGGTTTTTCGGAGGAAAATATGAAAGGGCATTGTTAGTGAAAACGCTGATAAAACCTATTGTAGTTTCTAAAAACTCTCTCCAGGTAGGTAGATATTTATAATTTTGTACAGGTGGATACTACACTCTCTATAGTAAGCTTTTTTTGTGGAAAAAAGTGTTGTCTATTTTATTCCAGATAAAACCATCAGCAGCTTTTAACAAAGCCTATGAGGAACTCCAGCTACACCAAGCTATATTGAAGGATCCCAAAGAACTAGAAAAACTGCTAGCTCAGTCTAAATCTCCTCGCCAGCCCAAACAGAATAAATCCTTGTTGAACTTATCTAACAGTTCCAACCCTTCCACTCCTCAGCAAAAAAGAAAAGTAGGTAGGCCAAAATCCAATACTTCTGCAGTTGCAAGTGTCGGTAAAAGGAAGGCTTCTACTTCTACTGGTATGTATTTCACGGATATCACCATGTCTACATTTCACTGTCCAATGATGTTTCCTTTTTGTCCACCGCGTGCGCCCTGATCAATTTAGTTACCCCCGTCCCGGCGAATATATTTGTGCGACTATGTAAAGCACGCGTTTCAGAAACTCGAGATTTTTTATTTTTTTTCAGTAACAACAGGTGTTGAAGAGAAACGGTCAAAACAAGCTGAGGAAGAGACAGTTAAACCAACAGATTCGCCGCAGATATCGGGGAACGTGATCGATATTTCAGATGCGGAAGAAGAGGACGGACAAGAGTACTCATTTAGAGATGCAATGCTGATGCAGACTTCGCCAAAGTAAGATATTTGTTCATCTTAAATTTGTGACCATGTAAGGAAGAATATCACACATTAAATTTGAATGAATATACAGGGTGACAGGTAAATAGGTGTAAAACATTTTAGGAGGTGATAGTACAGCTCCTTTGCTATCAAAATTAGTATATAATACCATACCCTATATTCAAAGGTTAAAAAGTTATGGAAGATTTAATTTTTTTTAAAAAACAACCCAGATTACATAGTAAAATAGTTGAGATAAAAAAAAGTTGGCGATTAAACATTCTTTTGTTGGTGGTTTCAGGTTATTATTTAAATAAATAATTCTCATAAATTAAAAAACATATGAAAAAAGTACTGACAACGTATTTATTTTCATTTAAATGTTAAATGAAAATTTTTATTTTCAACTTTCACATTAAGAAGTCATTTTTTTAAAAAAAATCATAATAAAGAAAATGTACAAATGACTGCAAAAACTTCCTCTTTTCATTAGGTTTCTAAAATGGTATAATAACATATCAGTAAGTAAACCATTTAACAAAACAATATTACTTTGCTAGAAAGGACTGCTAAGCGCATTTCATTGCACTGAGCAGGTAAACCGAGCCTTTCATGGTTCGACCCTTTTTGTTATTTTTTGTACCCTGTGCCGTTATTCGGGTTTAAGTATTCGGAATCTGTCGTCGCTCCTCGGAAGCAAGCTCTGCGTGTGTTATGAATTGACACAGCTGACGGATCAAGGAAAGGGAACTAACGCTTACGTTAGTAGAATATCAACCTTTAACCCGGCAGGACGTACTTTTACTTTTCTGATCAGTTTTAATAATGGCGAGTTACCGTAACCAAGAATACGCTGATATTCTGTTTTGTTATGGTTTAAGTGATGGAAATTCCGTTGAAGCCAGGCGAGAATACGAAAACCGTCTTCCGAATCGGCGAATACCGAGTCATCGAGTATTTGCTTCTGTGTACCAACGCGTCAAGGAAAGTGGACAGGTTCATGAGAGACGTCATGATGTTGGTAGACCTCGGTTGTTTGACGACGAAGATCGATAGGCAATACTGAAATGCTACGGCAGAGACCCGACGACGTCTACACGAGCTATAGCAAAGCAGCTTGGTATAACTCAGTGGAAAGTTTGGTTCGTTTTGCATTCGGCGAGACTTTACCCTTTCCATTACACACCGGTTCAAGTATTAGAAGAAGGAGATCCCGCAAGAAGAATTGATTTTTGTCGATACATGCTTCATCGGGATCAAGAAGAAAACGACTATTTAACTAAAATATTGTGGACCGACGAGTCTAAGTTTGACAGAGAGGGGACAACAAATTATCACAACTTACATTATTGGGCCCCACGAGAGGCAAATCCCCACATGGCAAAGCCAAGAGCCCATCAAAGAAGATTTTCGGCAAACGTGTGGATGGGAATCATTCATACGTATCTAATTTGACCAGTTTTTTTGCCTGAAAACCTGAATGGCGAATCCTATGAAAACTTTTTGAGATCCGAACTCTGGGAGTATCTCGAAGACCTGCCTCTGAATATCAGGATGCAGATGATCTACCAACACGATGGCTGTCCCGCGCATTTCCGTCTGGGTGTTAGACAGTGGCTGGACGAGAAATATCCTTGTCGCTGGATTGGCCGAGGCGGACCGACACCGTGGCCAGCGAGGAGCCCAGATTTAAGACCGTGTGACTATTATTTATGGGGGCGCATGAAGTCACTGGTGTACGCTGAGCCCATAGACACTCTTGCACAGTTGAAAGAAAGAATTATTGCTGCTGCTGACACTATCAGAGGACAACTAACTGGCCGCATCACGCGTACCAACATGAGAAAAAGACTACGGGCTTGCATAAGAAACGGCGGGCGTCAGTTCGAACAACAATTGCAATGAATTTTACCTTCATTTCATTAGTGTATTTTACTTACCAATTGTAGTAACTTTTGGTCAGTTTTTATTATTCTGTAGTACAATTAAAATTGTGTAAATAATCTAATCGTGTAACTTAACCGTAGTTTAAAATAATAACTATCCCATAGCTGACAGTTACATTATTTTCACAAAAACACTTTCTTATCAATCAGAGAGTTGTGAAAATATTACACAAGCCATTGGTAAATTTACTCCCTATTGTTGTATTACAATAAATTATTTTAGTTTCACACAGTTTTTGTGCACTTATACCAATTTAGATTCCTTATGAAACAAGGATATTATTTAAATTGTTTGTACGTTTTTTTGTATACTGATTTTTTTGTAAAACACCTTACTTACTGTAAAACGTCATTTGTTTTTCTTAGTTAAACATTTTTGAATGAAAATAAATACGTTGTTTGGTATTGTTTTCGAATCTTTTTTAATTTATAATAGTTAATTATTGAAATAATAACCCAAAACCACAAAAAACAAATGTTTAATCGCCAACTTTTTTCTCTCGACTTTTTTACGCTGAAATATGGATTGTTTTTAAAAAAATCTTAAATCTTCAATAACTTTTCAACCTTTGAATATAGGGTATGGTATCATATACTAATTTCGATAGCAAAGGGGCTGTACTATCACCTCATAAAATGTTTTACACCTATTTACCTGTCACCCTGTATATGAATATATGAAAGTGCTGATTTCAGTTCCGTGTACGAATGTTGTAGAGCTACGAGGGCGGTACCATAAGTTTATTTTTCAACATAGTCTCGTTTAAGCTCGATACACTTGACCCAGCGATGCTCCAACTTCTGTAACCCGTCTGAAAAATACGTTTTTTGGAGATCTGCAAAGTAGGCCTCCCCATTCGACTCAAATTTCTGCCCGGCGAGTGACATTTTCAAGTTTGGAAACAAAATAAGTCGCACGGTGCCAAATCTGGAGAATATGGTGGATGTTGCAGACATTCGTAGTGAAATGCGACCAAGTAAAGCTCTAAAGTTTTTCGCTAAGATAGCACTTAAAACTGTATGACTTTCAAGCAGAAGTTTCTCCATGGTCAGCCTCAAGCAAGGAACTGGATCGTGATCGTGTGAACAGTCCTCGCTGGTTGATTTTTCACTTCCCACCCGGGCCAAGAGTCACGAGAGATCGAAAGCTTTTAGCCCCGCGAAAACGTAGCTTTTTAGATAATTCGTGAATTCTATACATTTTCGGCAACATACGAGGGTAGTCCCAGAAGTACCAGGCCTGACCTAGAGATGGCGATAGTTGTTTGAAAAATATCATTGTATTAGAAAATATGCAACCTACAAAGCATATGTGTCAAGTTTGAAGACGCCACGTTGTTTAGTATTTGTTTGGCAGCCATCAATGCTGAACGTTTTCAGTGAATTTGGGAAAATGGAGAAAATTGGGTCATCGTTATGTGGTACAATACTTTTATTTCAAAGGCCTCAGCCCAACCAATATAAAAGCTGAATTGGTTCTACTCTGGGTGAGTCTGTTCCTTCGTTTACAACAGTAAAATATTGGGTAGCAGAGTTTAAACGAGGCCGTATGAACTGCCAAGACGAGCATCACAGTGGTAGACCAAATTAGGTGACGACTCCAGAAATGGTGAAGAAAACTCACAAAGCGGTACTGAATGATCGTCACCTGAAAGTGTGCATATTATCTGAAAATTTGGACATGAGAAAGCTGTGTGCAAGATGGGTGCCGCGATTGCTCACAATCGAGCAAAAACAGTGTCGTGAAGATGTTTCAATTGAGTGTTTAGCGAAGTTTCACAGCAACAAAGCAGAATTTTTGCGTCGTTTCATAACCATGGATGAAACATGGGTCTATCACTTCACACCCGAGATAAAAGAACAGTCAAAACAATGGACTCAAAAGGGACAACCGGCTCCAAAGAAGGCGAAGACCGTTTCATGTGCAGGCAAGGTTATGGCGTCGGTTTTTTGGAATGCGCGTGAGATAATTTTCATTGACTATCTTGAAAAAGGTAAAACTATCAACGGCGAATATTATGCTAACTTATTGCAACGTTTGAGCGATGAAATCAAGCAAAAACGGCCGCATTTGGTTAACAAGAAAGTGTTGTTTCATCAAGACAATGCACCAGCTCACAAATCCGTTATTGCAATGGCCAAAATTAACGAATTAAAGTTTGAATTGCTACCTCATGCACCCTATTCACCAGATTTAGCCCCCTCGGATTATTTTCTGTTTCCAAACTTAAAAAAATGGCTCAGTGATCAAAGATTTTCCAACGATGAAGAAGTGATGTCGGCAGTTAATGGCTATTTTGAGGAGCAAGACAGTTCTTATTATAAAAAGGGTATCGAACTTATTGAACATTGCTGGGAAAAGTGTATAGAGCTCAAAGGAGATTATGTTGAAAAATAAATACATTTTTATAAAAAACTTTTGTTTTCTTCGTTGGATCGGGTACTTCTGGGACCACCCTCGTACACTATAGCTTTGAATGCCCTCACCAATAATAAAAGACCTTATTTACCTGGCGCGTATTCAGCTTAACAGCTACTTTTCAATACCAACCAGTGCAAAAAAATCATGAAATACAAAAAAGTACAGGTTTGCTTTTGCAATTTCTCCATTTTAAGAAAATATTTGTGATCATTCTTGCCATTATTTGCAATTACAAGAGTTAGATCAGATTCTATTTTGTTGTAATATTGATGCAGTTTGGACGAGGCCTGCCCACAAGTGACCAGTTCAACTGAGACCTTTGGCAAACAGCTGTCACCAAGGCAAGAAACTGATATGCATGTACTGGATCAACCGTACAGTGATTCTGTAGAAAAGGTGAGACAATTGTTGCGTTCATTTTACACACAATCTCAGTTACGCACAGCTCGTATCAGTTTGCTCAGTTTATTGCACATTCTCTTCTTTTTTCCGCAACTAATATTGAGTCACTTAATTTAGAGTGAATGTTAGTATGGCATGTTGCTGAGTGAGAGATGATTTCAGATGAGAAGAAGACTGGAACAATTACCGAATAAGGCTGAAATAATAAAGTGTGCTATGGAATGTATGCAAACTGAAATCGATAGAATTACCAAAGAGCACAATGACCATTTGAAGAGTCTTTTCGAATCACATAATCAACAGATATCAGAAACTAAGAAAAAGCAATGGGTGAGTTAATTTGAATCATAACGTTTTAGATAATTTCGTGGGATGCGCCAAGTACTTCTTTTTTGATAAAGCCTAGTACTGGGTACTCAGTGTAGTGATCTTCGCTGGACTATGTCACCTACTCAGCAATATTTAGATTTGAAACGGTTTTCCATTCGCAAAATTTCTTTGTTTTTTTCAAGAAACTCTCTTGAGCGATTTTATGCGTCAATGTCACGCTATAGTTTACTATGTATACGGACTTTTCAGAGGTTCTATTTTTTATATATTCGAGTCTTGCAAATGCTACGTGTATGTTAATGACGTACAATTTAAGACACTTTGTAGAATTTAGAATATTCAGTTAAAATTGAGACTGTATCTGTGGCAAATAGTTAAAAGGGTATAAGTATATTCTTTTGATATTTTTACATATTCGTTGAGGGGACGGCTACAAGAAGAGCTAGATAAATTGTATAAGTAGACATACAGTAGCGGACAAAAGTTTGGAAACATTCTTAGTAATTTTTAAAAAGTGCGCTAATTTTTTTTTCTTCTTTATTTAGGACTATTTTTTTCTCATATAGTCGTGAGGATACAAATGATAATTTGTGTTTGCTGTGGTACTAAAGACTAGCATTGAAATACCTTCTTTTTTTGGCAAAAATGAGACGACAAACGTATGGAAATATATTCTTTATTACAAAATCAAATACAATAACTGTACAAAAAGATATTTGGTAGCCTTCAGCATTCAATACTGCCTGACATCTGCTGCTCATAGAACACAACAATTTTTTACAGACGTCTGTTGGGATATCTTGCCAAATATTTTTTACATAATCAAATAAATCGTTCCTATTTTTAAAAGTTTTTCTTGTCAGTTGTCTTTTAGCACGTTTCCAGAGATGTTCTATAGGGTTTAGGTCCGGGGATTGCGAAGGCCATGTAAGAACATTAACTTTTTTTTAGTCTTAACCAGTCCTTTACGAATTTTGAGGTATGGTTGGGGTCATTATCTTGCTGGAATATCCATCGTAAAGGCATTTATTCTTCAGCAAAAAGGAGCATGTATTCACTAAGAACATCTTTGTAAAGTTTTTGATCCATTTTCCCAACAATTTTAATAATTGGACCCGTTCCAGAACTAGAAAAACAGTCGTAAATCATAATGTCGCCTCCACCGTGCTTAACTGTTGGCAACTGATACTTTTTGTCAATTTCTTTTGGCATTGGACGTCTCACATATGCCGTACCGTCAGATAAAAACAGGTTAAATTTGCTTTCATCGCTCCGTAAAACTGCACTCCATCGTTATTCTGTCCAAGTTAGATGAGTTTTAGCAAATTCAAGTCGAGCAGTACGATTTTTTTGAAATGAGAGGCTTTTGCACTGGGCGCCCAAAATCCACCAATCGTCTCTGCGCTGTTCTGACAGAAAGATTCTCGGCACCGTCTTCTAGGTTTCTTTTGAAAATCTGTGGGCTGGCATTCGAGGATCTTCAAAGGACGAACGTTTAATGTAGCGATCTAAAACATAATCGGTTGTTTCGGTGTTCCGCACCTGGGCGGATAATTTTCTAAATCGTCACTTGTTCATTTTTAATCTTACTTTTTTCTGACACCACTTCTAAATAATTCAATTTCTCTGTCTCTTAAATCTTTTGAAAATTCTTTCACTTTTGCCATTCTCACTGATTTACCGCACGCAATATCAGAGAATCGCAGAACGTATGAATACGGCAAAACTGGAATGTTTCCATATTTTTGTCGTTACAAAAACTTTAATATTCGTATTATCTGTTCCTTCACAGTTTTAATTTAGATATATGAAATAGTTCATGTCTCCAAACTTTTATCCGCTACTGTATGAAGCAAGGGCCATTAAACACAATCAAAATTGAGGGTGGGGCTCAAATGTGTCTAGTCTTGTCGGTAAAAAGGCCTCTCAAGTTGATCTTATAAAATCCGAAAAAAATTTGTCCCACATATTTTGATCTTTTATTTTTTATAATGTTTTGTTTGGAATGTCACACGTTTCAGCATACAACTGATCCACGTCCTTCTGGCGATATTATTTTTGTTATATTTTGGTGTAAATACATATCAACTACTACTTTTAACCTGTTGAATTATTGAATAAGAAAATAGTGTATGCTGCAAATACTGGGTGCGCCACCTATTACTTTTTTTACCTATAAGTTTATGTGTTACCATGCGAGTTAAACGTCATGTGGTATGCCATTTACAGTCATGGATTCGTTTACAACACAACAACGCATTTTGGTTATCCAAACTTATTACGAAAACGGTCGAAACATAAAAAATACTTTTCGCAAACTTCGCACTAGTTTTGGCCGATATGGACGCCCTACAGAGCCTGGAATTCGTTGGATTGTTAATCGTTTTGAGGAAACTGGTTCAGCTGAAGGTCGTAGACCATACCAACATGCTCGTCCAGCTGGTACTCCTGAAAACATAGCCGTAGTGAGTGAAAGTGTGCGAGAAGATCCAACCACCTCGACTAGGCAATAATTGGGAATTAGTGAGACCACTTTACGCCGGATTTTACACATTGATTTACACCTCCATCCATACAAAATCCAACTAAGCCGGCAGACCATCAACAGCGGCGTGTTTTTATGAATTGGATGCTGGAAAGAGAAGACGGATTTTCGACCAAAGTGCTATTTTCTGATGAGGCTCATTTTCACCTCAATGGGTACGTAAATAAAAAAATTGCAGATTCTGGGGGGCTGAAAATCCACACCAATATCATGAAGAACCTCTCTATTCTGAAAAAGTGACCGTTTGGTGCGGATTATGGGCTGGTGGCATCGTTGGACCATTCTTCTTTGAAGATGCCGAAGAAAAGGCCATTACCGTCAACGGGGAACGTTATCGCGGCATGTTAACAGACTTTTTGTGGCCACAATTACATCGTATTGGTGCCGAAGATCTTTGGTTTCATCAAGACGGAGCAACGGCTCACACATCTCGCCAAACAATCGCCTTATTGCACACGAAATTTCAAGACCGCATAATTTCACGAAATTCAGATGTCAGTTGACCCTCGAGATTGTGCGATTTAACACCTCTTGACTATTTTCTTTGAGGATTTTTGAAAGGACAATTCAAGACCTAAAGCGCAATATTCGGACTGAAATTGCGGCCATAGACCCGATTATTCTGGGAAAAGTAATTGAAAATGTTGATTTTCGGATGTTGGCCTGTAGACGAAGCCGCGACTGACGTTATTTTTCATACATAAATGGCATAAACGAACCTTCATTTATCAATAAAAAAATTCGATTTCACCTCGTAAAAAGCGTGTTGATTTTTCAAATAGAAAATAAAGTAATAGATGACGCACCCTGTACTTGTATAACAGCTAAACTGTTGTTCAATTTCTAACTTAATATGTCATAATTTTTAGTGCTACAATTGTGAGCAAGACGCCATCTACCATTGCTGTTGGAATACAGCATACTGTTCACAGTCGTGCCAACAGCAACACTGGCAGGCAGAGCATAAGAAAGTGTGTAGACGTAAGCGTTAAACAAATCTTTGTTCTTCTTGTATCGAGTATTATTTTCCATATACTGTTTCTTGTTACTTTATTGTGTTATGTAGGCTGCATTGTGGACTCACGAATTTTGAAGAAGAATTTCAGATGATCGGTGATCGTCCATACATTTTTTATAAAGACCTATGTTTGTGATCAAATATATTCTCAAACGCAAAGTAGTATTTATTATTTATTTGGATTTCAGCGAGTATTATAGTAGGTCCTAACACTTCATTTACCCCAATCCTGAAATTTCCTAGAATTCAAAAGGAAAACGTAGCTTCACAATAGGAGTGCGTTGACGCTGACACAGAACAGTGTAAATCTAGAAATGTATTTCTGAAGGAGAGGAAATTCTATGAAAATCCAGGAGGCCATAAAGGCGTCCTACAATTGTAGGAACGACTGACGATACGGCCCTTAAATGGTTATTTTACCACAAAGACACTTTTTCCCACGTCTCCCTACCTCTTGCACATTTAGTTCGATTTTTAAAAAATAAATACTTTTATTATTAACATTATACATATGAAACAACATTTTATGAAAATTAACAGCACAATATGTTAAAATAACTTTGAAAATTTAATAAACAGTTAAACGTTGAGCAACTTCTAACGGATTCGCAATTGATAAATCCAGAACAGTGATTATAACAGGATTTCTTCCTCCAACGTATGATACAGCTATGTACACTTTACAGCGTCTCATCAGAAACTTCCATTTCAGTATGCCTTTTTGATCGTCTGATAGGTTGGCGAATTGCTTAGCCTATAAAATAAAATATTAGCAGAATACTTCTCTTCTACGAAGACTCTAGTAAGTAAAAAATCCTTGCATTTGACTTTGACGGAGGAATATGGTATTTCAATCAAGCAACTATAGACAACCAGTAAGTCTTCTAGTCATATAGTAAGTATAATAGTGGCGGTTGCCCCCGCGAAAGCCACATCAAATAGAGTTACTTTAGTCTTCGATGCAAAAAATATCGGAAAGCCTAACTTACTCTTAGACCTATTGTCTGACTAACTACGATAATTAATAGCAAAAACGTTTCCAGTATTAGCTGTATGAAGAGCCGTTTTCAACGCGAACTAAAATGAATCCAAGAACCGAAATAATTCTGGCAGATGCAAACACGCTAAGTGCAGTTGCTGAGCCGTTATATTCAGGCAAGTTTGGATCATAAATAGTGATGAATTCTTTTAACACAACAAAAAGGTTCAAACAAAGCATCCTCTTCTGCACGTTATGCATTGGGATCTGTCGCATGACGGTCTGTTTATGAATCAATCTAATAGAAGCAACCTGTAAAGCTTCTTGTTATGTCGAACTTTTATCTGGTCTCTTGAACCATACCGTATAGCCGAGTAATTTCTCAGCTATTTGGTTTCCGAATTTGCATCCTACTAGTGTCCCACTGTGGTCCATAAGGTCCATTTTAATATCGAAAGCAATGTCCACATCATTAGGCTCGTTTTCGAAATTTGTCGGACACTCCTGATTCTGGCACACAGAGTCTGTAAGCTGTGTTTTACAACGAGCACTAAAACATAAAATATAATGAAAAATTATTTTAGTAAATTTCCAAGTTGATCATTATACGCAATAACAGTTAAAATGCATATTTTGACATTTAACTCAAAGATTAGATGTAACTGATACCATTACCATTTTATTAATAAAACTCTGGAAAATCCGTCCAAATCGAAGGAAGTTACGTGAGCATACATTAAAACTGTAAATTGTTTGGATCCCACGGCATTATTTTCGATTAAATTATTGATTCTGTCGTGTACCTGTTTCACAGAAGCTACGTCTTGAATTAGGGACACTGAAAAAAATAAAAATTGAGTTCGTCGCTTTATCACTTTTTAGCGTAATCTAGTTTGAATAATCATTAGTAACTTGATCATGTCGAGTCATTCTTTGCAATGTTTTGACCACCAACAACGAACATGGAATTTGATGGATCCAGTCAGTCAAATAGGCCCATACGATCATTCCCAATTCACCATAAATTTGAAACGGTTGCGATTTACATTTTCCCATGTGCCATGCCGATCATCGGACAACGTTACGATTAGAGTTGACATAAGCAAACCGGTAGCTGCTAACTCGCGACAGGTTTAACTACGACTTTCGTTGCGTTCGACGCAGGTATCGGCAGTGTTTCTACAATAGCAAGTGTTAAGGGCTAATGTGGGGAGAATATGCTAAAGTAACAAAAAAAAAACGAGATATACTACCCCCGTGCACCACGATCAATATATAAGCTCTCAAAAAATCCATTAATGAGCTGAAACTCCAAAAAAACAATTGGCGAGGGAAGTAAACAATACTGATCAAGATTTGAATAAAATTAAATTATATTCACTATAATATTTTTTTATACCGAAGCAGCCGCGCAGGCGGAAGCCTAAATGCCGGCTGCTATGATGATCCAAAAGAAATTTTGTTAATCCGATTTTTGAATTGCCAAAGGTTAGTAGAACTGGGACAAGTTTCCTCTTGTAGATTGCTCCGCAATCTCGACACCCTCGGGACAAAGGAGCGGTCGTATAGGCCAGTTCTGGATGTACAAAGTTCAACGCGATTAGTTATTGTGTGTGTATTTTGCAAATTAGACATTTCTAGATACTCACAGTCGGATGTAGCAAGCAGATTGTCCACAATTTCGGCAGTTTCCATGGGAGCATGTTTTGCATAATCTAACAAAATTTGCGCTTCTCTACCAATAGGATTTTCTGTTACAATAGTGGAGGATGTCACTTTAGTCACAAATTCTCTTTGGAAATCCGACCACTGCACACGCAGATCAGTTAAAAACAGAATTGTGCAACGTGGCTTCCACTTTTCTGACCTTCAAATATCAAGTTAGTTACATTGTTGATTTTCAACACTAATTTGTCTACCTCGCTATGATATCAGACTCCCATACTTCAATTTTCATACTAGTACTGGTCTGGTCGAATACCTCGACAGTACGAACTTGCAGCGTTTCGGATGTTCTTGCTTTAACCGTTCGTATGGTTCCTAGGCTTTTTACCACTACTAGAATGTCCACTTTCAGGTCTAGAAGAAATTGAATAACAAAATTCGGTTTGACAGCTTTAACTCGGAACTCCATATGTTAGTATTGTATGTCCACTAGTTCATTGTTTTCGTAAACAAAATAATCAGACAAAAATGAAAGTATACGCGCTAGACTGATACAACTGATCGGGCCAAAGATTTGTACTGAAAACCAAACAATAACACAAAAAAGTTTGCCAAATTTAAGTAAACGATAAACAAGAAACCGCTAAGAATTCACTCAGCAGTGGACGAGACAATATCCAAAAATCTGTATAACATCCTTATTTTTTTAATTTTTTAATCTTTTACAATGCAACTTTTATATAGGTGATTTTTGGTATATCAAGTCTTTTTGACGAGGCCTACAAGCAATAAATGACTCAACTTTGAAAACACCCTGTAAAGTAAGGTGGATTATCAAAAATAATATAGACATTCTCAATTCATTGTTGTTTACTTAGTCAACCCACACATGCAACGACAAAGTGCTAGGTAAGTATATTATATTTATATCACAATCAAAGAATTGTTCAATAGTAAATGGGGACAAAGACATTACAACATTTTTTAGTTCCATATGAAAAGCAAGCACTCTCATTATGACTGGAAGGTGATTGTACAGCCTTATGTTATCATGGTTATATAAATTCTATCAAACATTAAAAACATTTTGGTAGGTGTGCCCCAGGGTAGCAAATTAGGTCCATTACTATTTATTTTATATATTAACGATATTCGAACACTGCAAAATTCAACTATTTGCTGATGATACATTTATATATATATATATATATATATATTATATATATGAAATAAAGATATAGAATGCAATAGAGCTGTTAAATAATGATATGGAAAACGTAATAAATTGGTTAAATGTAAATAAACTTAAACTAAACACAAACAAAACAAAATATATGCTAATAGGAAAATCTTTGGATCAAAATACGATCTTAAATAAAAATAAATATACTAGAATAAATTTTATGCTGAAAGAACTACAATGGTTAAATATCAAAAATTTTATTGCCTACTTGGTTTTCATTTTCATATTCAAGTTAAAAAATCATCTTCTACCAAATCACTTAGAAAATTTTATTGTATTGCACCATGAGTGCCACAATCATTCTACTAAGAGGGCGTATAGAGTTTCACTTACAAAAATGCAGTCGCAATATAACGAGCAAGTCAGTATTGTATTGTACGAATTTAATAAATTACGTAATGATATCAAGATGTGTGTCAGTTTGAAAATGTTTAAAGGGAAATTGAAAAGATATCTCATAGTAGTGAAATTTTGTATTATCTTGAAGACATAATATATTTTGTGATATACTGTGTAATATGGATATTGTAGCATTAATGCTAAATAAATCTGAAACAAACAAAGGGCCAGTCTGCGTTGAGGAGCAAGTACAAATCCCTGTTTCTGGTATTATGGGAGTGGGCATCCTGATATCTTGACACACTAAATTTTGTTTTTACCCATAACGACAGCGGAATATATACAGTGTGGGAACAATTAAGATGTAAAACTTATTTCTGCAAGAATTACGACTCTGTATTTGAGAGATAATTCTTATTGCCGTTTTTTGTTTAAATATTATTTGCCAGTTGGTGCAGTTGTCCCAAAAAATACCACACAATATCTGTCTGTGAAATAAACCCATACAACCGAGCATTCTTATTTCTGCTATTGTAAAAAGGAGATTTTTCAAAACAAGTAATTTTTGCTAGACATCTTTCTGGTTAATTGCTCTTTATCAACTTTGAAGGCTTTAAGCCAGAGTCAATTGTAACACCTAAAAATCTGATAGCCCGCGGCTCAGCATCTTTCAAGGAAAATGTGATAATAGTCTTTTGGGTGTTCGGTGTTAGATAGTGTTGAGCCAGAGTTTGGCTCTATTAATTATAAATATTTTATATATGGCTTTCATGAAAAATCAGCACTGTACTGCTTCATGTCTGTACTTTAAAAGTTTAAAATGATTCTTAAGACGTAGCATTTTGAAATTTGCACCAACCTTTGATACAAGCTCCCCTGGAGTGAACGTCTTTAATTGCGACGTAACCGGCTAATGGTTTTGTGGGCAGCTGTAATAACTTGCGGTATCCATCGACTGGGCCTTCATGTAAGACCAGGTAAGATCTTTCGTTCAGTTGCATACTATAGGGGGATGTAACCATAGGGCGGTATTGTTCTCCTTGGTCGTTTAGAGATCTTAGACGTATCTTGGGGTTAATGATTTCCACTAAAACAAGTAATATACAGGGTATCCAGAAAATGAAGGGTAAACATGCAACATCCAGATTGAGGGTTTCTTAAAAAACTCATGCTGGTGCAGGATGGAATACTTAATAATGACGCACCGTCACCTGATGGAAAAGTATGATCAAAATAACATTTCAGCTTTCAGGAAACTTGTTTTCTTATATACGATAGAACTTACCGACGTCTCCTGTGTGGAATTTGTCGTTGGCTTGGAAGACAACCTCTGTAGACCCCCAAAAACTGACATTTATATATTCACACGGTGAATCGCGTAGTGTGAAATTCCATACAGCTATATATGATTCTACTGGAGATTTTCTGTCCAAAAATTTTCTTGGCCTTTGTTTACCGATAATTATCCCAATAATCAGAATACCTTCTATGTCTGGCAGTAGCTCTCTGAGCTTTACCCTTCTCAAGGAAATGTTATTATTATTGTCATGAACAGAAAGAGTATTTGTAGCCATATTTTGTGATCTATATTTCAGTTTTCGAACACTTACTAGCTATGAAAATTACTCGTTTTTGAACAAATATTAAATAGAACACACTGTAGGTAAAAAATACTACTTTTATTGTTGTTTGATGAACAAATGTCAATTCAAGTGGCAGTTTTTTGTTACAAGTTGTCCGCCTACTTGATTTTTGCCATAAAGTTGTTCATTTCAAAGTTTACAGACGATAGATTACAGATTTGAAATTGAAATTTTCGGCTCAAGGTGTTTATTATGGAGCGGGTATTTGAGAAAGAACATCGAGCATAGATCACAAAAATATAAGAATGATGTGATGTATCGAAATATGGTTTGCCTGCACATCCAAATATTACGATTAAGGCGGGTTCTTTAATTCACCGGTTGAGACACCGATGCAACCAATTTTACTTCTTTTAATTTCCATCTGAGCGACCGGTTTTACACCAAACTTGTCTAAATGGTTTATATTATTTAGATCTAAAGTTGTACTCCGTCATTACCCCGGGATAGACGTACGATCTTGTCACCTAGATTGCGGCGTTGCCAGCTCATCGGACAATTCTGCTACCTCTGCTAAAATGTTATAAAAAGGAGCTTTGGAAAAATATTGAGGGATACCACTGGAGATATATAAAATTTGAGGCGTAACAATGTTTGCCAAAAAACTAAAAAAAGCTGTTATTTACATTATGCGTCGGCTGGCGTCTATGCGGCGGAACGTTAATGTCTCTGAACACTTACAAATGCCCAGTTTTATAGGATAAAATACTTTTTGAATCCAACGATTGGAAAAAACAAAGTTTTATTATATAAATATATTTATTAACTATTTGATCTAAAATTACATGATCATTAATAGGAGAAACACGATTTTCATTTTATCTGCCATTTATTAGGGAAATATGTTAAGATTAATTGTATCAGCTGAAGAAAAATTAAGTCGTTTCACAATTCAAAACTAAGGTCTAGATAATTAACTACAATAGCAATCAACGTTACTTCAACAACTTGGTTCAGTAATATCTCATCTCATCCAGACTTGCAAGAGGAAATGTTCAGATCCGACTCTGCCCTCATGCCTCCGGTTCTCGGTTTTATAGCCGTTTTACGACTATCGGCAGAAAATGGAAACGAATGCAATATCGTTGTCGTCTACTATACAACGTTATTTTAAATTCTCATATATTTAAAAAAATATAGGAAGTCAACCCTAACATTCAAGTGATGAGTATGCAAGGCTCACCCAGTTTGCTGCACATGTATCCTGTTTCACCCAGAAAAGTTGGAAGCAGACCTAATTTTGGAGACACTTGACACCCACGTCACATCACTAAAGCACCACTGAGACACAATCGAGAACCCTATAGTGGACAGCACTACTAAAAAAGTAGCTAAACGGAATAGAGCTCTGCACGGAGCTGTGACAGCGTAGACATTCCGCTGCAGCGACGGTTACCGAGAGACTGATGTGTGTGAGTGCACCGATACGGTACGGCCGGGTAGTACAGCCACGCCCCTTTCCAGCTCCCACACCGCGCGTCTGCTACCGGTCAACGTAAACATCGATTCGCTTCGGGAGCAGACGCGCGGAGTGGGAGCTGGAAAGGGGCGTACCGTATCGCCGAAGCGAGGTACAGCACGCGCACGACGCTTCAGTCTGTCGGCAATCGTCGACGCAGCGGAATGTCCACGCGTTCTCAGCTCGGTGCAGAGCTCTATTCGGTTTAGCTACTGTGTTTAGTAGTGGTGTTGACTATACGATTCTCAATTATCTTTCAGTGGTGTTTTAATGTTGTGACGTGAGTGGCAAGTGTCTCCAAAGTGGAAATTAGGTCTACTTCCAACTCTTCTGAGGGGAACAGGATACATGTGCCGGAACTAGAGGTGAGCCTTGCACACTCATCTACTTGTGGGTTAGGGTTGACATCCTATGTTTTTTAAATGAATTGCATACACTGAGAGTCATATACTGAGGTATTGGGAAAAACTAAAATTTGGCCAAATCGTTTTTATTTTTGTCTTTTTGAGTGTCTTTACTTCGGTTGGAGGATACGTGTGCAAACCAAATGTCCAAAAAGAGTAGGGATATTATGATGGCGGCCCAAAATGCTAAGTTCCACATGATCTACGAGTTATAGTTGGATGCTAATTCCACATGATCTACGAGTTATAAGTTGGAGGTCAAGTTCAAATCCTTCAGCTGTCCATTTTTAGCAACCTCGAAACGAATGCCTGATATCTCTGCGTATAAGACGGATACTAATAAATAGTAGTAGGTAATATGAAAATTATCTTTCTCCTATTAATGATCATGTAATTTGAGCTCAAATAGTTAATAAATATATTTATATAATAAAACATTGTTTTTTCAATAAAAAGTATTTTATCCTATAAAACTGGGCATTTAAAAAAGTGTTCAGAGACATTAACGTTCCGCCGCAAAATGTAAATAACAGCTTTTTTTTAGTTTTTTGGCAAACACTACTACGCCTCATATTTTATATATCTCTATTGGTATCCCTCCATGTTTTATTCAAAGCTTCTTTTTTATAACGTTATAGCAGAGGTAGCAAAATTGGTTGATGTGCTGGCAACGCAACAATTTAGGTGACAAGAATGACAATGTCAAATGCTAGAACGTATGTCTATCCCGGGGTGAGCGCAGAGTCATACACATACAGTACATCAAAGCGGCAATTTTCCAATCTTCATTTGCATTTTTTTAAGTGTTGTGCAATGATTTCAGCAAACATTTCGCTACGGATAGTCTTCTAGAGTCTATTAGAATACATTTCAATAGTTGTCTTGCGTGGCCATGTTATCTTTACTTGGACCCACAACAATTTTCACCAATCAACTTTCAGACATCTGATCGCTACTTTTGTGGGGTAAAGATGGCGGGCGAACCTACTTATAGAGCTCTAATTACGTACCCTTTCTTTTCTATTATCTGTCTGTTCATGATGTTGTGTGGTGCCGTGTAATTTTTTCGATTTTCTAACCGTGTTCTAACCTATAATTTTCCGGACTTTTCATTTTTGTAATTATTATGAGTAGTTATCTTTAAGTTATAAAAATGCCCATTGATCACAAGAGAATTAATGGCCCTGAGGACACGTTGCCATATCAGTTGTTTACAAAGCTAAACAGAAAAAGTTTGGAGCAAAAATACAAAGAATTGGTTCAAGATGGAAAAAGACATGATTCAAGGGCCCCACTGGAGCATAGAAAAATTTGTAAGTAACTATTAACGCATCTAGTTTTCATTCAATGTATTGAAATGAGATTGCATGTTTGAAACCAGTGGCCAGATCATTTCTATTTTTTTTATAAACTGTCACCTTGATTATAGTTCATGCTCCAGTTTGGTTTTCTCAATATTAGTATAATTATATTTCAGTTATGAAAACAGGAGTTGTAAGTCAAGCTAAAGGATCAGCATATATTGAAGTAGAAAAGACAAAGGTAATGGTATCAGTATTTGATCCTAGAGAGATACCAAATAGACAAGACTATAGCTTAAAGGGGGAAATCTACTGTGAATTTAAATTTGCACCATTCAGTTGTGAGAAACGTAGACTACATCAACTGGATGCTGAAGAGAAACAGTATAGTCAAATAATGAAGAAGGCTTTAGAAGCAACAGTGTGCCGTCATGAGTTTCCTAACTTTCAAGTGGACATTTATGCTTTGGTGCTGCATAATGATGGATCAGCTTTGAGTGCTGCTATTACAGCAGCAGGTTTAGCTCTATCACATGCAGGTAAAAGAAATAGCTTAGTACAATTTTTAGTGACATATTGGTATTTCTCATTCCTACGTATTGAAATCGATGTAATCTAATATTTTATTGTAAAATGTCACTTTTTTGATGTTCCACAATATGAGTAAGAAAAAAAAAACAATTACACTACTATAATTTAATGTTGATTCACTCTTATTGGAAAAAAAATTATTTTGTGGCAAGCCTCGTGTGTTATATGTATATAACGTTTTTTTTTTTTCGTTTCAGGTGTACCAATGTATGATTTAATCACCTCAGCAACTCTAGGGATCCAAAAGGACACCATACTGATAGATCCGACAACAATCGAAGAGAGAATATGCAGAACACCATTTTGGAAAGAAAAAGAAGATAATGAACATGGTTTAGTGGTACTTTCGATGCTTCATACCCACAATCAGGTTGCACAGTTTTACCAGAGTGGAAGCATATCTTTGGACAAGTTGCCACATTTGATTGAAACTCTTGAAAAGGCTTGTGCAGACACTATACCTGTTATCCAACAGTGCTTGGTAAAACATGTGATAAAGACTATTAAGAAAAGTTCTAATGTAATTGAGGTGTAATTACAAGCATTTATGTCAATGCTTAATCTGCATTTTGCCAACAGTTATTATTTTGATACCATATGACTGGATTTTCATTAACTTTTATTGGATAAATATAAGATGGTGATCTTTTTATGAAACAATTTTCCACTTTTTTGAGTTTTTGTATATGATCCTCAAGGTAACACCAAAGAGTAGCTATACTTGGTAGGATGTTGTACAATCCTCCAGTCGACCCCCTTGACCTTGGGAGTCTTCTGCATTAAAGTAGGCAAGCCAATCGCAATTTTTTTATCTCGCGTACTGATATGATGCGATAAATAGTAAATTCTTACGTAGTTTTATACTACTACAGCAAACTCGGCAAATAAATAAGAATTGACTGGTTTTTAACATTCCAAGAATTGACTATTTTTAATTTAAATTGATTAGTTAACATTCCATATCATTACGCGATGTAACCAAAACTTTACGGTCGGCTCCTGGACTAATACAGTCTTACAAATAAAAACGACCTATCTGCAGACTGTCCTTGGTTTTGCGATTCGCTCATAGATGGCTGTGCATGTGCCGAGGGTGTGTTGACAAACTGCCATAAAATGTGAAGAAAATGCTACGTTTATACCGTGTTAGGATTATTTCTTTTGTTTCGTCAAAAAGTCATACGAAACATGTATTAAATATATTGTCGTAAGGCCAGGCTGTCTGAACAGCCATAATGTCTACACCTAACAGCTGATCAGCTGTGTTATGAATCGGGTGTAAATCTAGTAAAACGCGTTTGTAGCGTTTTGTTTTTTGTATGCAAGTGAACTTTTCTAAATAAAAGAGATGTGAGCAAGTACAAAATGAATCTGTAGCGTACAAAAAAACAAAACAAATTACGACTCTGACGTTGCCGGATCCGTCAGAATTATGTGTCCTGTGCCGATATAGGGAATTTTGAGATATTCCTACCTTATCCGCTGTCATAATATCGTGATGGATACTCGTGAAATCGGGTATAGAAGTAGATCGCGCTAGGCTGGCGGTTATGTCCAAGGTTATAAACAAAACAATTTAAAATCAGCTCTTTATCTCAATAGACGTCAAACGCGATGAAGTAACGTGAAACATAAATGTTGCCTTTTTATCATTTTTTTCAATCTACTTTTGACAGTTTGATCCCCAACCACTTCAGCGCCATCTAGCGGGAGCAAAATCGGACATCCCCGCCATTGTGAGGATTGAAAAATTAGAGGTTCTCACTTAACTAGTAGTACCAGACTAACAGTAAACTAAATTTTATTAAAACGTAAAATTCACAATAAATAGTAGATACTTTAAAATACGGAATGAGGGCTTTCTTCATCACTTCCTAATAGCATGATCAATCTAGTATAGTACACCGATTTTTATGTCACTGCACCGGTAATTTAATCAGCCACGAAAGAAGTATATTAAACTATTAAGTTGCACGCCTACTGAGGCAAAACGATTCAAGGGAACTGCGGCGACATTTGTTATTTGGACGCGCTTAACGTGACACGTGGCTTCCCTTCAACCGCTCCAGTGCGCGGGCTCTCGTTGTAAAGCATCCCAGCGGAAGAGATTCGCTTCTCTTCACCTTAATGGGCGCGCACCTTTACAGCATGATCTGGTATTTCAACGATCTCCTGACGTGTGATATCAGCAACCTTCCGTCATAACTCAAAGATGCGAATACCCACGGCTCTGCTGGCGACCACTCAGCACAATACACACTGTCCTCATGTTCACACCATTGAAGTGGCCCGTCTTTCAACCTACCAAAAAAAGTTCATGTTTGGAGCGAATTTTTTCACATTACAAGATGGCAGCTATTTGTGCCCCACGAGACTTCAGTTGGCTTCTAAAATTTTGATATTTACCATACATTTCTGAACATATTTGGGATCATTAAACTATCCCCCCTAGGAAAATTTGTATTGTATATCCTTAATAGTTTTACATTATTCAAATCATGCATCTTACGAATCAGTTGATGGTAGTATGGAATATTGGTCTTACGTCTGTTTGGTTTCAAGGCCTTTGGCATCTTCAGGTAAGCACGATTCAACGTTATTCTCAGAACTGACACTTGCAGCACTGGACAAAAGTACTCTAGCATCTGAACTCGCCGTCAAAATTAGTTGATCATGGAAATGATTGAACCTTACACTCCACACCCTGAAACAGAATACTGTACATAACCTTGCCAATATTACTCTAAAAAAGTTTTCAATATTATTTTAACCACAAAATATTACCAATGTGAGTGATCACTTCTAGCGAATACAGGTTGTGTTGTCTGCCTGAAGTCCCAAATCTTCAAGAACCCATCATCACCGCACGTTGCAACATGATATTGTTTATTCATATTATAGTCGAGATCTCTCACGAGTTGACTATGAACACCTTCTATACTCCATGCCAAATCTCCTGTTCTAACATCGTAAGTCTTTAGGTGGGATTCAGTTGCAGTGGTGAACTATATTACAAAATGGAATAACATCATAAACTAATGGAATTAGAGAATCAAGTGTGGAAAGCAGGAAAATGTTCTGAGGAACTTCAACGAGTGGTTCGGATTATAAAATCAGTAAAATGATGATGGGTACTCTAATCTTAGAGAAGATTCCAATAGGTAGAAAAAAAATTGTCAATGATCTATAATATGGCAAATACAATTTCATTGTCCATCGATTAAGGTAATACCTGATTACAATTCTGATAAGGATTCCATTTTCCAGTTGTAAATTTAGGATTGTTTTTCCCTTCCAAAGGAATGTTTAATATACTCTTTCCTGCACTTTCTGTTATATCCCACAGCACTACATGACTGTCGGTTACTGTAACAGCTTTATTTTCCTCAGCAGGGTGGAATTCTGTAGTTTTTACATCATTACCAAAAGAAGACGTATCTAGGGTTGTAATGACATCCAAATTTTCTGTTGTGTCTAGATTTTCAACTTCTGGTATTTTTAAAATGTCAGTTTTCATTGTACAACTTAGGTTACTTGTTACACTATTATAACAGGTTGATAACTTTGAAGCATCTAGAGGGCTTGTTGTGATTTTCCATATTTCACCATTGGTATGATGGAATACCTAGAACCAGAATGGTGTCGAGCAGATTGACTCAGTATTTCCCACACAAGTAAGACTATGAACATTTTCTAACTCTACTCCTACATGAAAATTGGCAAAAAGTCAGATTTTTTCTCATTTTTTGTTATTAAACATGAAGTAGACAAAGGTCAATTTTAGCTAAAACAGAAATTGGTTACTGTGTATCTCAAAAATCAAGAGAACTAAATTAAACAGTATGTCAAAGCGTGACCTATTTCCAGTTAAAGGATAGTTTTCTAATTTCCACATAATAGTGGCCTACAAATGTGGATTTTTCAGATATTTTATAAAAGATTCAACAACTAAGTATATCCTGCATTTAAATACATTTTTTCTTTTTTTTGGATATGAATGCAACATGCTAAACCTGTAATTCTATCATGAAGGAAGACCTTCAACCACTGTCTAGACATATTTTTCATATTGTATGTATCTTACATGATGCATTTACCAAAGTTAGATTTAACAGTATTTATTATCATTTGATATTTTGAAACTATGGAAAACAGTTTTATTTGCAAAATACAAAGATTGCAGACAGGTTGAACACCTCTGGCCATCCCTTTTGCCCCCAAATACCCCCAGCTGTTAATGTAGATGTTTCTAAAATTTTTAGTTTTTACCACTGTTTTGATAGTTGATTTTTCTTCATTAAACTCTAATAAATGAATCTGGTTGTTAGTCTGTTTAAGAGACTGTGTTCCAATAATGAATTGTATTTTTTCTGTCTCTCCTAGTTGTGGGGCTAACGCTCGAGCCTACAAAACAAAGATATCAACATAGAATGCATTTGACTTTTTTTTGTACTAACTTGAAATTCTAGTCCATATATGACGGCATTTTCGTTGTCCATTATATACTGACGGATGAATATACAATTAATTTGTTAAAGAAACCACTATTTATTTAATTTTTTTCCTCCACAAAAAAAGTGAGGTTCAGATTTCACTCACAAACAATGCTCACAAAACATACTGCCTAAGTCACAAAACATACGTCAATCATAACAGACTTGTCACCTGTCATCGTTGCTGTCAAGTTCAACCTAGTCCAAAATTAGCGATGGTCTTTTTTGGAATTTGCAATTTCAGCCAGGGTCGAATTCAGGAATAGGACCGTAAAATTTTATCCAGTCATGAACTGTACTTGACTCATTCAAATTCAGTTCAGAAAGGAAACAAGGATTCTTTATACTTTGTCACTATTAGTAGTATTACCACTACTATTACTACTCTTGGAAGCTTGAAAATTACCTTTGGTTCTAGGTCTAGCGCGTTGTCATGTCAAATATGGCACTTTTTTTTATTATGGATGTCTCATCTCGTCTATGGACCAATCGAATAGGAATTGTGTTAGAAGGCTGCCTAATTTTTGCTTCACTACAAGACACTATCTCACTATCACTACCTAAAATCAGACCTTACAACGGTTTTCGACGGCTCGTAGTACAGCCAAATGGAACCTAGTACATTTTCATACTCATCTCGATTCTAGATCTCCATCGCTAACTGTTCTGTCAACCTGTGTTTTGTGGTTTTTGGTTGTTCTGTGGCCAACCAGCTTCAAAGCTTGTGTTCAAAACGTTCTGTGTTCAAAACCCACATTTTTCTTGCATCTCTGCTTTATCTGTTGTCTGCTGTGTTTGGCGCTTCTAGTTTAGCTGTTTTTTTACCTCTATACAGATCTCACAAATACGTAGTTTTGTATTAATGTCTGGAATGGCGAATTCTGAGAACAGGTGAGAATGTTATATTAAAAGCTGACAAATTGGTAATTTCTTTCAATCTTTGCAAACTACTTTGCACCCAACGGCCTAATGCTTTTTTTACGAATGCGGCATATTGCCAGAGGCTAGATTGAGGCTTACATGCTCAAAATGGTAGTCAATAAATAGCTATAATAAAACTGTAACATCAATCTGTAAATTCTAGGTGCGTCTTCGTGTACGGAAACGAAGGCTGTGCAGACAGGGTAAGAATGCATACCTGTAGCTTAGGTAGCCTTGCCTCTAGCTTTTCATAACACTGTACAGTTGGTTTGCTTTTGTTGCTATTAACAGGTAGGGTTAAGTGTCTTAAACTGTTCTCATTGAAAAAAGCAGACCAGGGGTCTGATCTTCCAGTAGCACCAAGGTTTACTGTAAATACTAACTTAGGTATCTACCTTGCCATAGTAGAGTACACAGAGCTCTCAACATTTCAGATTGAACATCAGAGGAAACATTTTTTGTGTATCATTATTAACCCTATATTTACAAGTAAGTCTTTAAACCTACATTTTCTTGAAGCGAAATTCTGTAGGTCTATCTTTCTAGAATGGAATAAGATGGCTTGAAAGGAGGCAGGAAGCAAGAAAAGGAGTGTAGATCTGAGATTTTTGTCACTGAGGAATTTAGAACTATGTATTTCTTCCAAATATATTTTGTATCAATGCTTAAGGATAAAATCTTGATTGATGATTGACAATTTTTACAAGAGGTCCTGTTTTGAAACCTTATTCTCTTTTGGGAAATAACTTTTTTTTAATTCTAATTGTCACCTACAATTGTATGTAAAATAAATAATGTGCAACATTACACACTAAATATATTATGCTTTCATAACATACCTTGTCATGTTTCATAATGTTTTTATTAATATAAAATGGGGTCTGGTTTTGGGCACTTTTCTCTACTAATTAAGCTTGCTACAGTAACTATTATGCTTTTAATTTTAGATATCAGTATTACTATTGATAGGTTCATGATTGATCAAACGATGTTGTATAAATGGTCATCTGCTTTATCTTTCATGTACCATTTGAGTAGTTACATTGTGGTATGCATAAACCTTCAAGATTCTAAACTACTTCTTTCTGACTGCTTAACAATGTTATTGCAATGCATACTTAGTGAATTGTGGACATATTGGGTCCTAATATTAATTCTTGTGCATAAATAATATTTTCAAACAGATTATTAATTGTTTTAACATAAGGCTGTTTATCTCAATGAGGTAACTTTCTTCTTAGACCACCATCTCCCTTTGAAGATTAGCAATCCAATATCTATCAGCAGCTAAACGATCTTTTTATCCTTTAACCAGGAATTCTGTGTTCTTACTACAGATTTTTCATCTCCTAATCGTTGTTCAATTGTTTACTGGTTACTAAGCTAGACAACTTTTGTTAACTTATACAGTGTCTTTTAGAACATATTTAAGATTTCTGGTTTAGTCCTTTAGGAACCTGTATCTCCATAGGGCCCCTGCAGAACATTTTTTATCATAGCTGATTGCTTTATTTTCTTTTCTATATGAACAAATTACTTTAGGATAACATGCATTTTTTAATATGCATTAAAGAATGTTGCTAAAAATAAGTTAGGTACATATGATATCCAAATATTTAAGTGTGTGAATCTACATAAAAAAAATATTGTTAGTTTGCTTTATAAACTATGGTCCAAAAATGTTTCCTTACAAAAACTCGGGGGGTTGAAGTTTTAGAAAAAAAAAAATAGAAATTAATTAATATTTTAAGTACAGCTTCAGATATTTCACTGATATTTAGTATGTAGTGAAAGTTAATAAAGATGCATATTTTTCAATTTTTAACATGAAGACGATGAATATTAGAAAATGTTCGACTATCTGGCAAAGCACGATCGGGATATCTCTGGTGATAAATCCGTCTGGCTTGCTTACCATTACCGGCGGCAAGGCCATATACGTAACACATTTCCGCCATTTCTGCAATTTCTGCATTTAAATAATTCACCGTTATTAACAAGATTGTAAAAACTATGAAAAAGATGTCACAGCAAACAGATTTGAATAACAGACTTGTAAGATGCCATGACATATTCCAGGGCAACTAGATATTTATTGCTAAATTGCATTCTTCAATTATTTCATTAATTTTCTTGTACAGTAGAACGGTTTTTATCTTTTTACTCAAAAATGGCGCATAGAAGAAAAACAATTCAGGAAAGATCATTTGTTTTAAATTGAACGGGGAATTCAAAAATAATTTTTATTTGGCAAAAAACCATTGGCGTACCATTTTTTTCTTAAAAAATACCCGTACGAATGCGACTGTTAAAGCTAAAAATTATCTTTTAATTGAAAAATATGCAACTCTATTAACTTTCACTATGTTACTATCAGTGAAATATCTGAAGTGGTTCTGAAAATATTAATTTCCATTTTTTTTCTAAGACTTCAACACTTTTGAACGTTTATAAAGCAAACTAACATTTGTTTTCCATGTAGATTCACACCCTTAAATATTCGCATATCATTAAGGAACACCCTGTATATTGTATTTGGTAGATACAGTTTCTAGGAAGCTTCATGCATGAGTATCTGCCATCTGTTATCTGATTTACAATTCTCATTTTTACAGAGGAATCTTTATTGTATTATTTATTATAGATTGAATGGGTTATAGTAGTATGTAGTATTGAGTAGTATTTTTGCACATTGCCATGAAGGTAATGGTTCAGTGCATGGTATTTGTTACATATTCCGACATCTCGCTGTCGCAAAATGTTACAATGACTCAGGATGTGTTGATTCTACCACCATCTGTGGAAATCAAAGATAATTCTAAGATAAGTTAATACACAAGTCTCATCAAAATTGAAATAAATCTGATAAAAATGAGAACAAATAATTGAATTACGTGTTCGAGCGAGATCTCTAAGGGCCGTATCGTCAGTCGTTCTCACAATAGGAAGGTTCGCCATTTTTTGATTTTTACTCAAATCGCTAGATTTTGGGGCTCCTAATAGGCGTAACAAGGTAAAAAGGTATGTATGATAATTTAAATTCCATAATATTATTAGTTTTCAATATTCTAAAGCAAAGCAGGATCAATTTTTGCGCAGAAATACAAAAAATACTACCCATTGCAGCTAAACAAAAAAAATTAGCTTCATATAGGTACTTACCGAACTACTTTAACTAAGGTTAATTTAAATTTGCATTATTTGCCAAAAACTCGTGCACCATTTCCACATTCTCACGCGAATCAGCTTTCCGATAACCTTGGAGCATTGTGTTAGTGCATAAACGCCGGTCCCAGTTTATATAAATTCGTATCCGTATACTCTTCACTCCGTATACAAGACACAAGATACAAGTACTCTATGAGGGCTAAAGCAGGTGTCTGGCTACTGACGTTACGCGGTCTAGTCTCGCGTACAGTTACGTTTTCCAGCCTCGCGTCGATCCTCGATTTTAAAATGCTTTCCGTCGATGTAAATATTAATATTTTGAACTCAAATTTCATTGACCGTTTTTTATTACAAAATCCCTCGATTTTAATTAAAATAAGAGAAATACGAAAAATGTCGAACCTTCCTATTGCAGGATACCTTTATGGCCTCCTATATTACAAGTTTTTCAACGTTATACTGTAACCTAGGAATATTAATGTGACCAAGAAATATACCACTGTATTCTTGTTGCCTGAATACGTGTCAAAATTTATAAAATTTCATGCTTGCTTATATATATTTACATATACATATATTGCTTCTATTTTAGGCTAGGCTGCAAAGAGAATTTGGCGAATTTGGAAGAGTGAAGAAAATCTTCACTGAAAATAGCGGAAAATATTCAAAGGTTTATTTTGATAATATAGAGTAAGTTTGTTGTGTTGCATTTGTAAGCCATAATTAAGTCTCGTTGTTTCTAGAAAGTGCAAAGAGGTCGCGGACGCTTTCAAAGTAAATCATTTTGGCTGGGTAGTGCAGTATCCCAACTGTGGAGGTGACAATCGAGAATTTGAGAGCAATTTGAGGTAAACATCCATTATTAATTCACAATTTGGGCTTCTTCCATTCTGAAAGATGTCTCGCATATCTGTAAAGGATCAAGCACATTCCTCATAGGAAGTTATCGAGAATCTCCAAAACCAATGGTAAAAGAGATATTTTCTGGATGCTATATGACATGTACAACTTTATTAGAAATCATAATCTAATTGACTGTATTTTTTAACAGAATGCGTTCAGTAATCCATAGTGAATTATATTCGTTTGCAGAAAAGAACTTCCATCATCTGGATTGTCTCTCGCAAAACAACCTCCACCAGCTAGATTGTCTCTCGCAAAACAACCTCCACCAGCTAGATTGTCGGTATCATCCGTGATCAGCTCTGATCAAGTCTGGAATAGTACCATGGATTTTGCAGACGACGAATTGGACTTCACTGCGAATAGCGATTACTGCACCCTTCACGGAGATCCGGTTGTCGTTCTTACTGACGATTCTGGGGAGATTTACGTCAATTACAGGGATGTTAAGAAGGCGGGATTCGCTCTTTTCAGGAGGGAGAATTTTGACGCATTGTTGTTGGATAGGAAGTGAGTATGCTGTGCGTCTTATGGGAGAACGATATCTATGTAAAAAGGACCGTCGCAAAGTCAACAGGACTTTTGAAATACAGCAGACGCTCGATAACGTAAACACGGGATAATGAAAACTTGCGCTAATGTAAACACAAACTTCGTTCTATAGGATCAAACGGAACGCGCGATCGTAAACAATGTGTACGCTCGATAACGTAAACAACTCTCGGCGCACGGAAACAGCGCGACGGTAAAATGCTGAAGCCTCGATGATTTATGTCGGGCGTCGGGGAGTCCCCGATTTATGATGTAGAGTGTAGGGGATTCACCTCTGCGATAAAATACGACAAACTCGGTCAGTCGTATGATCGTTTAGGATACGTTTATACGTACGTATGTATTTCATTTTTGAACTTAACTTAAGTGAATACATTGCACGCGTTAATATATTTTACGACTATATCATCCACATCCTATAAAAGAAAGTGTTTAAAGTTGAGTGAGAAAGTGAAAATCATAGTTGCACTACGTGCGGGAGTGACACAGTTAGCAAAAAAATATGGAGTATCGAAAGCAACAATCTGTAAAATTAAGCGTATGAAAACTCAAATTTTACAAAGAACGTGCAATACATTTGGAGGTCCGGGAAAAAGAAAAACTTTAAAAAAAGCGAAGGCACCTAAAATGGAAAATTCCCTGTATAAGTGGTTTTTAAAACATCGGGAAAATCATGTCCCAGATAGTGGCGAAGTACTTAAACAGAGAGCGAGAAAAACTGGAAGAAACTGAAAATTTCGTAGCTAGTGATGGCTGGCTACGATTCAAAACAAGATATGGAATTCGACTGCTGTCTATATCTGGTGAAAAATTATCAGCACAACCACAATTAGTGCAACCATTCAAAGAAAAATTGATGAAAACAATTACCGAGCTAGATTTAAGAATGGAACAAATTTACAACGCAGATGAAAGTGGCCTTTATTGGAAAATGTTACCAGAGAAAACCTATGCTGCATCATTTGAAAAATCTGCCCCGGGAAGAAAGCCGGAGAAACAACGAATAACGTTTCTAGCCTGCACTAATGCTAATGGTCTGTCTTATCAAAGAATCCTGAAAACTTATCTGAGGCTTTAAACAAAGTAACATTACGAGAAGCTGTTTTAGATTTACATATGGCCTGGAATGAACTTAACCAGCAAACTATTCAAAAATGTTGGAACAATCTCTTTTGTACCAATAATGAAGATGATGAAGAAGACGATGTCCCCTTAAGCGTAATTAGAGAACGTTTGCGATCCAATAATGATAATGTTATTAGTGTGTCATTGGATGTTGTTGATTTATTGAAAACAGTGAATCCCAACATTGTTTGTACTCCTGCTGATATTAATTTATGGAACGAAGATAAGCAGACGAATGATGCTGATAAGGAGGAGGATATGCACAGTTAGGATGATGAGAACGATCCCATTGAAGTCAGAAGTGTAGTGACTGACGCGCAAGCTATACAAGTTTTTAACCAAGCTTTAGATTGGGCTGAAAGAAAAGAAGTTTTATACACGGATATTTTAGTTCTTCGTAAATTACGGGCGCAGGCATTGGAAGACAATGCTAAGCGCAAATTTACGCAGACAAAAATTGTTAATTATTGTTCTTCTAATTAAAAAAATACTTATCGCTGTTAGAATATTTGTTTATTTTGTTATAAATAGTATGTATTAAACGTGTCTTTTAATAAATCAAATATTATATAAATCACGTTCGCTAATGTAAACATTTCGATAATGTGAACCACACTTGGATTAAATTAGTTTACATTATCGAGCGTCTGCTGTATATCCGATACAAGTAGCGCCATTTATTATCGCAGACTAGCGCCATATGTAATAAGTAAACAGATCGAGTCTCCGTACCATGGGCGCATCTTAATCTTCAACGCATCTGCTACTCTCTCTAGTACGCATGAAGTGGGTAACAGAGGACCGCATTCTCTTCCTGGGAATACGCTAATAAATTTAGCAGGAGCTATCGGTCTCCTCCATTGATCGTATTTCCGGGCATTGTACAATTTTATATTGAAGATTGGTAACAGGTCAACTCAAATTGCACGCCGATGTCAAGTAAGTTGTCACTCTGACAAATATGATTGAAGGACGCTCATACGTAATGACAAAGTTTTCGAGACACACAACTAAAAAACGTATGTCTTTGAGCTTACCTAACAAACGTTTATAGACAGGGGTAGGTTGCATGTGTATGTATGATGAAGATGGACAGTTATGAAGGCATACTCGTAGTCTTACTTTGACCTGCCAATAACGGTGACTTCAACTATACATCAGTATCTCTCCTTTACAACTTAAAAGGTTAAATACTTGAGAAGATTTGTTTCTTGCAGCCAAGTGTCTAAGGAGTTCGAGTTGTTTTTGTTAGCTGAGGCAAGGAATTATATCTTGAAGAGGCGGCTCAACTTCAGTGAAGATGAGATACTGTCGACAATTGCAAGGTATTTTATTTATTAAATAAAATCGTATGATATTTACGGATACGGATGGCGTTTTTTTTTAATTTCTCAAGGGTATGATAATGTAAGGGTTTTACTTGACGATGCAGCGTGGAAAGTGCAGAGTCAACCTACTCGACGCCATTTTTTTAAAATCCCGACATATTCATGCTGGTGGAACCCGAACTCGCTCCTCTTTTGTTTGTTTAAGATTTATTTAGAATAATTGCTACAATTACATTCTTCTAAAAACTAAACAATTAAATAACTTGCACATATTTAGACAAAAAAACAAAATTTGCATCTCTAAGAATTTACATTGTCCATGGAATATTCCTTTAATTTTCTTTTAAACATCTTTAAATTATAAGTAGACTTTATATCATTATTTAGTTTATTTAATTCAAGTAATCCCTTTGCTAGCTTTATTACTATTACAATTTTGTAAATGAAGATCTATACTTCCTCTTGTATAATAATTCTGGTAATGATTATTCAATTTTATGTAGTGTTCTAAATGTTCTGGCAAAAGATGATTTTTTATTTTAAATATAAAAATAAGAACCAAATATGATATGAAATTTTTTATATTCAACCACTGCAATTCTTGTAACATAGATTTTATTTTGGTGTACTTATTTTTATTCAATATTATCCTCATAGCTTTATTTTGCAAGGCTTGTAATTTTGAGAATACAGCTTCATTGGAAGTGAACAAGATAGTTGAACAATATAGTAAATGCGGTAGAATAATTGTATTATAAACTATTTTCTTGGAATAGGTACCAAGACTATGAGAGGCCCTATGCAAGTAATTTGTTTTTTTGGCAATTTTTGAAATAATATATTCATAGTGATCCTCAAACTTTAGTTTACTATCAATATATATATATATATATATATATATATATATAACTTGAGACGTGGTCATTGTCGTCTAGACCAGTTAGGTGAAAAATATATAATATAGAATCGTGTGTTTTGGCCGATTCCACCAGTAAATTTCATTCCACTCAAAATATAATAATTCTCTTCTCACGATTTATTAATAATTGTTAATTTAAATTCCCATTAATTAAAATATAGTTTATTCAACTGCCTCTGGTCGGTTTAACAATTTTTTACATAACATTCTGAAAATCACATCATCTGAAGTGATTTGGCAACGTTTGGCACACGCCCACAATTCGTTCCATCTTTCAACACAGACATTGACAACATTCGGCCTTCTGTCAAAGGATTTCATCTCACTCATTATTCCATGACCACCATTTTGTGCAATCATCAAGTGGCTTCACGATGTAATGCTGTTTTTTAAATAATTTTTAATCTGTTTTTAACTTGTTCTTGTCATATTTTATATAATTTTGACCATTGTACCATCTATCCAGCTCTCACCATGTTACTGGACGTTTCCCTCATCCTATACGTAAACAACAATTAGCAACATCCTCACATACTACTGTAAGTTAAGTCAATTTAAATTCATTTTACACTATTGTTGCTACTGTTATCATTGTAATTGCAGCTCCTGATGATGATGGCAAAGTCCATTGAAAGCTAGAGAGAATTAAAAAAGTATAAAGAGTCCTCTTTGCTTAAATTTTGTCGAAGTACCCAACAAAAGGCGGAAGCTTTAATTTTTCACCTATATATATATATATATATATATATACCTAAATATTTAAATGATTCAACATTTTCAGTTATTTCTCCATTTATCCTAACTGTGATAGTATTTTCATTTAGGTATTTTCCTATTAGCATACGTTTTCGTTTTAGAAGTATTCAATTTTAGTTGATTTACATTTAACCAATTTACGATTTTTGCCAAGCCAGAATTTAGCATTTTTAAAGCAGTGTCTATATTTTCATCTGATATGTATGTATATTAATGTATCATCTGCAAATTTCTGAAGTTTACAATAATCTAAAATATTACAAATGTCATTAATGTATAAATAAATATTAGTGGACCTAGTTACTCCCTTGTGGTATACCAACAGAAATATTTTTTAACTTGATAATGTAGATCCGGTTTTGGTTTTTTGACTTCTGTCAATTAAATAGTTTTGTAGAATTTTGAATACAGATCCTTTAAATCCGTAGTGATGCAATTTCGTAAGTAATTTATCCCTGTCAATAGTCTCAAACGCCCTTTTGAAGTCCAAAAACACTGTTACTGTATGTTTCCGATTGTCCATACATCTCCTCCAGTCCTCTAAAACCATTTGTGTTGCCATTTCATTTGAGTATTTCTTCCTGAATCCAGCTTGAAATTTCCATTTTGCTTATAAATTTTCAGATGTAGAGAGAAGGTACTATCCAGTCAATCTGGTAGTCCGCTATCAACAGGTGGTCGTTCCGTGAACGCATCTACATCGAATCTGACGGTCACATCTATCGTTCCTCCCAGCAGTACGATTCCTGGGCCCAGAGAGAAATTACAGAAACCTAGACCACCCCATAAGAATTACCAACGAAACAATGAAGATTCTAACAGGAATGAACAAAGTTTTGGAGGTCCAAATAGAGGAAGAGGAAAAAACAATCACGGTCGTTCAAGGTCGCGAGGTCGACCAGACAAATCGGAAGAACCTATCGATAGTTTTAATGGTTTCGGGAAGCACCCCCGTACTAATGAGATTGGAGGAAACATATCAACGCGCAGGATATTGGTAAGTAGTATTGATTAACGTATTCTACCTGAAGGTAGCCATCTTAATGCTATATTCCCGTGTCTAAAAATTATCCAAGATAAAATGAGATGAACACACATGAAAACAGCGCGTCGGTCTTTCATCACTCTTATCGAACCGGCAATCGATGGCAAACGGTAACAGTGGATAGTTATCGTTTCGCATAGATAAATTACTTTATCGTTTGCCGAGCAGAGCATCGGGCGTGTTGTTTTGTTTTTGTTCGCGTACGTCGTCGTGTTTATTTACAACGTTCTCGAATCAACAGTTCGCCGACGCGACGTGTTAGTAGGAGGAACAAATTTTAAATATCGTGGATATCAATGCAGATATCAGCACTCGGGAATTAGACCGCCGCGTAGGACTATCGCATACCATAGTCCATACGTTGGTGTCAGGATCCTTTTTAGATCGGTTTTCTTGAGCCCAGTAATGAGCGTTGCATCTACCACATTTATTGAGATTTTTATGTGTGTTTCAAAGATGACATTGTAGCCGCCGACTATACCGTTCAAAAGTGTATGAGTACCCAGAAAACAAGGAACCACCAAAGCAGCCCCAAATCATTATAGAGCGTTCACCGTGCTTGCCTGAAGCGACAATGCATGATTCTAATGCCGTCTCGTTAGGCCGATGGCGGACAAATAGATGCTAGTTTTCCACGGCGATGGTTTTCAATAAATAAATAAAATAAATACGTACTGAATAGGTTTTTTTTTGTTTGTTATGATTTAAAGTGGAAATATGCACGTGTTAAAATACTTTTGAACGATAGTGTATATGGCTTGTATATGCTCATATAGACAGCGCCATCTATGAGACATTCTATTCAAAGTACAGGGTGGCTCATAAGTCCTTTGAGCTGGAAAAAAAAGAATAAAACCAAACTAGTTACATTATGAAGAATTATTATATTCTGTTATCATCTTTATTGAATGGGAATTATGTTTTAAAAATCACATCGTCTAAATGCAATCCATTACGGTCACGGCACTCATATAAACGACGTCTAAAATGACTGCGCGGCAAGTCAACACTGTAATGCTTGCCATTTCTCTTCGGATATTTTCTTTCAGGACATCAACTGATCGCGGAGTGGTGTCGTACACTTTACTCTTGAGGTAGCCCCATAAAAAGAAGTCCATTGGTGTCAAATCTGGACTACGTGGTGGCCAGGAAATGTCTCCTCTTCGAGAAATTACTTTGCTGGGAAAAAGTTGACAGACGACGGGCATAGAAGTGTTGGAGGTGTGGGCAGTTGCTCCGTCCTGTTGAAACCAGGTCTGCGTATTATAGCCTGGAAAATTCTGCAATGCTGGTGTCAAAAACTCTTCTATTATTGCTACATACCGCTCCGAAGTAACAGTTAATGCGCGACCTCTGTCGTCCTCAAAAAAATAAGAGCCTACGATGCCATGCGCTGACATAGCAGCCCAAACTGTAACTTTAGGGCTGTGTAAGGGCTTCTGATGCCTACGCCTTGGATTTTCGGGGCTCCAATAACGGCAATTTTGTTTATTTACATGCCCGTTTAAATGGAAGTGAGCCTCGTCCGAGAACAACACATTATTGAGCGAAGAAAATCGATTCAACATTTCATTCGCAAAGTTTAGTCTCTGAATAGCGTCATTATCTTTTAATTCCTGCACTAACTGAATTTTGTAAGCGTGCAGACGTAAATCTTTCCTTAAAATCCGCTGTAAAGATGTTCTGGGTACGTTTAGTGCACTGGAACGCTTACGAGTAGACTGGGTAGGATTTTGACGAACAGACTGTGCCACAATGTTGATGTTTTCTTCAATACGAGTTGTCCTTGGTCGACCCCACCGCTGTTTATCTAACTTCGAACCAGTCTCTTCGAACTTAGCAACCCAGTTCCTAATCGTTTGAGCTGTTGGACACTTTGTAAAATTGTGTAAATTGTGGTATTCTCGATATTTACGCCGCGCAATGGTTGCCGAATCATTATTTTGATAAAACGCGCGCACACAAAAAGCACGATCCGCTCCAGTGAAACACTCCATGGCGACTGAATTCCCAGACACTGAAGATACTGCCCCCACCTCGCCCGCGCCACTCACGCTCACCCGTTAAATTTTATTCAAATTTGAAATTTCAAAGGACTCACCCTGTATTATAGTAAATAGAGAAACAGCTGTGGGAGAATTTTCTGGCAGGCACTATGATATCTGGGATAATGTTTTGGACGCGGGAATATAACAGTGATAAAACGAACGGAAACAACATACTAATTTGTAGGTGTGAAACCTAGTGATAGGTTTGGAAAGACCAGACCTGATGAAGAGTTTGGAAGCGGTAAACTTAGTGATAAGGAGTTTAATATAAATAAACAGGCTGGCGGTGATTTCAGGTAAGGAGACAGAAGTGTGTTTGTCTAAACTTACATTCCATACAATCAAATAAACAATCGGCGGCACATTTTACAAATCTCATTGAAAAAAATATATGAGGTTTTATTATTGTTTACATAACCAGAGTTTTTGAGATCATAATTAAAAAAAAAACGGCTATGTTATCGATCGCCATAACCTTGCGTATTTTGAGTTTCTTGGTAGATAATTCTCTTTTTTGTAAGATCAGTGGCAGCATAAACTTTTGTACAACAGAGTGGATGCACTTTAGAGGTTGAATTTTTGTATAACGCATATAACTTTCTACTGCAGTACCTCCCGTACCAACGCATTATTTTACTCTCCGCTATACGAGGGATGTCTTTTAAGTTTTGCATATGGAAATAAAACAACACGGTAGGTCGTTTTAAATGACTTTATTGTTTTTCGAAGTATTCTCCACGAAGATTAATACACATCTGCATGCGCTCGAACCAATTTTCGAGGCACTTATTCCACTCGTTTGCTGGCAGATCCAAAACGGCATTTTTGAATGCGTCAACTGCTTCTTCTGGTGACTGGAACCTTTGACCACGCAGTCTGTTTTTAATTTTCGGGAAAGTAAATAAATTGTTAGGACTTAGATCGGGACTATATGGAGGATTCCACGTATTTCTTCGGATAAATACTGCCTTGTTTTGGGACTGTGTGCGAGCTTGCATTGTCTTGGTGGAGGATGATTCTTCTTTCGCTGGCTTTTCTTCACCTTGGAACACCCAAACAGCCGACTGTCGTTTGTTTTCTGGTTCATAACAGTAAATCCACGATTCATCACCACTAACAATGCTGTACACATTTTTTGAGTTTCCGTTCAAGCGTTTTTTGACACCAATTAACCCTGGCTGCTTTCTGCTCTTCAGTCAACAGGTGGGGTATCCAACGAGAAACTAATCTTACTCCTAATTCTTCATGTAAATTTTTTTGAATTGAGGTCTTTCAGATCTTCAAGGACGCCTCAATCTCGCGATATGTCACATGTCTATCTTCAATGACGAGTTTGCGCACAGCATCGACGTTTTCCGGGTTGACTGCCGTTTTTGGTGCACCCACCCTGGGATCGTCGCTAAGATTCACCCGTCCACGTTTGAATTCTCCATACCAACGAGAAATTATCGACTGATGTGGCGCTTCGTTGCCGAAAACAGACAGTAACTCAGCAAGGCATTCTTGTTGCGATAATTGTCTCTGAAAGTTGTAATAAATTATGGCGCGAAAATGTTCTCGGTTGAGTTCCATTTTTCTAATGACTTGGTGACACTTAAAAATTCCCTGTAGTGAGAACACTGCACGTATTGTTGTAAAAATTTGAATTTAAGTTTACTAAACAGTGAGGTTAAGATTCAGTACTATGTATCTATATGCAAAACTTAAAAGACATCCCTCGTATTCTATATGAAAAATTGTAATTCCTTGGCAGACAGTTCTGACAATTTTAATTTTGCCAGTAAAATCTTGTAAAACTTGAGGGACTGTTACAATAGCTTATTTTTTATGTTCATTTTATGTGGTTCTTGTATGCACACTGTTAAGTTACCATTACATTGCACTATAATTGGATTAGTCTGTTGGGCAATTTAGGTATAAAACGTTATTATTTTTCAAGAAAAAATACGGATATAGAAGATACGCCCCTCCAAAATAATAGAAACAATCAAAATTTCCAAAACAACAGAGGTGCACAACCCAAAAGGCAGCTCACAAATTCAAATGTATCTCTTGACGATTCTTTGAGTGTAAAGAGTGAAATGTGTCAGAAAAAAGCTGAATACATTGGAAAAGCTGAACTGCGGATAGGAAGCATTTGCGATGTAAGTATACGGCATTGATTAGAAACACGAAACTCTACACATGAACCCTTCTAGAAATTATTTGAAGGTTCAGACATGCTTCTGACGCCTACTATGCACTCATGGACATGTCTCAACATGCAGCCTACTGCGTCCGTTTATTAAGTCATATTGCAAAACTTTTATTGTATACTTTATCTGAAGTCACTTGAAACACTGTGAAATACCGGGTGCGTTTTATATATCTATATTTAAATCAAATCGCCAAATTTCGCAGCAAATATAAATATCCCCCGTATAAGATCAAAGGCAGTTTCAACCGGTCCACGTGGAGTAAAGCACGCCTATGCGTGGACATAGCCAATGAGAAAGCGTGTATTTCAGAGCTCCGAACAAGTGCAGGTGGCTACTGAAAATTGAAACAGTTTAGCCAGTGCCGTGTAGCGGTGAATAAACGTGTTTTCTTTAGTCTGTCCGTGTTTTTTCATAGATTTTATTAGTTTGTGTGTTTTTGACTTTTGAATACTCAGTTTACTTGTTGATTTAATTGTTGTGTTGATTGTTCTTGTGTGTCCTAAATATGGCTCTTTGGAGACCTTGGGAAAATGCTCCAAGCCACGAGGAGATGGTTGATGAACCTGTGCAGGCAGAATTCTTTCATAAAGATTTAGAGGAACAGACCCAAAGAGTAATCCTAAATATGTATGATTGTCTGCAAAACGAAAATCCAGATTCCTCGCAAAATCAAATTTTAAACAGAATTTGTATCCTGACAAAAATCAGTCGGCCTACCATTTATCGGGTTATAAAAAGGGGAGATGTAGTCAACCATTCCTTCCACAGAAAGCGCATAGGGCAAAAATTAAAAGAATAGACGTGGGTTTTAGGAAGATATTCGTCGTATAATATACGGATTTTATAAAGAAAATTTGGTGCCCACGTTGGAAATGATACGGGATAAATTAAAAGATTATCCTGAAGATTTTTATAATTACAAATGCTTAGACTCACTGCACTGTATTGTAAAACTGTGTGGTTTTCAGTACAAAAAATTAGATAAAAGAATGGTGATTATGGAGTCGTCTCGAATCGTTGAATTGCGCCAAGAATTTTTGCACAAAGTTAAAATCTATAGAGAGCAGAAAAGAAATCTGATTTACCTGGATGAAACGTGGTATGATACCCATGATGTTGTGCAGTACGGCTGGGTTGACGACAGCAACAAGTGCATTTTAAATGTACCATGCAACCGTGGAAAACGAATCATTATTCTCCATGCTGGCAGTGAAAATGGATTTATACCTAATGCCTTGCTGTTATCTGCCAAAAATATCAAAGAATCATGTGCCGACTATCATGAGGACATGACCTCCGACTTATTTGAAAAGTGGATAGAGCAGCAGTTAATAACAAACATTTCCCCAAATTCAGTAATTATTATGGACAATGCGCCATACCATTCCCAACAGAAAAACAAAATTTCGAATACAGGCACAAAAAAACAAGACATTATTGATTTTATGAAGGATAAGGGAATGGAAATACCACAAAAATCAACCAAAGCCATATTATTGGATCTTATTAAAAGACAAAAATTTGAAAAAGAGTATGTTGTTGACAATCTGCTTCAGCAAAATGGCCATGAAGTATTGCGTCTACCTCCCTATTACTGCATTTTTAACCCGATTGAGTTGGTCTGGGCTGCTTTAAAAAAAAAAGTAAGAAAACATAATCAGACCCCTCAATTAAGTGAATTGCTATTGGCCACAACAAGAGATGCAGTATCTCATATTGCTGCCTCAGACCTATGGAAGCAGTGTTCTAGGCATATTATTGAAAAAGAAAATGAATATTGTGTTTTGCCTCCTGTAAATCCCGTTGTAATTCCTCTACAAGATGACTCTAGCGACAGCTCCGAAGGCGAGGATGATATACAAATACCTATAATGTAAGTCTTTATATACCTTTTTATATACCTACCTGCTATGTAAATATTTGCCTATGTCAAACGTTGGAATTCTGTAATTTTTCCATTTCTTAACTTTCAGTCAACATAAATTAAACTCCCAATATAAGTATTTTTTATCCCAAATCAAAAAAATAAGAAGATAGTAAAATCCATTTATTGTGATATAAAAACATTATTATTATCGTTCTAAATAAATGACCGCACGCCTATGATGATACGTCATGAAATTACAAAGGACGCGCCGACCAAAGGTTTTTATGCTATTTCAAGTGACTTCAGATAAAGTATACATAGATATTTCCAGTAAATACTTGCTTTTTGACGTCACATAAGGTGGTTTAAAAGCTCGTGCTTCTGTTTATGTTGTCACTTTACTTAACCTCGATGCTATATACATTCCTGATAGAGAATCCTACAGAATACAATAACAACCATAAAACATTCCTAATTTTTTATGGTCGACCCGAAATGTATAATTAACAAAATTTCAGGTGATAATATGTTATATTGAAAGTGAAAAAATACAATGGGTTCAAACGGAGGAATATAATGAAAAAGTTATAGACATGACAGTTTAAATTGATTGATGCCGCTCCTGCACTTGAAGACATTGCAAATCCCGTGGCTGGACAGTTAGTGTTAGCTCTCCACGAAGACATATGGTATGTGATGTTGCATCTCTGGATATTCTAACCATTGACTAACATTACCTCCAGAATGCCCAATCTTTTGCTGTATTTGAATGTTCGCTTGCAATTTACCTCATCACAGTTATGTTGCCTAGTATCACAGTAATTCCTCCAGCAGTTGGAAAAACATACTTCATCTTTCATTTAAAGTGTTTATTCTTAAACGTGGAATCAACCTTTCAAGTAGAATTCACCGCTGAACCTTCCTTTAACGATAGAATACTGGGGTAATAGTCCAAGAGGTGTGGCAACGCTGAGGCGTAAAGACGGTGGTCGACTATCCCAAAGTGTGCCACTGTACGCATCTTTATTTTCTCACGGCACGGTTTTCGATTGGGTTATTTTCTGGTGGAAAATGTCGATCAATGACATAACAATTTTTTTTGGTAATTCTTGAAGGTCCCGCGCCCGAGTAGTCAGAGAAGAACCTTTGTTAGTGCACTATTTAGATTACGGAAATAAGAACAAACCAAGTGCCGTAAAAGTACTGCCGGCCGAATATAAAAATATGCCATCAGCTGCTAGGAGAATTACAGGGCTACAGCAGCTCAATATGAATATGGAGGAGAATCAAAAGATTAAACTCTCTATTAAACAATTAGTAAGTATAATAATATTATTTATTCACTCAAGGTATAAATACAGCAGACGCTCGATAATGTAAACTAACTTAATCCAAGTGTGGTTCACATTATCGAAATGTTTACATTAGCGAACGTGATTTATATAATATTTAATTTATTAAAAGAAACGTTTGATACATACTATTTATAACAAAATAAACAAATATTCTAACAGCGATAAGTATTTTCTTAATTAGAAGAATAATAATTAACAATTTTTGTCTGCGTAAATTTGCGCTTAGCATTGTCTTCCAATGCCTGCGCCCGTAATTTACGAAGAACTAAAATATCCGTGTGTGAAACTTCTTTTCTTTCAGCCCAATCTAAAGCTTGGTTAAAAACTTGTATAGCTTGCGCGTCAGTCACTACACTTCTGACTTCAATGGGATCGTTCTCATCATCCTCACTGTCCATATCCTCCTCCTTATCAGCATCATTCGTCTGCTTATCTTCGTTCCATAAATTAATATCAGCAGGAGTACAAACAATGTTGGGATTCACTGTTTTCAATAAATCAACAACATCCAATAACACACTAATAACATTATCATTATTGGATCGCAAACTTTCTCTAATTACGCTTAAGGGGACATCGTCTTCTTCATCATCTTCATTATTGGTACAAAAGAGATTGTTCCAACATTTTTGAATAGTTTGCTGGTTAAGTTTATTCCAGGCCATATGTAAATCTAAAACAGCTTCTCGTAATGTTACTTTTTTAAAGCCTCAGATAAGTTTTCAGGATTCTTTGATAAGACAGACGAAAGTAGAAACTTCCTATAGTATAGTTTGGTGAGTCTTATTAAATTCTGGTCCATCGGTTGAATTAAGTTGTTGCTCGGGAGGATGACTTGGTGCATTATCCAATAGTAACAACCCTTTTATTGGAAGCTTCTGTGGTTTTAGGAAACCTTTTACCTACAAATTGAAAACACATCTTCAAATTATGAATAGAGCATTTGTGATAATTGATTGTCATACCTGAGGGACAAAGCACCTGTGGAACCATTTCAGGAATATACTGCTAGTCATCCAAGCGGTTTTTGAACAGTCATAATCAACAGGGATATTAACATTTTTAAATGAGCCGGGATTTTTTGCTTTCCTAATTACCAGTGGCTTTATTTTGTGTGAACCATTAGTATTAGTGCAGTCTAGAAACGTTATTCGTTGTTTCTCCGGCTTTCTTCCCGGGACAGATTTTTCAAATGATGCAGCATAGGTTTTCTCTCGTAACATTTTCCAATAAAGGCCACTTTCATCTGCGTTGAATATTTGTTCCATTCTTAAATCTAGCTCGGTAATTGTTTTCATCAATTTTTCTTTGAATGGTTGCACTAATTGTGGTTGTGCTGATAATTTTTTACCAGATATAGACAGCAGTCGAATGCCATATCTTGTTTTGAATCATTGTAGCCAGCCATCACTAGCTACGAAATTTTCAGTTTCTTTCAGTTTTTCATTTAACAGTCTCGTTCTCTGTTTAAGTACTTCGCCACTAACTGGGACATGATTTCCCGTTGTTTTAAAAACCACTTATACAGGGAATTTTCCATTTTAGGTGCCTTCGCATTTTTTAAAGTTTTTCTTTTTCCCGGACCTCCAAATGTATTGCACGTTCTTTGTAAAATTTGAGTTTTCATACGCTTAATTTTACAGATTGTTGCTTTCGATACTCCATATTTTTTTGCTAACTGTGTCACTCCCGCACCTAGTGCAACTTCGTCTATGATTTTCAGTTTCTCACTCAACTTTAAACACTTTCTTTTATAGGATGTGGATGCCATAGTCGTAAAATATATTAACGCGTGCAATGTATTCACTTAAGTTCAAAAATGAAATACATACGTACGTATAAACGTATCCTAAACGATCATACGACTGACCGAGTTTGTCGTATTTTGTCGCATAGGTGAATCCCCTACACTCTACATCATAAATCGGGGACTCCCTGACGCCCGACATAAATCATCGAGGCTTCAGCATTTTACCGTCGCGCTGTTTCCGTGCGCCGAGAGTTGTTTACGTTATCGAGCGTACACATTGTTTACGTTATCGCGCGTTCCGTTTGATCCTATAGAACGAAGTTTGTGTTTACATTAGCGCAAGTTTTCATTATCCCGTGTTTACGTTATCGAGCGTCTGCTGAATATCAAATTTTTGGTATAACTTCATGAAATTTTGGCGTTAAGTAGAGATATGAGCGATTTATGTGGCCGAGGAGCCACTGTAACACGAATTTTCAAGACCGCTCCCTACTTTCTCGCGTATATTCAAATTTGAAATATGAACTTTTTCACTGAACACCCTCTACTTCGAAATGTTGCTTGTTATTTTTTCGTCAGTTCTGGGCATAAAGTGGATTATCAATTTTTTACAGTATGGCGATGGTACGTATTTGGTGAAATTGGCTGATGCAGGAAACAACAATGGTAAAACAGAACAAGAACAGAAAATAGGAAGTATAAACGCCTCGTCACAGGAGCCACTCAGTGGAACAGAAACACAGCCACTTGGTGTTAAGTCAATCGATAGGTAACCATATAGCGAATTTAATGTTACCGATGGGAACGTGAGTGGTTCAGGAAGCTAATTCTAATCATTTTCCGCACCCACGAAAATGTGTGAGAGGAATGTTGGCGGAAATATTTTGTAGATTGTTAGGTTAACTGGAATTTCACCGTGAACCCTCAAATTGCGTTTTTCAATGTCATATTTATCTTAAAGCGTTAGTTAACTTTAACCTTCCTTCCTGAAGATAGAAAACCTAATACTATATTCGCGCATACGAAAACTTATCATCTATGAGAATATTTCATAGCTGTGTCTCTCCTCTCCTCAGTTATTGGAAATCTATTTGGAAAAGTGTCTGATTGATGGCGCTGTAGCCAACTATATATATGAGAATTTTTAGAAACTTTCCAGCATTTGGATTATTCATCTTTATAATTTTTTCAGGCGTCCAACGTCTCGCTTAGAAATTGAAGAAGAGGTTTACGTCGCCAGCGATTTGACACCCCTGTTCGCACTGAAAAATGATGAGCCTGTAAAAATTGTCGGCAGGAGAAATAACCAGTTGTGCATAAAAAATAAGGAGTGCTATGAAAAGTCTAAGGAGCTGAACGAATATATCCAGAATCTCGACAAGAGCGGTGAGGAATCATTTTGTGAAAAGTTGGGACTAATGCTTTAATATTGAACGCACAATTTGACATATTTAAATATTTTTATCTTTTCTAGGGCTTAAATTGACTTCACCGAAAACTGGCCAACTTGTTTTAGCTAAAAAAGATGACGCACCTGCTGGCGCATTGTGGTACCGAGCTGCAGTTGTTTCAAAAGAAAGTTCAGCTACGCTTGAAATAAGGTAAGATCTTGTTGTGCATGGTAAACATATTTTTTGCTGGATTGGAATTAGGATATTTGTCGACGACATTGACTTGACTTTTACTTCCTACGCCTACTATCCGGGCAGTACAGTAATCGCGAATATTTCCGAAAATGAGATATGTTTTACTTTCTACGCCTAATGGCGGGTAGTACGAGGGATGTCTTTTAAGTTTTGCATATGGAAATAAAACAACACGGCAGGTAGTTTTAAATGACTTTATTGTTTTTCGAAGTATTCTCCACGAAGATTAATACACATTGCATGCGCTCGAACCAATTTTCGAAGCACTTATTCCAGATCCAAAACGGCATTTTTGCATGCTTCAACTGCTTCTTCTGGTGACTGGAACCTTTGACCACGCAGTCTGTTTTTAATTTTCGGGAAAGTAAAGAAATCGTTAGGACTTAGATCGGGACTATATGGAGGATTCCACGTTTTCTTCTGTTAAATACTGCCTTGTTTTTTGGACTGTGTGCGATTTTGCATTGTCTTGGTGGAGGATGAATCTTCTTTCGGGGTTGATTTTTAGAAGCTCGGTGATGACTTTTGGCAAACAAATGGTGGTATACTAATCCGCAGTAACAGTTCTTTGCCCATTAAGAGGAATTGTTGCAATATGACCCGCTTTTGACACAAATGTCGCGACCATCTTTTTCGAAACACTTCGAGAAAACCTGACTTTTGTTGGCTTTTCTTCACCTTGGCACACCCAGCCGACTGTCATTCATTTTCTGGTTCATAACAGTAAATCCACGATTCATCACCACCAACAATGCTGTACACATTTTTTGAGTTTCCGGAATTGAAACCGTCGAGCGTTTTTTGACACCAATTAACCCTGGCTGCTTTCTGCTCTTCAGTCAACAGGTGGGATATCAACGAGAAACTAATTTTCTCCATACCAACGGGAAATTGTCGCCTGATGTGGCGCTTCGTTGCCGAAAACAGACAGTAACTCAGCAAGGCATTTTTGTTGCGATAATTGTCTTTGAAAGTTGTAATAAATTATGGCGCGAAAATGTTCTCGGTTGAGTTCCATTTTTCTAATGACTCGGTGACACTTAAAAATTCACTGTAGTGAGAACACTGAACATATTGTTGTGAAACTTTGAATTTAAGTTTACTAAAGGGTGAGGTTAAGATTCAGTACTGACGTATTGCAATTCGTATTGCAATTCGTATTGCAATCGCGAAAACTCATGTTTTTTTGGATGTTATATGACTTTTAATTTACATCACGAAAAACCATGTCACTTATGTCCGTCGGTCTGTCAAGTGCGAAAGTTCACAGTTCAAATCTGAATTACGCGACAACTGTATACACGAGGAAGTGGGGAGAGAGGTTGATCGACGCGTTCTGCGTGCGGGTTAAATAGTCACAATGGAACGTTGGACCGGAGCGCAACGTGCTTTTGCTATCGAGGCTTACTTTAAGACAGGCGATTCATTCGGAAGTTTTGTACGCGCTACAACATTCGCCGACCAACAGATGAGCCAAGTAAGAACCTATTGTATCAACCGAAGAAAATGTGCGTCGAGTAAGTGATTCGGTCATTGCAAATCCTCGGTGTTCTGTACGGAATCATTCCGCTGCTTTGGGAATCCCTAGGTCAACACTGCATGGTACATGCTTATAAAATCCAATCAGTCCATGCTTTAAAGGAAAGCGATTACGGAAATCTTGTGCTGAACGGATGTTGATCTTTTCCCTACGCAGCGCAGACTCGAGAACGTTGTTTTTAGTGACCAGGCCCATTTGGACGGAATTATATTTAAAAAATAAAACACGCCGAATTTACGAATATGTTCGTAGTAATAAATATTTTCTTTTCATTAAGTTTGCATTTTTTTTTCTTAAATCAAAAAGTGAACTTTCCCACTGGACAGCTTATATTTCACACACCATCGGTTTCCCCGGTGCATTTGTCTTCAAAAGCTAGAATGATAAATTTTTGCACAGTCCCCAGTCGCTTCCGTACTGCGCGTGTGGCGCTGTGAAATTCAATATCGTCATCCACGCGGTATCGGTCATAGCAACGATCATGTGCGCCCGCAGAAATTTCTCTCACGGGGAAGGAGTGTCATTAATTGTGTGAAGACATACCTGCCTCCAAAACTTTTTGAAAAGCGAAGGGTAGCATATTAACTCAGTGAGCGGGTCTGGATTCTAAAAAGTCCCAAAATGTTACATAAAAGCATGTTAAATATGAAAATTTTAATTGTTTTATTGTGAAACATATGTTGACACACATCTCGAGTGTGACGGAATCAAAATATGTTCCAATTGTAATCTAAACTATTTTAAGTTTTTTTTTAACATACATACAGTAATGGACAAAAGTATATAGACAAATATGAATATTTACCTAAATACCTTTAGAAAACGAATTCATACTTCATTGCTCCATAAACAAATGCGTAATTAGTGGAAAAAAAAATAAATTCCTTGTTTTTACATTATCTGCAATGAACACAATACAAGTCAGAATATAAGCACTTTTTTATGAGGGACAAAAATATGTAGACAAATTCTTTTCAACATTAGTTTAGTACAGTTTCGTGTCAAAAGAGGATTAGTTTGTGTTCATCAAGTATTGTGGAATAAGTTGACTGATTTTAAGACCATGCCGCGTGGTCCAGAAATTTCTTTCGATGATCTTATTGCCGCTTTAGAGCAAAAGAGGAGACATATTGATGAATCTTATAACAAGAAACTTCTACAATCTATGCCGAGACGATGCCAGGCGGTGATTGCCTATATATTTTTGTCCTTCATAGTTCCAGTTTTTTCAATTAATTTTTTATTGAAGGGAGTCTAATAAATTTATTTATGTATAAGTGAATATTATGCTATAACGAATTATGTATACAAGTTAAAAAAGAAATACAGCACAATATTAATTTGTCTATATACTTTTGTCCATTACTGTATGTTCAATTTGTTTTTGCAGTTATGTAGATCTAAAAGGCGAAGATACATTGGGTGTTAAATCGTTGAGGAATGTAGATGAACATCTGGCTAGCTATCCGGTTTTAATGACTTTAACACCACCTTTAAGTATGCTGGATTCAGCCTTAGAATATGTAGACCAGCTTATCAAAGACAAGACTAAAATGCGTTTAGTAAGTTACTTACTTCGCTATTATAATGTTTTTTAAAACATCTTGATCATTAAAACGACGTGATTCACTTTTTTCTGATTGTAACGTTTACATCTAGGCAGTGTCAGGCGACGACGTGGACTTCAGATTTGAGGATGGCACTTTGTTATCTAAGAAGATATTAAACTTGAACAAAAAGTCCTCAAAAGAGTTACCTAAGCTGGTTCCAGTGGAAACGGTTGCGCCACAATCAGGTAAATTAGCAGAACCATCATCGATTCACCCTACATACAAACCGACACTCACTCAAAAACTTGCTTGTAAACCATCGTTTTTTCCTAAACCAGCAGCTGAAGCACCGATACCAGCAGCAGATGAAGCATGTGAACCACCAGAAACACAAAAATCTGTTACTGAACCAACTCCAAAACCCACAAATCCAAAATCGTTAAATGAACAAGAAGCAGAGTCACCAGGTATTTACAGCATCAGCCAAAAATTTGTAGATGACAATCGGTTTTATAATTTGCTATGGAAGTACTAATCTTTTTCCACGATACTCATCACGTTTTGACGTCTGATCGGCAAGTGAAATCTTTATTAAACTTCGCACTCTTGACAGCAATGAATCTGGAGATCCCCGGCAGGGTTATTACGTAAAAGATCTATACAGGGTGTACACGTTATGATAGTCATTATTTAAATGGATGATATAACATGGGGGTCAAAACGGCATTTTTTTAGAGAAAAGCGACTTTAAAGTAAAATAAACCTGACAACGCCGCAATGCCAGACGCCAATTACGACGGAACGCAGTGTAAATAAAGATGGAGTTTGTTATTTTTGGCTCTTAGGTATTATTTCATTATTTGATAATGTACTCGTAAAATGCAAACAATTAAAAAAAAACGGACTTACCACTAACTGTCTCAGCGCTTCACCTGGAGTGTGAAAGTTTATTAAACGTATTAAAAAAATTGTTCAACTTTCCACACAAGATTCATTACGACGAACCCAGTTTCTTCTTACTCTAGGTCCTGGAAATTGTCCATTTATTATTTCATGTTTGGTCAGTAGAAAATCCGCACGCTGTCCGTTGGGCACATTTTCAACAAACATTTTCGGTGAATGTTTGGGCTGGCATGGTGAACGGTATGCTCATTGGACCATTTATTCTCCCAAATCGATTGGACGGGATGCAATACCTAGACTTTTTACGCAACATTTTGGCTTCCTTGTTTGCCTGCGTCTGCTCGGTAGCGCATCAGCTGATTTCATTTTCTGTTGGAGCGGTATGATTTCGGGCAGAGACGTACTTAGCCCTTCTCGTCAACTGGAGAGTGAGTACTTTTTCCTTTATTTTTTTTATTTTACTTGGTCGCCCTCGTTTCACTACACCTTTGTTATTTCAAGGGTAGTTGTTTCTGAAAAGGAAAATGCCAACTTTGCGGCACCCTGTATATACTTTTTTACGTTTCGTAGATATCCCTGACTGTAGAAAAACCTATATAATGTCATAACAAACCTAAATTATGTCAAAAAAAACGACAATGTCACTTTTCAATATACGTAATTCAATTGTCGGTAAATTTATCAGCTGGCTGAATAATTCAAATACTCGCTACTTTTCTGACCTGCAGTAACGTTTTAATTTTGTTCATCTTTCATATGGCTTTTAAGCATTTCTGTACTTGATTTTTTTACGAATCAAAATAAACATGGAAACCTCGGAAACCACCGACAAATATTCGATGCATCTTCTTAAACTCGTAAAGGAAAGTGAACATTCTCTCCACTTGACAACAATGTAAGACAGTGACATTCTATAAGTGACATTAGGTTAAGTTTAGATTGTAGGTGTTAAACCCACCACTAACCGATTTGAAATACATTTATTTTGACTACCAAGTCAAAACAGCAAGTTATGAACAAAGTAATTATTTTCAGAACATTTCACTTTCAATTTGATGGATTGGACACGGTTGAGTCCCGGCACTCATCACGTTCTCTTCTACACAATCAACGATATCACAGACATTACTGTTGTTTCGATGGAGGATAAATTGATTGATCAATTGGCACAAGTCTCGGCCATCCAGGTCGAGGATGATACGCCGTATGAACCGATGGAGTGCGAAATGTGCTTGGTGTTATACAAATCGGAAGCAGAAGAGGAATGTAAGCAAAATATATTTATTGATGAATAAGAAACGACGAATCTTGCCCTTCAAATTAAATCGTAAACTTTCGCCCCAAAGCTACGACGTAATGAGATCTACGGTGTCGTAATAATGTTTTCCATGCTTTGTCTTGTCTGACCCCATTTTGAATATTTCAAAGCATGAATTTCAAATACATTTTTTTTTCACGCAATCGAAAAAACGATTATAAATAATTGTGAAGTTTGGTTTTATTGAAGGCGATATTTAAAATATGGATGCATAAAATGGGTACACCAATTTTTGTGGGATAACATGTTTTTTGGGATTCAATCGGAAGTGTTGACAGTAAAATACACGAGCTTACCTCGCCGATATGAATCACAAACCATTTCAAAATTATGCAAAAAAGCAAAGGGTTACGTTTTTTCTTATAAAAAAAAATCAACATCAAACATTTCGTATTTGTGGGTAACTGAACAGATCCGCTGCGATATTCTTCTTTTAGAAGAAAGATAATTCTCTGGATATTTTTTCGAACAGTTTTAATATAGTGTATGTTTGTTTTTGAAATATCGTACCGTTACAACGACTGCAAATTGCGAGGTGTTTGAAAACAAACTCGAGAGAGCGAAAAAACAGTGGACAAATATCAACCAACTGACCGTGTAAAAAAATTAGGCAAAATGCTCGGTATTACTCATTAATCCATTATTTAAGGTTTCTGCATTGTATCTTGTATAGTTTTCAAGATTGTTCTAATTGCTAATATGATCGGACTATACTAAGTGACATATAAATCCGAACACCCAGTTTAAATGGTTTTATTTTAATAAAATTTTGTATAAGTACTTAATGAAGTATAATAAGTAAATGATAAACATTTCAAAATGATTGCACAGCTTTAAAGCCCTTTGACCTTTAATAATGTGTGGATGCACCCTGATGTGCTACGCATTCTCCATCGCGCCTAGGCATGCTTCTGATCAGGTGGTCAATGCCCTCCTGTGGTATCTCATTCCAGGCAACCACCAACTCCTCTCGAAGTGCTTCTAGAGTCTGAGGAGGACGTTGCAAATTGAGCAATCTCCTACCCATCATATCCCACACGTGCTCAATTGGGGATAAGTCGGGAGATCTTGGTGGCCATGGTAACAATGTGACATCATTATGTTGAAAGAAGTCTATTGTGACTCTTGCAACATGTGGTCGGGCATTATCTTGTTGGAAAGTTGGATCTGCCAGGGTGTCAAGATAGGGTAAAAGATGGGGTTCTAGAACTTCGTGGATACAACGCTGCGCGTTCATGTTACCTCTGATGAAGATTAAAGGTGACCTGGAACCATAAGCTATAGCACCCCAAACCATAACTCCAACATGTCTTTCAACAAAAAACTGTGGATTCCTCCTTTCACCACGTCGCCTTCTAACCCTGGCACGACTATCGTGCATGCCTAAACAAAATCGAGACTCGTCACTAAAGACAATACTGTTCCATTCCTGATCCCAGAGTGACCGTTGTCTGCACCACTCAAGGAGATTACGTCGGTGTCCTAGAGTTAAAGGGTGGACCCAGTGTGGCCGGTATGAAAACAAGCCAAAACTTCTCATTCGTCGGTAAACACTTCGCATGCCAATAGGTCTTCCGTGTTCTGCAAACCATTCATTTGCAATGGACCTGGTAGTGGAGAAACGGTCCCTTAAGGCCAATAATCTTAGGCGGCGATCTTCACGGTCTGTTGTTCTACGGCGGCGTCCAGTGCCCCTTGCTCTTTGCGTACGGCCTTCTCGAAGCCATGCCTGACAACACCTAACCACAGTGTCTTCACTTCTTTGCATTCTAACTGCAATTGCCCGAAAATAAAGTCCAGCTTCCCGAAGTCCCACTATACGGCCCCTATCAAACTCACTAAGTTGACGAAATCGTACAGGTCTCCGTACTCAAGGCATCGTAACCGATCGTAAAGGATGTCAAGAACCAAAATCCGCCAACGTTGATTCTTTACTGCGGCTGAAATATTCATTTTTAGAGCGTTAGTGAATTAAAAAAAAAGCAGTATAAAAACCGGAATGTCCAACTGATAAGGCTGAAAATTTTTTCACTTGTTATTTACAGTAAGATAAATACATTCACCAACTTTTATTAAAATAAAACCATTTAAACTGGTTGTTCGGATTTATATGTCACTTAGTATATTATTGAAAATGCTGAATGTATTATTTTTGTTCCTGTCTTTAGAATTATTGTACAAATGAATAAAATCGTTTTGTCAATTTTCTCTACAAACTGGTCTGCGTTCTAACATCGCTATTTTAATCAAATTCCAGCGAGTTGGTATCGAGCATTCATAACTGAAATAAATGGAGAAAATTACGCAGCAACTTGTGTCGACTTTGGCAACATTGTGGTAGTTACCAAACGAGAAATAAGAAAGTTTCCGATAAACCTGAAAAACATCCCTATGATGGGAATCAACTGCGAATGTATCGGTGAGTATTAGATTATTTGTTCGTTGTTCGTCTTCCTGTTCGTCACCAACGGATCCTTCATTAACCAAATTGGAGTCTGATAATTCCTGTGTTGCTGTTAAATTATTTTCAAAATTATACTCATTAAATTTGTCCAGATTCAGTAATCTATTAATTTTCAGCAAATCACTTAATGGAATTTCATCTTCTGGATTAAAATCGTTGAATATTTCATTTTTAGCATCTAAAATGGCGACAGCGTTGGTAATTTATTTATTTATATTTCATATTTCCTACAGGTAAAACCCAATTACAGGAAAAGCTCAAATACATTAACAAAAAGAAAATAAAGAGACACATTGTCATAGCAGTATTTTTGGATTTGAAGAGGGCATTTGAAACGATTGTTAGAGAGATTTTGTTAGGTAAATTGAAGGCATATGGTATAACAGGAAGTGTTTTAGATTGGTTTAGAAATTATTTGTCTAAAAGGATGCAAGTTACAAAAGTTAATGACACTATTTCATCAAAAATTGAAAATACGTTGCGTGTTCCACAGGGCAGTATCCTGGGACCACTTCTTTTTATTTTATACATAAATGATTTACCTGCCATAGTCAAAAAATGCAAAATTCAAATTTTCGCCGATGACACTATGATTTATATAAGTACTAAAAATATTCGGTCTGGTATCTCTTATATAAATGAAGACTTGAAGCTTGTCTCAAAATGGTTAGCATCTAACAGACTAAAATTAAATGCAAGTAAAATGAAAGCCTTGTTAATCGGAAAAAAACAATGTACAAATGTTCAACTGAATATTGATGGTGAAGATATTGAATTCGTAGAAAATTTTAAATACCTGGGAGTTTTTGTTGACTCTCGATTAATTTTTGATATTCATTATGAAAAAGTTATAAATAAGATTAGTAGTAAAGTGGGATATTTATCGAGAGTTTCTGGATGTCTGAGTTCATATAGCAGAAAAATTATCTATAATACCATCATTCTTCCAAATTTCTTGTACTGTTCGACTATTCTATATTTAGCAAATAATTCCATTTTTGAAAGACTGCAAATTTTACAAAATAAGTGCATGAGAATAATACTAAATAAAGATAAATATACTCCAATTAGGCAAATGCTTAGCAAATTAAAATGGCTCAATGTAAAAAATTTTTATCAAATATCTTGTAATGATATTCATTTATAAAGTAAAAAATAATATATTTCCATCAAGTCTAACTAATTTAACATCATCAAATGTCGACCATCATTTACATAATACCAGAAATAAAGATGACTTCCATTTAATGACCAAAAAGTATAACATATGCTACAAATCTGTATTCCATCAAGGGTTGATTGAATATAATAAATTATACTCGGAGATAAAAGACCAGAAAACTTTGACAAAATTTAAAGTAAAATTGAGAAATCACTTGTTAAATCTACAATTATAGGTTGCCCAGCATTTACATCATACACCATATGGCTTGAATTTACTAGTTCTAAGTTGTTTATAATTGTTCTGTTTATGTAGCCAAATGTGCTAAATAAATCTTTCTACTACTACTACTACATTGAAAAATTAAACTTAGCATCAATTGGCTAAGTAGGCTCAGAGAACAATCGATGACTTATAGCAATTTATGATTGATTTACAGCTGCCATTATAAATATCGCACAGATCATAAATAGAGTTCATCAGACTGCACATTACATAAATTGGAGATTTCAACATTACGTTCGTCCGGCCTGGTTGACAATAAAAGGCTGATTGTTGACGACTTTCAAGCCTTGGAATGCGGAAATATATTTTTGCAAGTAAATCCGGACAGTCAATTTGATTGTGCATCAGGCCATACAAAAACGATAAGGCAAACATATTACGTCCTATTGATAGTGAATCTAAATCGAAAAAATTCAAAAGGGTATGATGACAAAAACCTCTTTCTGGATAAGAACCAGTACATTTAAGGTTAACATACTTAATAGCCTTACGTTGAATGCCTTCATCTTCTTGAAGCTTGATAGTTTTCATCCACATATGTATCCGATACATTTGTTTAAGACTCCAAATGACGCCCTGGTCCATTGGTTGCAGAACTTATGTCACATTGGGTGAAAAAAATTGAAGGTTAATGTTATTAAGTGAAAAATTTGGATGAGCGGGGCAGCTATCGACCAAGAGCAAGATTTTTTTTAAATATTCTTAAAAAATTGATGAAGTCGTCCAAGCTTTATTATTTCCAACATAATCGACTTACCTATTATTTATCAATACTTTCCGTTTTTCAGTACCAGAAGCATTAGCACAAATCATAACAGTTATTCGCTCTTTTGATAGTTTCCCTCCATTGCAAGTTTCACCTTTTAACTTATGAGTTTTATCTGGTATCATTCTATGAAATATCCCGGTTTCATCTGTATTGAATATGTTATCATCTGAATAATCACTGGATATTACGGGCCAAAGTTGAGAAATCCAGTCATTCGTAACGTTCTTGTCAACTGAAGCTGACTCACCACACATTTTTCCAAAAACAATGTTATGTCTTTTATTAAACCTGTCTAGCCAACCGGAACTACATTTGTAGTAATCTCCAATCAATTTCCCTAATTCTTCAGCCTTTATTTGTAGCATAGCTCCACTTATTGGAAAATTATTAGCACGCTTTTGTTGAAAGCATTTAAACAGCATATCATCGACTTGGGGATGCAGCGATAGGCGCATTTTTTCTTTTGACTATTTGATTTCCAGTCAGTGAATTTTTTTATAGCTATACGAGCACATATTTGCTTGAGATGAACCCTGCTCAAGCTCACTAATTATTGTGAACTTTTCGTGTAAAGTGAATGCACGTTTCGCACTTTTCGACATGTTTATAACTAATAAATACATTATAACACTGGATGGATTAAAATAGTCTGCTATAAGCGAGGGTCTATTTTCAGCGAGTCTAGAATATCAGAGGATTTTACATGCAAATATTTATAGGACCTTAAATTGTGTCCATTATATACGGGTTTCCATTATAAGCAAGTTCATTATAAGTGTATTCCACTGTATTTCTATTCAAAATGAATTTCTTCACATATCTTTCAAATTCGTAATTCAAAAAGATGTTCTAACAATATTGATATATAATATTGATACGTTTTTTTTGTGGCAGGTATCCCCAATAACGACGCGGTTCTCAACAAACTAAAAGAACTACTGCCAGAAGGAGAACAGGGTCAAATTGAGGTTGTCGAATGCGTGGAAGACGAGATGAAATGTCTAATCAAAATTCCAAAAATATATGAAGCCTTGAAAAACGAGGGAGTAGTTTAAGTTGTTCGCAGAACTTTTTTTACAAATTTTTTTTATCCAGGTTAGAAACGCTTTTTGATTAGATACGTTATTTTTTTCTTGTAACTGGTACAATTGATGCAGTTTTCTCGCGATTTTACCAATTTTATTTTTACGATTCCTGGCGATTTTAGTTGTATAATATTGTTTTTAACTTTTTACTCATAAATATTTAGTTATGTGTATACAGAGATGACAAACGACATTCTCTAATTGAAAATAGTTTTAAGTTCTATCGTGCAATTTCGCAGTTGAATTGTACCTGATTATTTACTCGAAATGTTTTTTTTTCTGTTGCCGTTGTGTTGTTTAAGTTTACTTTCACTGTTGTGTAGTTATTTTTTTTGGAATCATGGCATGAAAAAATGTTGATCAGAACATATTTTAAAGATTCGAGAGGTGAAATGTTTTTGTTTTCTTTATCTTTTTTTTGACAAACTACTTAGTGTCCAGGAATAAATTTCCCCTTTTAAAGGATATTTTTTTTTAAAAAAATACATACAATATAGCCGGATTTCATGTTTTAAAAATTATATTGTCGAGGTGGCTTCCATTTCGGTCGAAAAACTCCTGCAATGCCGTCTTCATGTGGCTAAAATCTGCTAAACATTCAGGTGTAATTACTCTGATTTCTTCCCGTATTTTTTGTTTGAATTCTTGCAAAGTCGTAGGCCGATTAACATAAACTTTACTTTCAAGGTATCCCCATGAAAAAAAGTCCAGTGGGGTGAGATCTGGAGACGAAGCTGGCCAGTTTAGGTCTCCGAGCGAGAGGTGACCTTTTTCGGGAATAATTCTCGAACGACTTCCATAGATGCTCGTGCTGTACGTGCGGTAGCGCCATCTTGTTGAAACCATGTTTATTGATCAAAGTCATCAGATTCTTGTAGCAAAATTCCCGCAGCATTGCATAATAATGATCACTAGTTACAGTCTGGCCTATGCCACGTTGGTTCTCAAAAAAGGACCGATAATTCCTGAAGCCGACAGTTACTTGTGGGTTATCGTGTTTTTGCCTTGGATTATCTGGTTTCCAATAGCGACAATCTTGGTTAACTGCGCCTGAAAGGTGAAAGTGCGCTTCGTTACTGAACACAATGTTAATTTGGACCTAGGCAAAAAAACGGTTTATCATTGTTTCGGCGAAGGAACGACTGTGTATAAAGTCATTTGGGTATAATTCTTGCACTATTTGGATCTTGTAGGGATGAAGCTTTGAATCTCTCATTGAAATTGTATGAAAAGATGCAATCCCACCACCTGTGATGTTTTACGAACAGATTCCACTTGGATTTTGAATTTTAGCGGCGCGTACAGCTTCAACATTCTCAGGAGTAGTTACAGCCCTTGGACGACCAGGGCGTTTCACATTTATAGCTGACGATATTTCTCTGAACCTCTTCGTTTCCACTAAATTTTCACTTGGTACATCCTCCACACGCCTAATATTGAAATGAGCACAATACTTTCGTCTTACAATTGTGTACGAGTCGTTGTTCTTGAAATACGCCTCAATAATGAACGCACGATGCCCACCAGACCAACGCCCCATTTTTACTAAATGATCCGCATCGATTCACTATCGAAGGACACCTCGCCGAACGCGTTAAGTTATACTGTTGCCAAGTTATTCGAGTTTAAAAAGGGACATTTATTCCTGGACATCTTGCATGAGTTTGTCCAATGTTTTTATCAACGAGCTAGCAATTTTCCATTTTAATATGAAACGGTTCTAATCGTTCAAAATATGGTCCAAAAATAGACTGTCATGAGCCTTCGTTGGTTGTTGTTGAGATCCTCGGCAACTTTGTTTCCCTAACCCTATGATGAATAATAAATACAACTGGAACCAAGTGAAACGTTCAGAACTACAAATCGATTTAAATACAGTGGGAAAGTTCACTTTGTGATTCAAGAAAAATAAATACAAACTTATCACTATCAACATATTCGTAAATTGGGCGGGCTTTAGTTTTTAAATATCATTCCAAATGTTTGATATCCTTCGGAAAACTCTCTTGAAGAGTTCCGGAGTAATGTTGTTTATTTCTCGTCGAATGTTGTCTTGTCCTCCAGTGGATTATTGGAATACACGTTTGACTTTAGATAACGCCGCAAAAAATAATCGCATGGCGTGAGGTCGGGTGACCTAGGAGGCCCAGTGTTTGTCTCCAAACTTCCATATAACTTTTTGAGGAAAAGGTGGTTTCACCGTGTCCATCGATTCTCTGGAAGTATGGTCAGTGTCCTCATCCTGTTGAAACCAGGTGTTTATGTTAAACCGACGTTCCGTGTTCTTACAATAGGAGCAAAAAAAGTGTCAATCATGTCCTTGTATCGCTCGGAATTGGAATGCATGGATTATTGGAATACACGTTTGACTTTAGATAACGCCACAAAAAATAATCGCATGGCGTTTGGTCGGGTGACCTAGGAGGCCCAATGTTTGTCTCCAAACTTCCATATAACTTTTTGAGGAAAAGGTGCTTTCACCGTGTCCATCGATTCTCTGGAAGTATGGTCAGTGTCCTCATCCTGTTGAAACCAGGTGTTTCTGTTAAACCGACGGTCTGTGTTCTTACAATAGGAGCAAAAAAAGTGTCAATCATGACCTTGTATCGCTCGGAATTGGAATGCATGACCGTTTTCGTCTTCAAAGAAATACGGCCCAATAATACCGCTAGAGGATATGGCGCACCAAACACTCACCTTTGGATTATGCAGGTGTTGTTGATGTTTCTCTTTTGGGTTCGTTGGTGCCCAATATCTGCAATCTTGCTTGTTGTGAACGTAACTACATGTTCAACTCTTTTCCCCTGCTTCAAGCGTCTGTTGGCGGGTGATCGATATATTCATCACTGCTTTCTTCAGGATGATCAAGATATATGTACAGCTATAAAACAGGCCTTTAGGCCCTAAGCTTGATAAGTTTATTCCACCACTTCTTACCTAGTGCTCGTTTCTTCCAGTCTCTGATATTCCTGCTCCTCAAATCTTCCATAACCGCATCCTTCCATCTTCCTCTCGGTCTCCCTCTTTTCTTCTTGGTATCCGTAACTCTCCATGCTATATGCTTCACTGTTCTTTCTTGCGGCATTCTTTCCGGGTGCCCCAGCCACTGCAATCTTCTGGACCTAGCTATGTACTTCTATTAGACCTCCTAACGTACCCTCCCTCCACGTTGTTCCCCCCATATATTCGCCTTAAAATGTTCCTTTCCCACCTAAGTAATGTTTGTTCAAGTTTTTTATTAACTACCCAGGTTTCTACTCCATACAAAAGGGTTGGTTTGATGATCGTATTGTATAGCCTTATTTTTTAGACTCTAGATACATTTCTTGACTTAATATTTCTGCTAAGCATTCCCGCACATTTATTGGCCTTACCGATTCTGTAGTTTACTTCTGTTTCCTCATTTATTTTATTACTAATTAGAGATCCTAAATAAACAAACTCATCCACCTCCTCAAAAATCTTTTTTCCTGTGCTTACCGCTATTTCTAGCCTCGTTTCCACCTGACAGGTCCCTATTCTCATAAATTTACTTTTTTCCTCGTCTACCTTCAATCCCATTTTTGATGCAACTTGTATAAACTGCTCTACCACTTTTTCCATTGTCCTTTTATTCCTAGCTATTAAGGCGACATCATCAGCGTAGGCAGTTAGTTGGTGACTTATAACCCTTTATTTGGCAAGGCTATGAAAAAGATACAAATAAATGTTTTTTTATTATAAACTAACACTTTTGAACTGAAAAAATTTATTTTTTACTTTTTTGACAAAAAAAAAACAATGTTGCTTGAAAGCAACATTCCCTGTTATAATAGAGAAAAATCACAAATTTTATTTATTGTGAAATGAATAAAAACAGTTCCTTTTGGGCACAAAGCACAGAACTAATTTACACTTCTGGCAGTGTACTGTTGAGTAACCATATTTGCATAAATCGGAAAATGGCCAATTTCGTCGTATCTAACATCTTCTACCGGTGTAGGAATGACAGCTTTTGTCTTGGATGGGACGTTTTCTATGGAAGATGGTCTGTCCCTATTCTTTTTCTGGGCCAGTAGACCTTCGGCTATCATGGTACGAAAAACTTTTAGGCATGGCTTATTCTTCCCACTTTCTCATCTGTAAACCTACCATCCATTTACGACAGCAAGATCAATCAACCAGCCAAATATAGATACCATCTTCTAGATTTTAGCAGAACTCTGTACAACTCAATAAGCATACCAGCGAAATCACCCCCATGTGCTTATTATATTGTTGAACTATTTTTGGGCAAGGCACATCTACTTTTCTTTTCTCGGCGGCGTTCCATCTCTTCACAGAACCTAGGGGTTGTACGCCGACAAAGGAACTTGCCAAAGTAACAACTTTGTTATCTACCCATTTTACTGCTATAAGTTTGTTGTCCCCATCATACCAAAAGTCATATCTTCCTCTTCCCTCCTTTTGTAACTTGCGATCATCTTTGAAGCGACAATTTTTTAGCCTATTTTTTTCGCAAGGTACCAAGTGAATTTATTTGCATTTTCTCATTTAGATACGCAATTAGCTCGAAAAAATCGAAAATCACCACTTGTCCACCAATACCAAATTTTTGTTCCTCTTCATTTAGATCGGTAATCATTCCTTTTCCTGTGTAGGGAACAAAGTCATAAATGATTACTGATACTCCACAACGCATAAAAAACTTATAACCCCATTTATAAGGATTGTTTTGTATGTATTGACGTACATTTCCGGCTCTTGTACCCTTATATGGGATCATCATTTCATCTATAGATTGATGAGATCCCTGTTCTAAATTTCTGCATTGGAATCGCACAATGTTCAGTAAAGGACGAATTTTGTAGAACCTATCAGTAGCAGTTGACGCTTCTTGATTTTCGTGATTGTCTGCAAAATGTAAAAATTGTCTCAGTTTTTGAAATCTTTTTAGGCTCATTACATCAGCAATTTTATCAAATTGTTAACTCCAGTAATCAGTATATGATGGAAACTCTATTACGCCCCATAAAGACTAGTAATCCTATAAACTGTTGTTTCTTTATCACTTGTATTTATGGAGTTACCAGTTACCTGTATAGAATATAGATTAGATCAGGGTAATCATTTCTGGCGTAAAAAAATTATAAAAGTGCGTAAGTGGAGTCTCAGTTTCAGAATCATTACTTTCAAGGACATTGTCGGCATTGTTATTGTCCGTTACAACAATATCTTGTTTTTTCCAATGCGATGGATGCATCTGAAATCCGTTTGCTCTGGACAAAACCTGTGAACGAAGTTGGGCTAATGGAATCAAATCTTCATCATCAAATCCATCACTATCCTCTTCTAAAACTTCAGAAGGGAGTAAGTGATTCCTTCCAACATCACCCGTATTTTCTGACAAATTGGTTTCAGCGGCAGAAGTGGTGAGGTCATTATCATCGTCGAGGTCAGAAAAATCAGCATCGGATAGAGCGAGATCCTCGGGAGGCAGGATAACTACCTGATTTTTACGTTTCCCGTAAAAAGTTGTTACATCCATTATTTTCTGTGCTGGCAATGATGATTGAAAGCAACACTAAATATGCGAAATTATTTCACCCTGTAAAATCGTAAAAACTAACTAAGAATAATTATACACAAATTCTAACGTATATTCTTCTTGCTTCAAAATATATGAAAAACAGCAGCGAATATATTTTTTTATATACAATTCACTAATATAGAACGAGTTAGTACACACATAACCTACAATACTTCACAACACTGTCATAACAACAGCGTGTAGCATGGTAACTGATCGGAGTTGCCTGTAAGCATCATTGGCTGTTTAATCGCATATCTGTACAACGGAGACCATATAATATAAAATGATGTTGCCCATAAGCAACATTGTCAAATAAAGGGTTAAATAATACACATCCTGATCTATTCAGCTGACTTTCAATAACGATTCTTTCTAGGATCATATTAAATAAAAGTGTAGATAATGGGTCCCCCTGTCGGAGTCCTGTATTAATCTCAAACTCTCCTGTCAATTCTCCTCTTACCTTGACCGTACTTCTTGGTTGTCTCATAGTCATTCTCGTGATGTTTATGAGTTTTCCAGGTATACCAAAGTAATTAATTGTATGAAATACTGCACTCCATCTGATCGTGTCGTAGGTTTTTTGGAAGTGGTATTTTATATTCGTAGCAGGTGATATGAGCTTCTTTGATGAAAAATTTTTTATCAGTTGTCGATCTTCCCTTGCGAAAACCAGCTTGATAATCTCCCAACTGTGGATAGAGATATTAACTGTTGATAAAATGCCCTGGAATCGGCTCTCTCAAGAAATTTGGCCAGAACCTGCAGATTCTTCCATTTCTTACTTTTTATTCGGATCGGGCACTGGTAAAGTTTTCTTCTCGTTTCTGTTGATCTTCTTGCTTCCTTTTTAGATTCTTCCGAATTACCTTATCAAATTTAGAATTAGCATATACGTTGATTAGACGCGAGGATTCTGTTTAAAAAACTTGAGCATCCTGACTGGTCGGACTGGAAAGGCCACTTCGTTGGATGAAGCGGCGATAAAAACGTACTCCAATCTTGAAAATCAAAATTTGCAATTATCGCATGCTGTTTAGTTTATTCAACAGGTAAAACCCTTGTTACGACTAAATAAATACATAAGCTTGATATAAAGAATGAACAAATACATATTACATGGATATGTTCTTAATACTTCTAATCATAATCTAATAATTAGATGAAATGTAATTCTGATTTCTCATCCCTACATTACATTTCACATACTGGAAAGAGTTATTATTATTAGTACAGGGTGCGTCATCTATTACTTTTATTTCTATTTGAAAAATCAACACGCTTTTTACGAGATGAAATCGAATTTTTTTTATTGATAAATGAAGGTTGGTTTATGCCATTTATGTATGAAAAATGACATCAGTCATGTGACCACCGAGGCTTCGGTTACAGGCCAACATCCGAACATCAAAATTTTCGATGACTCTTCCCAGAATAATCGGGTCTATGGCCGCAATTTGAGTCCAAATATTGCGCTTTTGGTCTAGAATTGTCCGGGGACCATTCGCATACACTTTTCCTTTCAAAAATCCCCAAAGAAATAGTCAAGAGGTGTGAAATCGCACGATCTCGTGGGCCAACTGACATATGAATTTCGTGAAATTATGCGGTCTTGAAATTTCGTGTGCAATAAGGCGAATAATACGATCCAATTGTGTCCACAAAAAGTCTGTTAACATGCCGCGATAACGTTCCCCGTTAACGGCAATGGCCTTCTTCGGAAGCTTCTTCAAAGAAGAATGGTCCAAAGATGCCACCAGCCCATAATCCGCACCAAACAGTCACTTTTTCAAGTTTGCGAAAAGTATTTTTTATATTTCGACCGTTTTCGTAATAATTTTGGATAACCAAAAGGCGTTGTTGTGTTGTAAACGAATCCATGACTATAAATGGCATACCTTTGACAGTTCGGTTATGCATACCACATGACTGTTGACACACATGGTAACACATAAACTTATAGGTAAAAAAAAGTAATACGCACCCAGTACTAATGTTATTTACATTCCGACATACATATTTTTGAAGGGCAAGAAAATAATGTAAAATATGCAATGTTTCTAGATCAAAAAATAGGTAAAATTGCTCATATATTTTGTGAAGAGCATACCATATCATTTATTGACCAGATTACCAGTCCTGTCTCAGTGAAGTTGGCCCAACTATCAAAACCAATTTGTCATATTTGCGGAAACGTATTAAAAACTAAAATGTATTTCTGATAAGATACGATAATTTCGGAATAAAAACACTTTAAAAATAGCCGCGTCGGCTTTGTTGTATTTCCTTAAACATTTAATGAAACCAAAAATATTACATTTGAAATAAACTTTTAACTAGCCCTCAAATAAGTTAACAAATATGTTTTGGGGCGTTGGACCAACTTCACGTATATACAGCAAGATATTGTATCCTACAAGCTGAGCTACAAACTCCTAAGCTATCTGAAAGAAGTCACATAGTCAACGCATTTATCTACTGCGTAAAAACGGTGGAGAAGCAGAAGCTTCTTAACAAATCTGGACAAGCAGACTAGCTGAAACATTATATCTTCTACTTGCCTTGATGAATAAATCTTACAAGTTAAGGTTCTTGAAATGGTTTCTGTACGATGATACGAGCATAATTTATGGTGATTCTACTTCACTTTAATCTTGGTACATCTCCGTTAAAAAACTTGATCATATGCAAATAATTTAACCAACTCATATTTGCAGACTGAGAATATGAATCGGGTTACCCAGCAGCTTATAGCCTGAACGACTATGATATAATTGATTATATTTCCTGTCCTATGGCTCTATAACTTTTCCTTCCACATATTGTTGAGTCTGGGTCGGAAAAACAGTTTTCAACAATGTTGACATTTTTCGTCCTTGTAACAGTTCTTAGTCGTGTTTCAGGTGTATGAGGCAAATTGCTGGGGTAACTGAAAAAATATTCCTCTCAGTTATTTTGTATATGTCTGTTAGCGGAGTGTTACCCTGAACCTTGTTGAAATGTTGAATCAATGTATGTAATCAATGAATTTTCAGTCAAAGGAAGTATGTCCTATCGTTTACTCAATTTCAATAAAATATAGATCTAATCATGTGCATAAATAAATGGAAATATTATTGGAAGTAAACGATGAGGACATACTCTCCTAATATTGTATCCCTAATTGTAATAATGGCACTAATATATTTATGGCCAATCCTCATCTTGTGTCTTCAATAGCAAAACTTGTTGGTACTTGACCCCAGCTCCTAGTTCTAGTTTCTAATCACATTTTTTTAGATGCAAAGGAAGGTTTGAAGTGCGAGTCTCATATCGTTTGTTTGTTTTATTTCAATTGTATTTTCATATATAGCCTCGGGTAAGTCACCGAACAGATGAACATCCTAAATTTCTGATTAACATTCCAAAGCTATTTTTGAACCGCTCAACGTTTTAGATACGAATTTGTAATGAGGTTTTTTAATCATACCGTTTATTTTGTTCGAGCTTGGATCGTTTTAGTATATGAAAAGTCTGTTAAGTGAAATGAGACCAGCACAAGTAAGTCTTCTGTAGTTTTCGTGTTGATGACTACTATTTGCTTGCAGATATATAACTACAACATTCAGAATGCGACGGAAAAGCGTATGATCTGATGTGTAGGCTCATTTCACTTTGTTGATATCTTCTGATTTTATGTTCAGCAATATGTATTTTGTTCAACCTGATGTGAGACTCAACCATGCTAATCATTATTTAGCTTTTAGATTTATATTTTTTTCGTAAATAAAAAATGCAACCAAGTCGAATTGTTTTAGTTGATAAAAGCTCCATAGCCTTTTAAACCTCTGAAACGCCCCCCCACGATTCTTATGAAAAGGAGACAATTTTTGATTTACTATCTAGCGCATTTGTGAGTGTTAATGAAAACTTAGGAAGAATTGTCTAGAAACAAAGTGTTTCGATCTACTGGACAGTCGCAGATTCATGGAAACATTTTGTCTCAAAACAATCTGAAGACGCTACTTGAACCCCCGCACACAGGTCAAAACGTGTTTGGATCGAAACAACTTTAGCTTTAACGCAAAAGTGAACACTAACTCTGTGTAATTTATTGAGCAACGGATGAGGAAGCTGAGGTTGCCATGGTGTTGTGGTAGCGTATCCAGCTGTTAGGGACACTACCGTAAAGGATGCAATGGATTTACACCACAAACCAGAAGAGACAATTTCTGGCTTCATCGGTGAAGTTAGGAGTGCTTCTAAAGTTTTTTGAGTTTGTTCAGTGGCGAGTGTCTCGACACATTTTACCTTCAAACATAATTCAAAGAGGGTTGACGTCAAAACGTTGAGCGTTTCGCAACGCATCGACCAATGTGTGGTACCCCGCATTGTTTATGCCTCACCTGTAACACGGTGAAACGTTTATTACGCAGCGTTTCTAGAGAAATTCGAATTGTCGACGGCCGGACTCGGACTAAGGGAAGTGATACACACGATCGGTTCTTTATCACAATTAATTTCTGATAGTCCCAAATGGTGACCTACAGTGGGCCAGATCAGTTCAGCTTGAAGCTAGGCTATATCACTTCACTGACTTGTTTTAGTGACTGTACTTGACAGTCTCAGAGAGAATTTCCTTGATGGAAAGATCTTTCCAGAATCTGTAATTCAATATACATATATGGGGTTGTCCAAAAGGGACGCAGGAAAGTAAACACATATTAAAACAAGAAAGATTGATATTCAAATCAAGTTGGGTACTTTATTTTGAAGGTTCATTTATACCATTTATGTATGAAAAATAATATCGCTCAAATGTTCACCACGACTGGATTTACAGACGTCCACGCGATGATCGAAATTTTCAATGACATTTTGCAACATGGTCGGTTCTATGGCATTTATCTCGGCAATGATGTTGTTTTTGAGTTCTTGGAGGGTGGCTGGTTTGTTGACGTAGACTTTGCTTTTCAAATATCCCCATAAAAAGAAGTCCAAGGGAGTCAAATCGCACGATCTTGGTGGCCATGGCACATTTCCTTTGCGCGAAATCACGCGATCACCGAAGAAGGACTGCAATCGATGGATATTGACGTTGGTTGTGTGGCATGTTGCACCGTCTTGTTGGAAATAAACATCGTCCATATCCATTCCTTCAAGTTGCGGCAAAAAATAGTCCTCTATCATCACGTTATATCGGTCAGAATTGACGGTAACGGCGTCCCCGGCCGCAATTTTCGAAAAAGTAAGGTCCGATGATGCCTTTTGACCACAATGCACACCACACAGTCACTTTTTGAGGATGCATCGGCTGCTCTTGATACTCACGGGGATTTTCGTTCGCCCAGATGCGGCAGTTTTGCTTGTTTACCGTCCCATTCAAAGTGAAATGCGCTTTGTCGCTGAACATGATTTTTGATGAAAAATTGGCATCAATTTGGCGGTGTTCAAGGAGCCAATCTGAGAACATTCGGCTCGAAAAATGGTCGGCCCGACGCAGCTCTTGCGTCAATTGGATCTTGTAGGCGTGTACATTCAAATCCTTGTGGAGAATGCGGAGCAAACTGGTTCTCGAAATGCCCAATTCTTGGGATCGACGCGTTGTTGATTGTTTCGGATCGTCTCTCACACTCTCCTTCACAACAGCAATATTTTCCGGTGTGCGAACGCTCCTTGGCCGGCCAGAGCCTGGCAGATTTGCCACAGAACCTGTTGCCTCGAATTTACGCACCAGACGACCGATGGTTGTTTCGTTTGGGCGGTTGTTGCGACCGAAATGTTCACGAAGCGCGCGAAACGTGTTTTTTATTTTTGCACCATTTTTGTAGTGTTCTTGAATAACTAATGCGGTCTTGAATCGAATACGACTCCAGAGCGATCAATGGTAAACATTCAACTAACAAAATGACATGTCGGTGACAGAAAACAAAGATAGCGTCTATGTCAAATTGACGTTTACTTTCCTGTGTCCCTATTGGACAACCCTTTATTTCTCTCGCTTTAAAGCAATAAAACACCAAGCCGCACATGCGTAAGTCATTGCTGGTCTTATGACCACCTTATAAAGTCGAATCTTGTTAATCAAACTTAATTTTGAAGGTTTGCATAATAATGGGTAAAGCTGTCGAAACGTAATTTGGAATTTAGTTTTTAGTGCTTCTATATGGTTCCGCCAAGTCATCCCTTTGTCCTGAATGACACTGAGATACTTAGCGGAGGATTCCCATGGTATACGAAGTCCATTCATTGAAACTTCAGACGGAACACCGCGTCGTATTTTTGTACAGTAGACTGCCTGCGTTTTCGAATGGTTGATTTTAATTAGCCACCGATCCGCCCAATCTAATACTTCCTCCAGCGCACTTTGCAGCCTGTCATGGACTAGGTGACCAGACCATAGAGATAGACTTCACAGTTGCTGGGACTAGGGACGTCATGGATGTACAGTGAGTAAAGGATAGGTCCAAGGACCGAACCCTGAGGGACGCCGGCTGTAATCAGTCGTGTTGTCGACAGGACATTGTCTATTTTGATCCGAAATTTCCTACCTTCAAGAAAGGATTTCAGTAGTTTTAGAAGCCAAAAAGGGAAGCCCTTTTGGATTAGTTTATACAGGAGGCCCGCGCGCCACACCTTGTCAAATGCTTTTGAGACATCCAAAAGCAAGATGCCAGTACTTTCGTTAAGAGTTTAATGTGGGGTGTGGGCACATATTTCATTATTCGCCTCAGGACGCACAAAACTCTTGAAGGCGGCCCTGGCTACGAACGAATCCGTTTTCTATATTCGTGAATAGTTTTTCTTTCGATCTGAACAAGCAGAAAAGGATTCTATTCTATTCTAAGCGAAGTAACGCAATTTTTAGCTGCGCTAACTCTTCAACAAAGGATTGGCTGGTCATCAGTCATCCTATTAGTTTCATCAGTTTGAGATAATACTCATACAGTTGAAGAGTTGAACTAAGCTTGATGGAACAATTGTGAATGAACGCCCCATTGTCATGATCGCCAGGCACAGTGCCATCATTCACACTTATTCTCCGAACCTGTATACAAACTCAAACTGAATTTTATACACGGTTTGGATATCGCTCATTTCCATTTTGTACTGAATACGGCTCTGCGTTTTGTGCATTCTTCGGATTACCCCTGTATACTTGTACGACTGGTTGCCTATGCGTACCCTTTATCGGCTACTCGCACATCTATGTTTCCTATTAATTCTGTACCGATAATCTCATGATAACCAAGGAACTTATGAGTTGTTTTAAGATTGAAAAAACATTATCAAAAATTTAGCCTCGAACCCTTTCGATCCCTTCACAATCGAAACAACTACCGTCCACCCCCTGTAGGTGGCAGCAGCATCGTTTTGCCGTGAAGCTTAACCAGTGACAAAATGGCAATGGAATGTTGCTGTAACAACTGAACTTTATCCAGTGGTGTCCGTTGATTTTCCGGTGTTTTCCACAGGATTTTTCACTGAACGAGCCGTTTCCGGGACATTTATCGTATTGTGAACGGTCCGGTTGAATGTGCAAGTGCGTTTCCATTGGGATTTCCGTGTTTCTTCGACGATTATGTACCATATACTTTCAACAATAGGTGAGCTAGCAATGTCTTATCAATCAGCTATTGGTATTTTTCATGGATATTTCACTGATCTATGAATGAAAATGAGTTAAATATGGATTTCTTTAATATTTCTCTTTCATAATACACGTTTTCAACGTTTGTTTCAGTCAAGTTCGCTATGAACTCAATGACAACCCTGTTAATAGCCCGGAAAAAATCTAGTTGGAGTTCACCACAAATTTTAACTTGCGGTGGCATTATTAGGCGCTATTCCTTCATAATTTTCGTTCAAGATTTCAGTGGTACATGTAGTTTTTAATGTTTAAAGATATATATTATAATTCACGTCTGTAAGCTTTTCCTATCTGTTTTTATAAAATATTCGATAAGCCTTCACTAATCGAAGATACAACCAGTCCTTGCTGAAACACTTTTATTTTTCATTTGTGTAAACAAACGGCTGATTTGAGAGCTTATTTCAACGCTTTTTGTACCTAACTAACCGGTTGTCACTGAAATATGTGTGCTGTACAGCTCAGACATTAAATAAAGGTACCTTTTTATGCTCGTTTTAAGGAACTGGACATGCCAGTAACAATAGAGAATCGAAAACTGAATCTATCTTCCGGATGTTGTGTGACTGACATTTGCCAAATTGCACATCCCTGAATTAGTCGTGAACATTTACACAAACTAATGTTTAATACTCTCATCAGGACAAAAGTCAATATTACAAAATAACATCATACGTTAACGTTAACATCTTCATTTGACGTTTGTCTCGTGTGATTGTTGGCTTAAATGTCAAATTAAGGCTGAAGTTCACCTTTACCTATGCAGTATGTCAGTTTCCAAAACAGGCTATCAGAACCTGACAAAATAGACCTATTTTGGCCATAGAATGTATGGAGATGATACACCACTAGCCCCCTAAAATTACTTTTTAAAATAATAAATTCTTGGACAATGCTTAATGTACAAAAACCTGTAATTTTCATACAAGGCTTTCACAATTTTGAAACCTAGAAAAGTGTGCCATTAATCAGCTGTTTTCTAAGGCCCGTATCGTCAGTCGTCCTTATAATTGTAGGGCGCGTTTATGGCCTCCTTGATTGTCATACTCCTTTCTCTCCTTCAAAAATTTCTAGATTGCACCTGTCCCGTGTCAGCGTCAGCGTTCTCCTATTGTGAAGATATGGTTTCTTTTTAAATTGTAGGAAATTTCA